TAATTACACAAACTACACCGACTATATCGAACTGACGGCCTGCACGTACACTGACCATATTATTCTACAATAGATAAGTCAGCTACATCTTAATTGTTTAAATTCAGCGACGACACTAACTATAACTAATTACAGCAACCACGAATAAAACATCAAGTACACCGGCACTCAGAGCCATCCTACGTTCCATCGCAATTTGGGCGTGCAAGCGAAAAATTGCGCTTTAACAAGAATCTTGTCCTAATACTAAATATAAACGAACGATACATCAAACCAAGTAAACTAAATACTTTACAACGTTGTGATGTTCGCTATAGCTCTCATTGGTTTCACAAATTGTCAGTTACCAAAACAATTCTATGGCAAATTCACGAGATAATCAAATTTCATTATCAGTGCAAATTGCATGATCCCAAGATCCGGAGAATTCAACTATACTAGGTTTATTTTTTTTCCTTTTGCAAGAGTCATAAAGTCTGAATTGCAAGATGTTTCGTGCCATCATCCTATTGATAAATGAATCCTTTGTGGTGTCAATGCTTTGTAACATACACGCATAACTGCGCATAAACACCTTAGTTGATAAAGGAAACAATGAGATCATTTATCTTTCAGAGTGTAGACGGCCTTGAATACTTTTCTGTAAACAGAACAAAGTTTCGAGGAATCATCACTCACAGCTGAGCGCCTTGAGAGCGTCGAATTAGTGTAACTGTGATTTCAGGATAAACTCACACCCATTAAAGGTAAGCATATTTGCACCGCTTAGCATTATATAAGTAGGAGTGAAAACAATGCATTTGAGCTAAAGTTTTTCAGACCTAGGTAATTATGGCTAACTACTTCAAACTGCAGAACTCCTTCAAGATAATCAACTTGCACTAAACTCTTCAACATTACACCAACCAAACAAATTCACACCCGGAACTACACACACTACACCGAGTACGTCCAACTAACGGCCTGCACGTACATTGACCATCTTAGTCTACAACGAATAATCAACTACACCCTAATCGCCAAAATACAGCGACGACATTGACTACAACTAATTACAACAACCATGAATAAAACATCAAAGAAGTACACCGGCACTCAGAGCCAACCTGCTTCAGCGACAGCAAGTCCTAAGTTCCATCGCAATTTGGGCGTGCAAGCGAAAAATTGCGCTTAAACAAATCAGAATCTTGTCTTAATACTTAATTTAAACGAATGCTTAAATCAAACCAGGTAAACTAAATACTTTATTCTGTAGCTCTCATTAGTCTCACAATTTGTCAGTTACCAAAACAATTTTATGCCAAATACACGAGATAATCAAATTTTATTGACAGTGCTAATAACACGATCCCACAATTCTGAGAATTCAATTTCATCAAAGACTGATTGAATGCGTTCACACAGACTTGAATACACTTGCTCAAATAAATGTTAACGTCTACGAGTTACGACAGAGTCATTTATGAACCAAATCCTTTTTTGTTAACAGTTAGGGAACTAATTGATATAGCGTGGACCTTCATAATACGTTTACCCAATTATTGTGGCTAATTACAAGAGAAAGGCAATACTTTTCTGAGACTTAAACCGTTATAATGTCTTGCTGGCTGGTAAGTCAAAGCAATTCGAAATTTGCTAGTTAAATAAAAATGACTCTTTAGTCGTTCTGCATGGGATTTTGATTCTATTTAAAGTTGCTGGCTGGGAGAATAATCCTTTTCATTCAGGTTGGCTGGCAGTAAAGATAAGCACAACAAATCTTTTTCCCACGTAGATTAATTGTTAACCAAATATCCAAAAATATTTCTCTAGATAAAATATACTTTGCAAGAATCGCTAATAATCGGTCATGATCGGTCTTAAATGATAGTCAGTACATTAAGCAAGTATGCAACAAAGCAGTGTTTATAACATGCGATAAAATATCTCAGACTCTAAGTAAATGTTATTTCGAAAGTCAGTGTGTGTTCCCTTGTAATGTAGTCGTGGAAACGAAACACAATTCTGCACAGAGAACTCATGAGTGGGAGTTGTAACATGACAAAAAATTTCAGATATTGCGATTCGATAGTCACAGTACACTTATCTGTTATTGATATAACAAGGTGAAGGAACTGAACTGAAAAGTGACACGAAAGCGAAGACTGTAGCAAAAAAATATAATATTACTTCTACGTGTGCTAAATGGCTGCAATACTTTATTAAAAATAAAGTCTAGTTTGTGTTTTAGCCTCCGCCTATCATAATTTTTTAAGGAGTATGAGAAAGTGGAAAAATCGAGCATCTATAATTAAAGTCACATTCCAGTTCTTTGACTATACTAGGTTTATTTTTTTTCCTTTTGCAAGAGTTATAAAGCCTGAATTGCAAGATGTTTCGTGCCATCATCCTATTGATAAATGAATCCTTTGTGGTGTCAATGGTTTGTAACATACACGCATAATAAACCCCTTTGTCGATAAAGGAAACAATGAGATCACTTATCTTTGATTCTATTTAAAGTTGCTGGCTGGGAGAATAATCCTTTTCATTCAGGTTGGCTGGCAGTCGAGATAAGCACAAAAAATCTTTTTCCCACGTAGATTAATTGTTAACCAAATATCCAAAAATATTTCTCTAGATAAAATATACTTTGCAAGAATCGCTAATAATCGGTCATGATCGGTCTTAAATGATAGTCAGTACATTAAGCAAGTATGCGACAAAGCAGTGTTTATAACATGCGATAAAATATCTCAGACTTTAAGTAAATGTGATTTCGAAAGTCAGTGTGTGTTCCCTTGTAATGTAGTCGTGGAAACGAAACACAATTCTGCACAGAGAACTCATGAGTGGAAGTTGTAACATGACGAAAAATTTCAGATATTGCGATTCGATAGTCACAGTACACTTCTATAATTAAAGTCACATTCCAGTTCTTTGACTATACTAGGTTTATTTTTTTTCTTTTTGCAAGAGCTATAAAGTCTGAATTGCAAGATGTTTCGTGCCATCATCCTATTGCTAAATGAATCCTTTGTGGTGTCAATGGTTTGTAACATAGACGCATAACTGCACATAAACCCCTTTGTCGATAAAGGAAACAATGAAATCACTTATCTTTCAGGGTCTAGACGGCCTTGAATACTTTTCTGTAAACAGAACAAAGTTTCGAGGAATCATCACTCGCAGCTGAGCGCTTTGAGAGCGTCGAATTAGTGTAATTGTGATTCCAGGATAAACTCACAGCCATAAAAGGTAAGTATATTTGCACCGCTTAGCATTACAAAGAGACTATAATAAGTAAGAGTGAAAACCATGCGTTTGAGCTAAAGTTTTTCAGACCTAGGTAATTATGGCTAACTACTTCAAACTGCAGAACTGCTTCAGGATAATCAACTCGCATTAAACTATTCAACATTACACTAACCAAAAAAATTCACACCAGAAACTACACACACTACACCGACTATATCGAACTAACGGCCTACACGTACATTGTCCATCTTAGTCTACAACGAATAATCAACCACACCCTAATCGCCAAAATACAACGACGACATTGACTACAACTAATTACAACAACCATGAATAAAACATCAAAGTACACCGGCACTCAGAGCCAAACTGCTTCAGCGACAGCAAGTCCTAAGTTCCATCGCAATTTGGGCGTGCAAGCGAAAAACTGCGCTTAAACAAATTAGAATCTTGTCTTAATACTAAATTTAAACGAATGCTTAAATCAAACCAGGTAAACTAAATACTTTAAAATGTTGTGATGATTTCTGTAGCTCTCATTAGTCTCACAATTTGTCAGTTACCAAAACAATTTTATGCCAAATCCACGAGATAATCAAATTTTATTGTCAGTGCAAATTACATGATCCCACAATTCTGAGAATTCAATTTCATCAATTACTGATTGTATACGATCACACAGACTTGAATACACTTGCTCAAATAAATGTTAACGTCTACGAGATATGACAGAGTCATTTATGAACCAAATTCTTTTCAGTTAACAGTTAAGGAACTAATTGATAGAGCGTAGACCTTCATGATACGTTTACCCAACTATTGTGGCTAATTACAAGAGAAAGATGATACTTTTCTGAGACTTAAACCGTTATAATGTCTTGCTGGCTGGTAAGTCAAAGCAATTCGAAATTTTCTAATTAAATAAAAATAACTCTTTAGTCGTTCTGCATGGGACTTTGATTCTATTTAAAGTTGCTGGCTGGAAAAATAATCCTTTTCATTCAGGTTGGCAGGCAGTCAAGATAAGCGCAGCGTTTCTCTTTTTCCCACGAAGATTAATTGTTAACCAAAATCACACAATGTTTCTTTCGATACAATAGACTTTGCAAGAGTCGTCAATAATCGATCATGATCGGTCTTTAGTCATAGTACATTATCCAAGTATGCATAAAAGCAATGTTTATAACATGCGCTAAAATAAAATCTCAGACTTTAAGTAAATGTGATTTCGAAAGTCAGAGTGTGTTCCATTGTAATGTAGTCGTAGAAACGAAACACAATTCTGCACAAAGAATTAATGAGTGGGATTAATAACATAACAGATATTGCGCTTCGCTAGTCACAGTACACTTATTTGTTATTGATATAACAGGGCGAAGGAAATGAACTGAAAAGTGAAAGGAAAGAGTAGATTCTATCCAAATAATTTAATATTAATTCTACGTGTGCTCAATGGCTGCAAAACTGTCTACAAAGAAATTCTAGTTTGTGTTTTAGCCTCCGCCTATCATAATTTTTTAAGGAATACGAGAAAGTAGAAAAATTGAGTATAGACAATTAAAGTCACATTTCAGGTCTTTAACTGTACTAGGTCTATTTTTTTTTCTGTTGCAAGAGTTATAAAGTCTGAATTGCAAGATGTTTCGTGCCATCATCCTATTGATATATGAATATTTTGTGTTGTCAATGGTTCATGACATACACGCATAACTGCGCAAAAACCCCTTTGCCGATAAAGGAAACAATGAGATCATTTATCTTTCAGCGCCTAGACGGCCTTGATTACTTTTCTGTAAAAAGAACAATCTTTCAAGGAGTCATCACTCGCAGCTGAGCACCTTGAGAGCGTCGAATCAGTGTAACTGTGATTCCAGGATAAACTCACACCCATCCAAGGTAAGCTACAAAACTGCTTCAGGTTAATCAATTTGCACTAAACTACTCGACATAACACCAACCAAACCAATTCACACCCAGAATAACACAAACTGCACAGACTATATCGAACTAATGGCCTACACGTACATTGACCACATTAGTCTACAACAAATAAGTCAACCACACCCTAAACGCCAGAATGCATCTTCCTATTAAAAAACGGATCCTTTGTGGTGTCAATGGTTTGTAACATACACGCATAACTGCGCATAAAGCCCTTTGTCCATAAAGGAAACAATGAGATCATTAATCTTTCAGTGTCTAGACGGCCTTGAATACTTTTCTGTAAAGAGAACAAACTCTTGCGGAATCATCACTCGCAGCTGAGCACCTCGAGAGCGTCGCATCGGTGTAACTGTGATTCCAGGATAAACTCACACCCATCAAAGGTAAGCATATTTATACCGCTCAGCATTACAAAGAGACTATCATACGTAGGAGTGAAAATAATACATTGGAGCTACATTTTTTCAGACCTAAGTAATTATAGCTAACTACTGCAAACTACGGAACTGCTTCAGAATAATTAATTTGTACTAAACTACTCAACATTACACCTACCAAACAAATTCACACCTGGAATTACATAAACTACACTATATCGAACTAACGGCCTACACGTAAATTGACCTTATTAGTCTACAAAAACTAAGGTAACCACACCCTAAGCACTAAAAGACAGCGACGACATTGACTACAACTAAATACAACAACCATGAAAAAAACATCGAAGTACACCGGCACTTACTGCCAACCTACTTACGCTACATCGTAATTTGGGCGTGTAAGCGAAACATGACGCTTTAATTGTTAACCAAAATCACACAATGATTCTTTAGATACGATAGACTTTGCAAGAGTCTTCAATAATCGATCATGATCGGTCTTTAGTCATAGTACATTATGCAAGTATGCAAAAAAGCAGTGTTTATAACATGCGCTAAAATATCTCAGACTTTAAGTAAATGTGATTTCGAAAGTCAGAGTGCGTTCCAGTGTAATATAGTCGTAGAAACGAAACACAATTCTGCACAAAGAATTCATGAGCGGGAGTAATAAGATATAGCGATTCGCTAGTCACAGTACACTTATTTGTTATTGATGTAACAGGGCCAAGGAACTGAACTGAAAAGTGAAACGAAAGAGTAGACTCTAGCTAAAAATTTAATATTGATTCTACGTGTGCTAAATGGCTGCAAAGCTGTCTACAAATAAATTCTAGTTTGTGTTTTAGCCTCCGCCTATCATAATTTTTTAAGGAGTACGAGAAAGTGGAAAAATCGAGTATCTACAATTAAAGTCACATTCAAGTTCTTTAACTGTACTAGGTCTATTTTTTTTCTCTTTCATGAGCTATAAAGTCTGCATTGCAAGATGTTTCGTGCCATCATCCTATTGATAACTGAATCCTTTGTGGTGTCAATGGTTTATAACATACACGCATAACTGCGCATAAACCCCTTTGTCGATAAAGGAAACAATGAGATCATTTATCTTTCAGCGTCTAGACGGCCTTGAATACTTTTCTGTAAAAAGAACAATCTTTCAAGGAATCATCACTCGCAGCTGAGCACCTCGAGAGCGTCGAATCAGTGTAATTGTGATTCCAGGATAAACTCACACCCATCAAAGGTAAGCATATTTGCACCGCTCAGCATTACAAAAAGATTATCATTGGTGGGAGTGAAAACAATGCATTTGTGCTACAGTTTTTCAGACCTGGGTAATTATAGCTAACTACCTCAAACTACAGAACTGCTCGAGGTTAATCAATTTGCGCATAATTTCCTCAACTTCTTCAAACTATAGACTATATCAGCTAAATCAATTAGCACTAAACTACTTAACATTACATCAGCCCATAGACATGGTTTGATGCTACTCTGGTTTACAGATTTAATGAATGTAACCAAAGAAGTTATCATTCATAGACCCTGGGTCTATGAGTTGTAACTTCTTCGGCTACATTCGTTAAATCTGTAAACCAGAGTAGCATCAAACTATGTCTAATTGTCCACCTGGTTTCCGTGTGAACTTTAATATATTACATCAACCCTTATTTAAAATTATTATATCCGGCGTCAAGGCGGCCATGAACAGTGCTCTATGAAGAAAACCTACTTTTTATATCGCCAATGGTGCCAAAATACCGCGAGCACTGGCAAAAAGAGCTTATGCTACGTGATCTGCTTCTTGAATATGCACATGTACGAGTTAAATGTAACTGAGCTATCTCAAATGTTTGGAAAATTTAAAGCTGTGGTATTTTTTGTGATAAAATTTGAATGCTTTCCTGTGTACTTTGATCAAATTTTTCGTGGCTAGAGGCGTTTTTTTTTGTAAAGCCGTTTGTAATTGCGTTTTCCTCTCCTTCAGTTTGAGGAATGTGGAAAAGTCTTGAGCGCGTTGAAAGGCTTTACTTTGAGCCACTTTCCTTTTCAAGCTTTCCCGTCTATCGCGTAAAATGCATCTTTTACGGATCGTAAGCACTAACAGTCTGCTCTAAAATCACAAGAAACGCCATGAAATAAGGCAAGTGCGGATAAGCAAAGAATTGCTCCTTAATCTGACACTGGACACGACTCGCCAAGTTGTTCAGTTCTGGCAGCTTTGCTGAATGCATTTAAATTTCATCATCGTTTCATAATTCAAACTTGTGGAAACCCGTATACTTTCTGTGATCCAAACGGAGACCAAAATAACCACTGTCTCGTTCTTAGGTGAATGGAAGTGGCCCTAGATGAGAGGAGAGAGTAAGTGAAGGCCGAAATAAAACGCTGACTGACAAGAAAGGAGAAACAAAAATGTTCTACGAAGAGCATAGGCAGCGAGCAGAACTATATTTTGAGGAAAATCATCCTTACATTATTGGACGCGCCCTGAAGAAGATAAATAAATTAAGAGTGAAGGAGAACAAACCAATTAGAGACCCTAAGAGAGGCCATCATGTTATCAACAAAGGAGTCAACGATCTTTGCAAAGATATAATTAAGGATTGTTTCGTGAAGATTGGGCGCAGAAATTATTATAATGAGTTAAGAAATCTGAATATCATTGACGAAAATGGTCTCCTGAACCTCAATGCAGCGCCTCGGCCCTTCGATATCCCATGGGAAATTAAGTCCAAAATTGACAGTATGAAAGTGCATAAGCCGGGGAAGGATGAGAAATATATCAGCAAAAACGATCTGCAGTTTGGTTGCGCCAAAATAGTTCTGTTAGCATGTCTTCATTGCGTAATGCTAGATATCTTTAAAAGCTCCTTACAAGACGAAGAAATGCCTAATCTTGATGACACATTAAAAAACCTGAGCATTATAATTGCTTACGACTTTATTCAAAAGAACGGGCATGGTGTGTACGTAGACGTTAAAGCTAAGGAATGGTGGGATAAAGAAAATCCAGGTAAAGAACAAGACTTCGCAGAGTGTAAAAAATCAGTTGAGACATTTTTAAAAAGCATAACAGATGATTCACATGGGATATTAACGTTCGGAAAATGGTTGTTAAGATTAAGTTAGAAAAGAGCAGCTTGTCAAATATTTCGTCCAATGAGCGATCGTAGTCTAACTCGAAATATTACGACGCATTTTCCAGTTCATTTTATCGCTGCTTATGAAAATATGTGCAAATAGTTATTGCATTTTTCGCGTCCTGGAACTTCAGGTTAAATGAGTTAATGGCGGTTTTGTTAAAGATATTCAAAACAAGGTTATTTTGCTCTACCATGTTCAATCTTGCAGGGCTCCAACTTTCTTTGTTAGAAAATAACTTCTTTGCCCTGGCTATTGGTAAAATATTATAATGTATTATGTTGCGTCGTAGGAATGCAAATATAATTGCTCTTTTTGCTGGAATGTGTGCTTCTTTTGATGTCTTTCCGTAACCTCTAATCTGGCCAGACCCATTCGCGCTTTGCAACAGTATTATACCATTCAAAAAAAGAACTAAACCCCCCTATAACTGATCGTAAGAATGGTATGTAATATACAGTCATCATTTTCAGTTGCTCTCTTTTTATTTCACCGTGGTTAAACCTTAGGCTTATGTAGCGGACTAACAATGACAATGGCAATTCTGCATGAAATTCATGATTCAACTTAGCTTCGTTTCAGACTCCAAAAAAACAAAAGGGAAATATTAAAACCCAGACGAAATCTACTTCTCCAGAAAATATAAACTGTTTATATTCGCTTTCTACCCTTCTTTGATTGTCAGTTCAGTTATGTGCAACCTTATTAGCGTTAACCTCCGCCATAACCCAGTCATTGCGTACACAATTATGTTTTAAGATAATTTATTATTTTAAGACTTCCTAGTGTTTGTTTCGCAACAGTCACCTATATGAGCGACAAACCTTGGGGCGGAGGGAGAAAATAAGAATCCTGATAAATAGTCTGTACGTCATTTGTCATATATTTGCCTTTCAGCTATTACCCCAATTTCTAGCAGGTTCCATTGTTTCAAAGTAGCACTCACTAAAAAGCTTTGCAACCTCATGGCCACCTGCGCTGATCAAGAACAGGAAGGATTCTGGGAGGAATTAGAGAAGCAGTTTGACCGCCAAATTCCAGTCGAGCATGAAGTGAGATATGCCTTAGACACTGTTTTTAAAAGTTTGGATGTCTTTGACCCTGAGGAAAGAGAAGAAGTAATTGACGCCGCAGTGCACATAGCTTACGAGATAGTCACCGCTGTATTGCGAGGAGAAGATGCGAAGCAGGTTCAGAGAAAGGTAGTGGATAATATGAGCGAGGAAGATAAGAGGAAAGCAGAGGAAGATAAGAAGAAAGCAGAGGAAGATAAGAAGAAAGCAGAGGAAGATAAGAAGAAAGCAGAGGAAGATAAGAAGAAAGCAGAGGAAGATAAGAAGAAAGCAGAGGAAGATAAGAAGAAAGCAGAGGAAGATAAGAAGAAAGCAGAGGAAGATAAGAAGAAAGCAGAGGAAGATAAGAAGAAAGCAGAGGAAGATAAGAAGAAAGCAGAGGAAGATAAGAAGAAAGCAGAGGAAGATAAGAAGAAAGCAGAGGAAGATAAGAAGAAAGCAGAGGAAGATAAGAAGAAAGCAGAGGAAGATAAGAAGAAAGCAGAGGAAGATAAGAAGAAAGCAGAGGAAGATAAGAAGAAAGCAGAGGAAGATAAGAAGAAAGCAGAGGAAGATAAGAAGAAAGCAGAGGAAGATAAGAAGAAAGCAGAGGAAGATAAGAAGAAAGCAGAGGAAGATAAGAAGAAAGCAGAGGAAGATGAGAAGAAAGCAGAGGAAGATGAGAAGAAAGCAGAGGAAGATGAGAAGAAAGCAGAGGAAGATGAGAAGAAAGCAGAGGAAGATAAGAAGAAAGCAGAGGAAGATAAGAAGAAAGCAGAGGAAGATAAGAAGAAAGCAGAGGAAGATAAGAAGAAAGCAGAGGAAGATAAGAAGAAAGCAGAGGAAGATAAGAAGGAAGCAGTAGAGGAAAGATCACAAATGTCACAAATGTCACAAAGAGTGGCCACTAAGCAGGGAGAAATAGAAGGTTATATGACACCTGGTGATTTTTTGGAAAAGTTTGAATGGGTCAAAAAGCTGCCCAAGAAATGTGAGCAGAGAGAGACACCAAAAGAAGAAATAAAAAAGTTGAGCAACCAATGTACTGTTATTGACCCGATTAAATCAACGCTGAAAACGTGAAATGTGTTTTTGCTGAATGAGAACTCGCTCAACAAACAAAACTTTCGTTACGGTCATCTATGATCTATACGTGAACAGACACACATCGAAATAAACTACCCATTGACTGGCTTTAGGGTCATTTAGTATAGTCTTACTGGTGATGATTAAAACAAATCTAAAATTTTACAAATACAATATTTTTAAGGCCATTTAATGCTGCCACTGCGTGGTTGCTATAATTCTGAGAGTTCCCATGAACGTACTTAGTATTGATTATACATTTATAGATATTTTTTGATTAAAGACAAAGTGGCAAAGGCCTGAACTGTTAGGTTTTTCACTGAGTTGTATCCACACGGAATATTTCAAACAAGGACGTTGTGAAAACTCTGTTGTTTTCCAGCTAAATCGCTGATCGTTTATCTTGTGCAAAAGTATATTCTGATCCAGAGACTATAAACATAATCTCGACTCTGATAAAATTTTTGTTTACATTTTTCACTCGTAGTTTTTTGTACATAATAGGCGTAGTTCTCAAGTGTGTTTTCCACGCGCACCATGTACAACCAATTTATGAAATAAATTGTTAAAAGTTAACTCGCTAACTTTAAATTCTTTATGACAACGGCAGATAGCTTATCCTACTTGAAGAAAAGCGAATGAGTGTCGAGAGGATTCGGAACTGCCGAGTTGGTTTGGAACTACGTTCTTTGATTGGCCCTGCAAACTCCCGCCACTCTATCAGCCAAACAGAAGCGTACATGCAACCAATCATGACTCGGCAACTCACGATTTCTCTCGTTTCCCACCGTTTTTCTTCGGTTTCTCATTCGCTCATTGTGATTTTCCCATGCTTCTGATTGGCCACTTTGATTACTTTGGTTTGGTTTTACGACGCTAAAACGAAAAACTCCCTCAGTGTGGTTACGGGAGTTTCCAATTGCTATGTTGATTCCCTGCAGCGCTGAACCACAAGATTGCAAGTGTACAATAAGGGGTTTTGCAGCTCTCTTAAAGCAGGTATCAGCAGAAGTTATATCACTTCCCCTCGTTGATGTTTTCTTTTCGCTCCATTCAGTGTCCAACACAAGCATCTTGTCGCAATTGAATGACTAACTGAATAAGTTAGGAATTAGTTATATTTTGTCCTATCAATGATAAACAAATGAAGTGTTCATGATCAGCAATGATTTATTTAGCATCCGCTCGTCAAAATATGATTTATTCGTTTACCTGCGATCAGATTCTTTTACAGAAATGAAGAACCTACCAAAAATTTGCCTCGCTAGAATTTTTTGGATTTGTAGCTCAATTGTTAGTGGCGCTTACCTAGTATTTGGGATGCACAAGTTTGGAGCCTTTCCCGGCTCGAGCTTTTCCAATTTTAGCTCTATGCAAGGATTTTGTCTTCATTCAAGCAAGATTTTAGGGTACCTACCTGTTCCGCGAGTTTGAACTTATCGGGCGTCACAGTGTAAACTCGAATGAACCTGCCCAGGTTACACAAACGACGGAACTGTGCGTGATGTGATGATAAATGTGCCACTAAACGGCAGACCTAGTTTTCATTTATATACAGTAAAAGGTTACGCCACCAAGAGGTTTTGTGCCCAATTGAGATCATGATGGGTCGTGCCCAGTCCTATACGAGCACCATTATCTAGAGGGATGTTTAGAGATTTTGCCGAAATCTTGAGGTACTGCAGTTAGAACTAATACCGTTTGCATTACTTTTAGTACACATTCGAAAAGTGAGTTGAAGCGGTTAATCCCGATGAAAACTGCGCAAAAGTTGTTCTATGTTTACAAAAAAACATTTTTTTTCTTTCCACGCATAGGGAAGGAAATTTGATCTTTCTACTCAACGAAGCAGACACATTTTGTGACTGTCTGGTTGCGGACCCATCTTGCCTTCTTTCGTTTCCGTAAATAACAAGCCCTACCTCGTTACAGAGTCAGTGGGAGTACATCAGTCAGTAATCGCATAGCACTCGAAATTCTTAAGTTTCAATGTCCAGAGTTCCGCATTGGTTATTCTGTCAACCAAAGCTTTCAGTCTAAGACTCTAACTCAACCAAAACAATTAACTGCTTAGGCTTAGACAACTATGGTAAGATTGGCAACTTCGCTGATTTAGTCAACCTCCTAATTATCGGTATGAAACGCTCACTGTGGCTTGTCCTCGAATTACATGCTCGTCCTCAAGCCTCAAGGAGTGAAGAGCATCTAATTTCTCCCTACCATCCATGAGTCAGTGATTGAGGTCATGAGAAAATAGGAAATAATCATCAACTTAAAGTAGTTCTAAATTGTTAAACAAATTCTCCTCGTCAGTAGCTCAGGAAAACTAAAGAAGATGGTATGGAGAATATCCATACTGATGTAAAGGCGTAAAGGAGTAAGGAGTTCAACTTTCAAACAAGTCTGTTTTGTTTTGTTTATTTGACAGTGCTGTAGATGCTGGATGTACTGTCACTTAAAACCATCTAGATCTATCGAAAACGTGTCATTCTTAAAGTTTGTAGAATGCTCGATAGTAAGAATGATAATACTAATAATGTTTACGATTTTAGATTTATGAAATTCATATATTTGCACTGCGGTGAAGAAACGAATGTAAGAGATCCTCGCAGCTCATTTTTCACCACTTGGATGGTTCATCTGGACCCAACATATTGACCAGCTCCCAGTTGGCTTAATAGCTCAGTTGGTAGAGCGCTGAACCGGTATCGCAGAGGTCATGGGTTCAAATCCCGATAAGGCCTGAATTTTTTCTAGGTCCTATTTTCAACTATTAGTTCAGTAGTGTTCTTAGCTGCGACGATCTCTTAAATTCGTTTCTTCACCGCAGCGCAAATATATGAATTTCAAATATCTAAAATCATTATTCATCTCTTGCATAGTTTATCTGGACCCAACATATTGACCAGCTCCCAGTTGGCTTGTTAGCTCAGTTGGTAGAGCGCTGCACCGGTATCGCGGAGGTCATGGCTTCAAATCCCGTACGGACCTGAATGTTTTCCATGTCCTACTTTCAACTACTAGTTCAGTAGTGTTCTTAGCTGCGAGGATCTCTTAAATTTGTAACAATAGTGATATTATTAATAATTATCAGTGATATAAATATCATTTAACAGGCCCTATGTCTTGGCGCTTATCCTGGGAAATCATCAAAGAAAACCACAACACTTAAAAAAAAACCGTTGTGTTTTTTATTACTTCATTGTTTCATAACTTATCTAATATTCTTACATTCACCAAAATATTTCTCCAATGTTTCTTTTTCTTTCAATTTCTAGAATACATTATTCAATACCATTTGTCAATGACTAAAATGGCTTCTTGCTAACTACATAGGAAATAATCAAATCTGCTCATCACTGCAAACTGCATGATCCTAAGAACGAAAATATAGGTAATATTTCAACGGAATAAACGTGGCTGTGATGAACAGAAGCAGTACCACAAGTATGGGGAACACGTCCGCGTCCTTAATAAAAAAAAAAAAAGAAAACAGTTTCTATTCTAAGGAAGATGGTTGTTGGCTGAAACCTAGTGACCCTTTGGATGAATCGAAAACAGATTAAGCATTAATAACCATGCAGTGAGTTTTTAACGAAAAAGTGTGAATTATTCTTGTTGCTGATAATTCAGATAATTATCGAGTAATAGAGTAGTTTTCAATTGACTGTCTTAAAGCCAAGACCAAGATAATCACAACCGCCAATCAAAACAAAGGTTTGCGTCATCATTAAACAATTAGGATTCAAAATTAAAACAAGCACACTTCCAAAAGCGCGGGAAAACGTGGGCGACCAAGTGATGTTGGCTTTCGTTTGGCATCTGATCGGTTAAGAGCATGGCGCGATTTTTCTAGACCAATCACAAACCGAAGCAAAGCAAAACAAAGGCAATCCCGCAAAACTTTCAACACTCAATTAAAATTACTCAATGATGTCAAGCTCAATACTCAAATCTTTGACATTTTCAAAGATAAAATCAAGCGCGGGACAAACTAACCCTTACAAGTATGATAAAGAGAGATCACTTAACAAGCGCTACAATCTGCACCAAACATTGAACAAAGAAACCGATCAGACGAACTTTACAAAAGAAGAATCTGGGGCTTAAAATGATTTCGTCCCGATAAAAACCAAAGACCCACTTTTCAGCTGGATTCCTATTCCTACAATTACTGTAATCAATGGGAACGAGGAATGACAAGTTTTTGTTCACTTGCGCATTAAAAAGAAACAAAAACAAAATCATAAATAAGATAAAAGTTCACGTATCAAATCAATACTTTAAACAATTATCATTATCATTTCTGTGTTAGCGACGACTTCTTTGTCTCCTAAAAATACATATTTACATCACCATTACAATTCAACTTTTGGTTCTTATTTTTTTGGAAAAGTATTTGTCTTTGATTCAAAGTCCTTCCCGACTCTTAACAAACTGATTGGCAAGATTTTATAAAAGAATTCCCTCGAAACAAACCTAACCTAACCCATCCCACCCCAGCCCTTCTAGTGCAATCCTTACCCACCCTCACGAATAAATTTGACCCCACAGCTCACCCACCTCTTCCCGATTGATAACACGTTTTGATCAATCTTAGTCTAACAATCTCGAAAAATTGGCATTTCTACCAAAACTTCCCCACTGCGGGGCATGCAGATAATACGCTTTGTTTCCATAGGATCATAATTTTTTCAAGAAAAGATTCTTCCTCCCACCAGACCTTTTCCAACCACCCTCCCTTGCTTCCCTTAAACCCCCCTTAACCCCCCCCTCCCCTAGAGAGACCCTCAAAAAGCAGTGTCGTCCCCCACAGACCCTCCGCTCTTCCTGTTGTCGTCAGGACCGCCACTAGTCCGATGACTCCGCACGACTTGAGCAGCCTGCAGCGAAGCTAACAGATCATCGGAGTTTTTACGGAAAGGGGGCTGAGGGTTGCGGTTTCCCTTGGGTTTAGGGCGAACCGCTGGGGGAATTTTCGGTGCCGGTGCCGGTGCCGTTGTTGTCGGAGAAATGCCCTGGGGAGTGTTATTCGCTGGAATGCTAACTTCCTCTCGTGGCTGCCACACACCTTCTACGGACTTCCGGTTTTCCTCTTTGGAAGCTTCACCTCCCCCTCTCCAGTCTTTATCCGTTGGTTCTTCCTTCTTTTCGGCTTCTTCCGCCTTCTCCTGGCTAGGTGACTGGGATTTTCTGGTAGGCGAGATGCTCCGAAGCCTTGGTATCACGAATCCTTGTTCCTTATCAGGTGTCTTATCCACAGAGTTGTCGCTCTCTTCTCTGGGCGCCTTACGAAGCCGCGTCAGCTGCCGCTTTACGATATCTTCCGATGAGATTGCTGGCACGGAGGTCTTCTTAAACGACGATGATCCTGGAGATGGCCCCTGAGAGCTCACTCCTATCGGACTTGCTCCGATGGGACTTGCTGCTGCGTGGCTTGCATGATCCGCTGTGGGAGAGGGTAAACTGTCCCTTCCTCGTAGCGAGCCCTCTCTCTTGGGGATCCTTGGAGGCAGATCCCTAGGCCTGTCTATTCCACTGGATGAAATCTTGGGTGATGGCGACAGCTCGCCGGAGATCGAGATATTCCCTTCGCCATCATTTGCATCGACATCGTCGTCTGTCAGCATACGAATGTACCTGGCTGGCACAAAGCCTTCAGTTCCATTGATTGTCCCGTCCCACCATTCCGGGTTAAATCTTTTGAACACCTGAATAATGTCGCCTTTTTTAAAGGACAATTCCTTGGAGGATCGAGCTGAGTAATCATATATCGCTTCGGCTTCCCTTGGCTCCAGATCTGCAGGAAAAAAAAGGAAAAAAAAGTAACCATGACTGTAAGAAAAAAGACGACGAACTGGCATGAAACGCACGAGTAATGCGAGCGCTCAGCTCGCTGTTAAATCGCGTTTTATATTAACGTGTAGGCGAGTTGCAGAGTTCGTTATGTGCAAGTGAGGTTCAAAAGAACCGGAAGTAAGATAGATGGTTGCAATTTTTAGCTAAAATGGACGTGTTGACTCTAAGAATGTTTCAACATTCTATTTAATCTAAAAAGATATCTTTTAAAAGCAATGTTTTAAATGCTTTAAATACTTGACGCACTCCTCATTCTCTCTCTCTTCCTTCTGAGAGGGCATTAAAAATCGTTCCATTCTGAACACTTACCTTCCTCGCTCTCACTCTCTTCTGTCTCAGATAATGGCGCTGGTAGCGATTCTCCAGAGCCAGGGAATATCTCGTCACAATGTTTAATAAGTAATTCTATCATTCCATTCACTTGACTTTGATAAGCTATCATGTCTTGTTCGGACGGGATACGTAACAATGTCGGGCCGAACACTACCGCCAGATTGTGGGCGTCCATCTTGTTAGATTCACTGTGCTGTGCAACTCTGCCGAGAGACGTCATACCGAAGAACATTAAATTTTGGGGGTTCAATTTTGCGAACGTATTCTTTGTTATGGGAAGTGGCTATAGAGTAGCAGTTTTTTGAAAACTTCTAGAATGCCTTGTCACGGCAATGTGGATACTCGAACTTTCTGATGTCATACCATGGAACTGCCTGGAACATTCTATTGGGTTATGTAATTATGATGTTATTTTATCTGAAATTGCTGTGTTGTAGTCTTCAAGAAAGTTCTAAAAAGAACAATTGCTGTTGTTGACAGAGACCGACTGTCTGAAAAGCTATACTGACTGAGAGCTATTCAGCTCGTTTCGCCTACGGGTCGTTTCGCCTTCGTCCAGAGTCGGTTCGCCTACGATTCATATGCATGAATAACACTACAGCAGTGCAAAAGCGTGGAAAGCATGATAATTACAGTAATTTGAATATTAGGGTACAATTGCAACATTGATATATATCATAGCATTTATCCAATATTGCAAAAAGGGTCAAATCAATTTGTCTCTCATGTCAAAGCGCGGTGAGATGAACCCAATTAACATGGTAATCATTAGAGTTCATTAGTTGTGATATCAAATTTTCATGCGATAGTTTTCGAACATCATCAATTTTTGTTTCAATTGAATCAATTGTTTTATACAATAATTGTCATTGTACGGGGTTTAAGACGTAGGCGAACTGACATATTGGACGTAGGCGAATCGACTCTAGACGTAAGCGAAACGACCGTAATTCCTTGAAAGATTGTGTATTTCGAGGAGATTTAGAGGCAACATTCACTTTGCGTCAGTGGCGAACTAAGTTTCAATCTGCATTGGGCTAAAGTTAATAATTTGGGACACGTTGTTTAATAGGGAAGTTCGGTTTTCAGGAGAGTAGCATTCTTTCTGGGTAAATTACATTGTAACATCTTCGATCCGATGAAAACCATCAACTAACAGAGCTTTTAAAAAAGATTGACTTATAATACTTACAAGCTAAGGAAAGAAAACAGATACTCCATCACTCGAACCACTGATTCAGGAAGCGAACTGAGTGCAGTCATTATTTCTTTGATACCATCTTCTACTGACGCTGACACTTCAGATAAAGAGAGGATAGTGCACCATAATCAAAGATCCAACACAACTTTAAAGTACAAAATTCAGGTTTTTTTTTTTTTTCCAGACATATAATTTCACAATAAAAAAAACCCCCGAGATGATAAACCTTGGTGGACTGAGCACAATCACCGCAGGTAACCTTGCATGTTTTCCCGCCCTTTGCCTGGGCCTAAAACTACTTGCTGTCCTCCGCACCGGTTGCAGGCCCTCCCGCCTTGGGCACTGATCGCATAATTACCCAGTGTTCGCAGCGGTTTCATATTTCTCACTCTTAACGCAGGTAGGACAATTTTTCACCCTGGGTACAAGTTATACATTATTCCGCACTTGGCATTGAACGTAAAATTTCCCCTTGACGTAGATTGCGTAATTCGCGCCCTTTCAAAGGTTTAGCTCGCTATTTTTTCTTGCTATGTGCAGGGGTTTCATATTTCCCGCTCTTGAAAAAGTTGTGAAATTTCCCGTTCTTCACGCTGAATTGCAAAAGTCAATACCAGTTGCTGTACAAGATCCCTCTTTTGATAAGACCTCAACAATTTTCCAATTTTTAAAACCGCTTGCTTTCCTCAGCCATGGCATCCACTCTTTCCCTCTCACCCACTATCCTCGGTTATAAGCCAGGAGGGCCTCAGTCTTCGTTAGAAAAGAGGAACTACCCTCATTTAACAATATAACGAGATACTTACAGCTAGCCTTAATGAATTCTTGATAATGTGAACTAGGAAACAGAGGATCTTCCAGTTCCCTGAAATAAACCCGGAGTAAACCAGCCACGGCGTTGATATCTTTCCAATGATTCAGACCTGCTAACGGATCACGACCTACCAAAAAAAAAAACCCGCGAATTTCAGCCGCAACGCGATAAATGTACAGAGAAACAAAACGTTCCCTAACTTTCAAGGCAGTTACCATTTTCAAAAAGTTGTTTCATGTCGTTTATTTCCGTTGTGGATCCCGATAACCGAAATATTCCTTGATGGTCCAGCCCTACGAAAACAATAAAATAAATGAAAACTGTTATGTTATGACAGCATACTTCCCAGGGCAGCAGACATAAACTAAAATAAGGGATTTTTTAAATCCTTCGAGGCCCCAGAATCGTCATTCTCTCTGACGAAGGGTTACCGCTCAAGACGTCAGCTAAAAGGGACTTTAAGAAAACCACGACGGCAACGACAACGTCACTAAACAAAAAGTTTAATGAGAAGAACAATAGCTGTGCACGTGCGTTATAAATCTTTGTAAATTTCTTTGCGTCCTCTGCAAAACAACAACGTGAAATGACAAACCTGTGTTCCATATTCAGTTTCGAGATAGTTTTGACAGTGAGAAACAAACTAAATGACTTTAGAGTATCGCAAGATTCGTTGGTAAAATATAAGTTCATTTTTTAACCGAAGTTGTCTAAGGCATCGCCGCCGTCGTCGTTTCTTAAACTCCCCAGAGATTCTCTCAACGGTGGCCAATTCACATTATCAAATCAGTTAATAAAACTTAATTAACTAACCAGGAAGGCCGAATTTCAAGTACTCACCAAACTTTTTAATAAACTTGACACAACTTTCTACAACCTCTGGAATTTCTCTTCCTGTAACCTGAGAAATAAAGCAAACTTGAAACAATCAATTTAACAGGCTAACAAGAGCTTCTTAAGATGGCGATCACTTCTTTAGTTCTCGTGACCTTAATGTTAGATTCAGGGATGATATTGTAAGAAAACATTAGAAGCAAGTCACTAAGAGCCGGTTTTTACACGAGATCTAACCCAAACCGCGGTTTTACGCAAGCAGTACACCTCAGGGATTCTCTATAAGAGGGCTGATTTAATTACAAAAATATCCTTTCACTATCAGCTTTCGGCCCTCTGAACACTACTAACAAATTTAATTATTCGGATAGAAGTTCGGCTAAATTGAAGATGGCTTAGAATGCGGTTTGGTTGAAATAATCGGCCCTTAGGGTCTAAAGAGTCAATCCCCGATATCTACCTAAGGAAATGTCACAAAAATTTCCCAAAAACTTTGAAACAATTACAAGTGCGGTTATTTTTCCGCAATGAGTCGTTAAGAACTGCATGATATGACTTGGTGCATGTACTTACTTTAACATAATTTTCTAGATTACATCCAAACACTTTGGTCTTCTTGTGCACAGAGTCTAGAATCGCTGAAGCTTCTTTAGAGGACATATCTAGCGCTATTCTCTTGAACCTTAAAAAAAATTGATGAAATAAAAATTCATATCATTTTTATAATATCAACACATTATAAATGTGAAATATGTAATGAGAAAAGAAAGACTTATGGAGCAGCAGGTGTCATGGAGGCGAGATATGGGGCAGACAAAATCAAGTACTGTACCAAAAACCACGATTGCAAATGCTCGTGGTAGAAATTTAGGGTACATTTTCCAAGACAAAAAATCAGTCTTTTCTCTAATACATGTCTAGATACTTTGCGCAAGCCCCACACATCCCTTAAGTCATACCCCAGCTCCAAACCCCCGTTTGACGTCCTAAAATCCTAAAAAAACCGCCAGAAATTGAAGTTAAGGCACGCGGAGAAATACAAAACAAAACAAAACAAAACAAAGAAATTCGGGGTTGCTTTGGTTTTCCTTAACTTTGCTCTTCTCTAACTTTGCTCTGTGATTCAGGGTCCAGAAGAATCGTGCCATCCTCTCAACCAATCAAAAGCAAAACTTAAAAGAATCGTGACTTGGTCATTCGCATTTTCCCGCGCTTGAGCAGTTTTCAGTTCTCATAGGCTAATGACAATGTAAAACTTGGTTCTATTTAGTCCCTGAGATAACCTTGGTCTTGGACACCCAATTGAAAATTGCGTTACAAAAACACAAGGACGCGACCGCTTGCTACACGAGAAAGGTCGCCAAAATGGTTCCTTTCGGCGCAAAGTTCGTCTCCAATTTTATTCCTTCTGACCAAGGAGATCAAAACGGCCACAGCTTAGACAGGGGAATACTACATGTGGAGATGTTGGGCAAGAAGTGTGGAAATTCATTTTTAACATCATTTTAAAATACCTGGCTCCCACAATGTCTGGTGTTACTTCACCTACGAAGAGTAAACAAAGTTAGTAAATGATTGTAAGTCACTTAACAATAAAAAAAGTAAAAAAGTAAGAAGTACGGATTACTACTAACCGAGTGTTTTAGTCAGCATATCATTTTCAGCCTCCACACGGACTTGTACACTACTAATAAGAATAAGCTCCCGCATTTTCTGGAAGAGAAAAAATATCAGAAAGCAACATAAGGAAACATCTTTTAAGTGCGCCGCATAATATCAGAAAAGAAGGGTGCAAAAATTCTGAGCACTGACGTGACGTGAAACCTGAATATTTTACAACAATACTACAATTGATCCCGACTGTGCAGAAAGTAAAAACACCAACAGCAAAGTAGCAGATTAACTCCTGGACTCCCAAGATATGATTGTAAATTCTCCTTTCCAGCTGCAACACATTTCCTTGTAAATTAGTTACAAGAATTTGGTGTTTGATCAAGCAGATAACCACTACCTGATAAGTCTGAGTATTCTCATTACCTGTTTGTTTGATAATGTTTGGATATTTAAGGGAGAAATTACATGTTAGTTGCTTCTGGGAGTAATTGAAAGGTTCCAATGAGACCGTACCGTCATATAATACATCTCTAAGTCTTCACTGCTGTTCTTGATTGATTGACAGCTGCCTAATCCAGCAACAGGATCCACTGCACCATTGGCCACTTTCATCATTTCACTGTCCCACTGCTGATGCATCGATGCAAGAGCATCTGAGGTGGCCTCCGCTGACTTTCCAATCTAAAAAATGGACAACAGTGGCTGTTAAATGCAAGATGAAACTCATAGACATGAATGGCTTTTTAAGGGAACTACTAACTTAACTTAACCCCTTATACCCTGGCATCAGTGTTCATATTCTCCATACTGTTCTCTATACATTTCCTATGATACGAAAGGAGAATTTTTTTCAACAATCAAGAGCATCTTTAGTTGATGATCATTTCCTTAATTCTCATGACTTTTGTGCTTGACTCAGCAGTGATACTACCAAGATAAATTAGAAGCCAGTTCCTCTTAGGAAGAAAAGGGTTAAAATGTTCTTTACTTTCTTTCCTGCTCCATTTTGCAAGAGGCTTTCAACATTTCTGACTGTAGCAGTGAGCAGGATGCTTATCAAATATGAACATACTACTTCCATAATCCACAACAGAATTCTCTGTAGCTCAGTAATAAAACACTGGATCACAAAGTCAGAAAGTCTAGGGTTTGATTTTGCACGACTCAGCCAGTTTTTGCCTCATGCTTTCAGCAAAATGAATGGCCACATGAGTCATTTAAGGCCAAAACCAAAAGCTGTCATCTTCCTCATCCTCTTTAACCTTTTACACCCCAACATCAATGTGTAAACTCTCCATACTACTTTCTATACAGTTACAAAGATGCTGACAGAGAGAATTTGTTTAACAATCAAGAGCTTCTTTAGTTTGTGATCATTTCCTTTATTCTCATGACCTGGATGTTTGATTCAGGGTGATATTGTCTGGAGAAATTATACACTAATCACTCTTAAGGGTTAAAGGGTTAAAAAAAAGTGGAAAGGAGATGTCTACGGGAAGGAAATTACAAGCTAGTTCACTCACATTTTTTCTACTTTCTTTTTCAGTTTTTTGTTTGATGAAGTTCCTTAAACCTTGTTGCAATTAGGTATCACTACAAGAAAGTGTTTTAGTGACAAACCTCATCTGTTTCTGCTTTTGCCCTTTGCAGTCTCTCAAACACCCTGTAGTGATGATCTATTACATCAATTTGTTGAGGTGACACCTGATAAAGCTGTGAAATAAACATCCATACACATATTAAATATGACGCTTCATTGGTAAGATCTAGATATCACTCTCCACTGTCTGCCCTACATTTTATTTAATTTCATCTCAAGAATTTGGAGTTAGGTCACATAATATCCCTACTGGTAATGTGTAGAGGTAATCCCATGGGCTAAGTTAAATTGAGGATTAAAATCACACATGTTTTCAGAAATTGCAGAAAATTCTTGAGTCATGCAGCAAGTGACGAGAGCAATTTCTGCAACTTCTTTAAAACAAAAGTGATTTCAATCTTTAACTTTACAACAAAACTTGCTATTACTTTTTTATTACATAAGTGGAAAATTTTATTTTAAAAAAGGTCAAAAACAACTTAGGCATCCTAAGAACTAATCAGTTTTAGGTAATTTTGTACGGGGAATTACCAAATTTAATGAAAAATTCCCTCTATCTCAGCCAATCAACATGTAGTAAATATGCCCTCTATGCCCTCCTCTGGGACTCATAATTTTTTTCTTTGTTCCATGCTTGTGACAAGACACAAAACAAAATCTTTCTTTTTCTCTATTTCCTTACCAAACATTATGCCCTAGTCCCAATTACAGGGGAGTTCACAGCTTATTTGAACAAAGACTACTAGAACTACACATATGCATTACTATGAAACCAGGACAAAAACATTTTAAATTAAGTGCCCAAATTTGATTTCCATCCTCTTTAAAATTTAATCTCAAAAGAAAATGATGACATTTTAATTTCAGAAACAAATCATCTTTAAAAGATGTGAACATCAATCATCCGATTTTTTAAACACAACGTGGTGTTACAAGTTTATAATTGTTTTATCTTTTACTATTTTTACCACTTTTTATGTTTCAAGAATAAATAAAGACTACTACTACTATAAGACTACCACAACAAGCAGCATTATCTAAAGAGCAGAATAGGAGTTCTGAAATTCAGACTAAGAACAGAGACCAACCTCATCATCATTGAACGGCAAGAAGGCAAATGTGAATGGCAGAGCTAATGCACCGGAGTTGTCATCAAAGAAGAACTGTTTATCTTTAGCTGCTTCCACAGTAAACTTAGCTTCACGCACAACATCTACTGACTGGTTGCTGGAAGCTGCTACATTTGCTTCTGCAGTGACATATGCCTCAACTCCTCGAGTGAAAGAGTCGTGGTAATTGTAGTCAAAAGTCTGAGTAGAAAACAAAATACAAAATTTAACCCTTTAACTTCCAAGATCTCATTAGTAATTCTCCTCATTGTCTACCATACAATTCATATAATGTTAGTTCTGAGAATTTAGTTTTGGATCAACCAATCATCCCCTAATTGATATTTTACTATAATCTCATCTCTTCTCTGCTTGATATTGTATTGATATTGTAAGGAGAAATTCTGTCTTGATCACTCGTGGGAGTTAAAGGGTTAAGATCTTGTTACCCATTTAACCCTTCCACTCCCAAGATCTGATTGTAAATTCACCCCTCTAGCTTACAAATAAGTGATGACAATTTGGTGTTAGATCAAGATAATAATTTCTACCCAAAAGGTTTAAGTATTTTCATTACTTGATTGCTGAATGATGATGGATATTACAGGGAAAAGTTACATGTTAATCACCTATGAATCAAACTTATGACAAAATTCTAAAGAGAAAGTAATCATCCTTTCCATGTTTTCATTAAAAAAAAAAAACAATTAACTCAGTGAAATGCCCAACAACAGCACACTTTCATGATGTGTACTGTCCATGTACAAAGGCATGACATGCCAACTGTCCTATTACACTGTCCAATTGCAAACACAATGCATACACTGTCCTATTAGGGCTTTAATCAGACTGGTGATAACCAATCACATTCTACAATTTTGTTATAGTTTTGATTAATGAAGATATACCCTGTAACATGTAATGGACTTGCATCCTATCCAGGGGTATTAAATATACTCCATACTTTGCATTTGTTGCTGCTTCATGATAAAGATACCATCATAGATTCAATAGAAAAAAAAGGCCTGGTAAAGCTACGATCCTTGTAGATAAGCTGTAATTTTAGCAATTGCAAAAGAAAAGCCTGGAAAAAATTCAGGCTTCAACGGGATTCAAATGCATGGCTTCCAGATACAAGTTCGCTACTGCTACCAACTGAGCTACAAAGCCACATATTGGGGGTGAGGCACATTTAGAAGTTTCCTTTTTCCTGTGGAGGAACTTTATCATAATTTTTATTGAGAATTTTGACCAAAAAAAATGGGTCCCTTGACCTCAAAGACTTAACCTACAGTATGGGGCACAATCAGAGGTAAAGTTACACTCTGCCTATCACAAGACGACAACAAAAACAACAAAATCGATCAGTGGACATTTGTTCTAAAAAAAAAAAAAAAAAACAAAAAGAAAAAGAAAAAAGAGCATACTCACATCAACCAATGTCTTGAGAAATCCATTGTAATAATTCTCCAAGAAATGGTTTGTAGACTCCAGTGATAAGACATACTCATTCTTAGCTTTGACACACCTCTTTTTGCATTCAGTACATTTTTGTTGGTGCTATTAAAGACCGGTAAAACAACACATGAAATGATGTTTACATGTGCCACTACAGTTATATCATTTATGGTCATTGTCATCAACAATGTAATCATTAACTATTTTAACTGTTTTATAATACCAATATTATATCATCTTGAAAAAAATTACAGTCAAACTTCAATTATCTGGAGTCATATGGGGCTGGGCCAAAAAGTCCCGATAACTGAGAGTTTCAACAATAAAAAATATGAATAATAATAAGAAGCCTAAAATAAAATTGAAATCATGTACATACCCTTAAATCAATATTACCAAAGAATTAACACATGTTCTCAAATCAGAGTGCATCATCATTAACATCTGTCAAAGGTATGTTTGGAAATTAAGAAATCTAAACATCAACGTTTCATGGAAAGCAGAACAAATTCTGTGAGTCTGATGGCTGCTTCTTTACAAGTGCTTTGATTAATATCAAACGTTGTCACACTTTGCAAATGTAACAAATAAATGTTTATAACAAATAATACCACAAAAGCAAGTCCTCATACACTGTAATAAAAATATCTCCAAAAAAAGTCCAGATAACTGAGGTTTGACTGCATCAGAGTAATTATATTTTTTTTTGGCAAGATTATAAACTGCTCTGGTCATACCTTCTCAACTTGCTTAGCCATTTTTTCATTCTTTCTTCGTGAATCTTCCATCTTTTGAAGTTTCTGTTCCGCTGTTTTGCTCTCTAAAGCCATTGCATGATAGCGATGGAGTCTCTACAACAAAAAAAAAAGATGTATGCCATGAATCCTTTACCCCTTACATCAATATCCATATTCTCAATACAGTTCTCTAGACATTTCCCTCGGTACTTTTAAGGAGAATTTATTTAGCGATCAAAGCTTCTCAGCTCTGCAAGCATTTCCATTATTCTCAAGATCTTAATGAATGGTCAGTAGTAATTACTGTGAGGAGAAATTAGATGCTGGTCACTCTTATAGTTTAACCCTTTAACTCCCAAGATTGGATTGTTAATTCTCCCTCTCTAGCTGCTACACGTTTCCTTGTAAATTTGTTGCAAGAATTTGGTGTTGGATCAATATTTAAAAATATCTCATACCTGATAAGTTTGAGTATTCTTACTACCAGTTTGCTGAATAATGTATGGATACTACAGGAGGAAGTTACCTGTTGATCTCATCTGGGAGTTTAACTTCCACGAGTGACCAAGACAGAATTTCTCCTTACAATATCAATACAATGTCAACCAGGTAAGTTATGAGAATAAAGAAAATTATCAATTTAGGGATAATTGATTGTTTCAATACTAAATTCTCTGAAGTAACATAATAAGAATTGCATGGTCAACAGTAAGGAGGATGACAAATTTGAACTGGGAGTTAAAGGATTAAGGATTAAGGGGCTAAAACATTTTTTGATAGGTTGGAAAAAATTCAGTTCCTGTTGTACTACACTAGTCTAATTCAGTAACAATTTTCATCTTGAACACTTGTATAAGGCTGAACAATTTATCATAAAAGTTCCATTGAGAATAACAACTCAGTTTTTGTATTCACCCTGTTAAGATCGTTAACTGATTTGAGAAGTTCATCCTGGAGAGTTGAAGCTGTCTCACAACACTGTAAAATACAAAAAAAAAAAAAGGGAGAACTTACAAAATTAAAGATATTCCATGCTTGTTGCCTATCTCACTTTCACTTAAAATATTACTAATATTAATATTAATATTCTCCACACTGTTCTCTTTATATTTCCCATAGCACTGACAAGGAGAATTTGTTTGAAAATCAGGAGCTTCTTGACTTGGTGATCAATTCTTTTATTCTCATCATCTTTGTACTTGATTCAAGGGTGATACTGTGAGGAGATATTACATGCAAGTCTCTTTTAGGGGACAAGAGTTGACATCATAAAGATCTAGAAATAAAACATAACAGTTTTTCCACTTGACCACCCAACGCACCCTAACATCAGTGCATATATCCATACTGTTCTCTTCACATGTCCTATGGTGCTGTCAAGGAGTAATTGTTTATAGCAATGAGGAGTTTCTTTATTTGATGATCATTTCCTATATTCTCATGACCTTAATGTGTGATTCAAGGGTGATATTGTTGGGAGAAATAGGGTGCTAATCACACTTTGGGTTAAAGGATTAAGATAATTATAAACTCTTACATGCTTGGATATTCTTTTACAGTCATCACTTATAATCATGAATCTATTAACAATGTCAGTGGAAACATTGTCAGCAAGACCCTGATGCATCTTCGATTTGTTCTTTGTTTCAATGAGGACTTGTTGCCATAAATCCATTGTGGTTCCCTTCTCTTTCCTAGTGACACAAGTTAAATAGTGAATAAGGGCATTAATAAATCCCACACTCTGTTAGTCAATTACAACAGCATGGTGGACTACCAGTTCAAAACAGAGAGCCACAATTAAAACAAAGACAGTTCTTTTTTTTCCCACCAATTCTTTTCAGAGCCACACAGATCATTTAAAACCACCTTATGAAAGTCCATATCTATCAATTACTGCCTTGAAAACTTAAAATGGCCAGATAAAAGTTCAACTTTTTGCATCAGTTTCTTCCAAACACTTGGCTATACAACACACAGTACTTTTCAGAGCCACCTCTGTTCTTTTCAAATCCAACCAAACTTACAAAATATGGTAACTAACAATCACTGTCTTGATTTTGTTTAAAATATAAGTGGGAAAAATTGGCCTTATCAAAGCAGTTTCACCAAAATACTTGGCTACAAGATACAAACTGAGTTTACCATCAATTTTCCATGAGAGGACAAATTTTACTGGTAAAAAATGGTGCACCTTGTGACTCAATAACTACATAACAATGTAGTTGAAATGTTTTAAGTTACCTCTGTGTTTTATGCCTATGAAGTTTTTCCAGATACATTTTTGAAAGCCTATCTAGGTTTCGAGAATATTCCAACTCAATTTCTGACAGCCTTCTGAAAAATTCCTGCAGATCTGCCAGAAAAAGCAGTTTTCCCTCTGTTCTGTTCTCAAAGCATTTCAGCTGCTCGATAACAATCTGGCGCATCTCTGTCAAAAGACAACATTAACATCTTGGTTAACCAATGGGTTCTAGGATTAATAAATAAAATTTATTGGAACTAGACTAACTGTGAACATTGGCATATGAGCTACACCTTTTCTCTCCAAAATTTCTTTACAAATCAAGGGTGCTGCTTACCAGTGAAAACATCTGGTAAACATGCCATGAATTTTCATCAATCAACATGATTGCTTGAAAATGCCTGGTTACTAAGCTACAAACACCCCCAACAAACAAATAAAAATTCCATTCATTTCATGTTAAACTTGATTGAAAACCTAATAGGAAAGAAACAAACACTTGTTAACCCTTTAATTCCCATGAGTGACCAAGACAGCATTTCTCCTTACAATATCAACACAATATCAACCAGATAAGGGTGAAAATAGAGAAAAATATCAATTGGGGATAATTAGTTGATCCAATACTAAATTCTCTGAACTAACATTATAAGAATTGTATTGTTGACAGGAAGGAGAATTACAAATTTGATCTGGGAGTTAAAGTGTTAGGCAATACCAGAGTAAGATCAAACACAAGTCTAAGTCAGTGGATACTATGTCCATACTTCAACATCTAAAATAATTTGCAAGGATTCAAAATCTAAAAAATGTGTTAATAAAATATTAAGCCTTTAACTCCCAATGTTCATACTTCAACAACTAAAATAATTTGCAAGGATTCAAAATCTAAAAAATGTGTGTTAAAATATTAAGCCTTTAACTCCCATAAATGGCCAAGACAGAATTTCTCTTTACAACATCAATACAATATCAACCAGACAAGTGATGGGAATAAAGAAAACTATCAATTTGGGGATAATTAGTTGATCCAACACTAAATTCTCTGAACTAACATTGTAAGAATTGTATGGTTGACAGTAAGGAGAATTACAAATTTGGTACATCTGAGATAATAAGCAGGTTTGAAGGTAAGTTTGGGTTTTTAAATATTGATAAAGATTGTTACTGTGAACTGTCTTTGGGAAGTGAGTTAAAAATGGTAAAAACTTTTATATTACAAGCTTTATCATTACCAAATTGAGAAGTTAAACTTAGTTTACACACATAATATGTTAACACAAAAAAAGGTAACATTCACTCAGAATAAATGAAAAACTAATCTAGCTGAGTAAAAGTAAATAATATTTAAATAAATATATATATATATGTATATTACATACACCATTAGTTTTCATTTATGACATTTTTTCTTGAACGCATAGAGCTCATGGCGTATCTTGGCGATTGTACTATTTCATGTGATTATATTTATCATGATTATCATAATTTAACATATTACTTGTAGTATTTGCTCCTATTTTTTTGTATTTTATTTGTTTTTGGGTTTTTACAGTTTTTACAAGTACGCAAGATACATCACAAATTTCTACATGCATAAATTTACATTACACTACTCTATTACACAAAGAAAATACCACTACACTGGACTATGAGAATAAAAGAAAAGAAAAAAAGGCATCGCATATTGATATAAATAATAAATTAGTTCAGCTATTGTTCTATCAGTTGAAGGAGGGGTTTCCATTTGTTGTAATGGATCTCAAGTTTATTATTCTTTCTGGCTATAAAATGTTCTATTTGAAACGTACTCTTAATTCTTAGTATTTGCCCTGCAGAGTTCTGGCCCAGAGAAATATGAAATGATGTATGATTAATAGAGTAAATGGAAAAACACTGGATTTGTCCCAAATGGGGTGCGCAAAGGGTCTACATAGATCCTTTGCATGCCACATAGCAATCAATTGAAATCATGAACCGGTAGGTGATGGTAAATTCTAGGTAGTCTACAGACAGTTTTTATATTTACTTTGAAAATTCAGTACGTGCGCAAAATTTGACCGGCAAAAAGCACATGAAAAGCATTTGAGGAACACGTGAAAACTATCATCACTTTAACACATTTGAACAAATGTATCTAACTCTGTAACCTGTAAAATGTTGTACGCAAATGAAGTTAATTTCACTGCTTGTGTTTCACATCAGATCATACACAATCAATGAAAATGATCCACAAAAGTGTTTGGCTTCACCAGAACTCTTAAGTATTTTTTTCTTTTTCAGCCAACGATGCTTCGTAAAAATATTGAAGAGAAATGTTTAAGATAAAAATTCAAGTGTAAAAAGATAAAGAGTGATTGTAAGAACTTAAGTAATCTTGAGGTGTTTCTGGTCTAACTTGAGAATGCTCCAAAAGCTTGCAAAAAGTGGCAGAATCACTTACATATAAAAAGCATAGTGCCACTACTTGTTACTGTGTTACACTATTTAGTAAGACAGCCATCATGTTATAATGGAAAACCCAAGTGAAGGCCATTGTTGTCTCTTATTTGTTTTTTCTCTTCTTCAATCATCAGGTTTCCTGTCTTGATTTTAGCAAATGTGCTTATTCCAATGACTTTTTTCTTTTTTCATTGTTTTCATTTTGTAATTTGTTAAGTATTAATTTGTGAAATAATTTATAAGAAACAATAAAAGCACTTGAATACCAAAAACAAAGGAAACAAATGACTGCAGGAAGGTAGAAGAGCCCCTGAGATTGTGTTGAATAGTGCCACTTTTTTTTAAGATTAGATCAGTGAGACAATTTTGAGCCAAGTTGTGAATCACTTAAAAAACATTTCTTTAGCTTAAGACCTTGCTTGCTGAATGTCTAAGGTTTCCCAGCCTAAGGCAATGACAGCCTTGGCGCATGAATATCTCCAGTTGCTGATATGCATTATGCGTCTCGCAGACCTATTTTGCAAGTTTTGTAGCCTGTCAGAGCGGCCTTCGTTGTGGGTGTTCCAGATCTCATAGCAGTGATTGAAATGTAGTTGATTAATACATTACAGATGTTAACTAGAGGGCTCTGTCTACGAAATCATGAACCGGCAGGTGATGGTAAATTCTAGGTAGTCTACAGACAGTTTTTACATTTACTTTGAAAATTCAGTACATGCACGAAATTTGACAGGCAAAAAGCACATGAAAAGCATTTGAGGAGCACGTGAAAATCATCATCACTTTAACACATTTGAACCAATGTATCTAACTCCGTAACCTGTAAAATGTTGTACGCAAAAATGAAAGAAAGTTACTCAGCTTTCAGCCATAATTCACATGTAGAGTTAAACCAATGCTACCACCCTAAGCTAATTAATTTTCAAGGTACAAATTTTACAAGCAGAGTAACATTTAGAGTGTATATAGTATTCAAATCATTCTAACTGGTGACAATAATCTCCAAAAAATTCTGAGAAAACTGTAAAAATTTAAAAGTTGTTTCATTGCCAAAAGTTTCAGCTTAATTTAGAAATTTAATATCTTGTAGAGGCAGATCCTGTTTGAGAAGGAAGTCTAAAGATCATATTATGTTGTGATTGTCAGAAAAAAAAAAGGATAACTTCCTGTTATATATATTATAACTCATACAAAACAATATTGTGTGTTACTTTTACCACATCAAGAATTATTTCAGGAAATATGACAAAATGCAAGTGATGATGTTTAAATCCTGATTAAGTGTGCAACATTTTTGTTCAAACCCTTGTTATATATAGCATCACGAAGGAAGAATTTTGTGAGACAGGAAGTGGTTCCAGTCAGAGACAATGGAACACAAATGGGCACTTTTACATAAATTGGTAGGAGAGTATTTGACTTGACTTCACAACAATGAAAGATGGTGTAGTTCTTGGGAAGTCTTTTAGGAATTGTGTCCCATAATCAAATTTCAGTAGAAAATGCTTTTAAAAAAATATATGCAGATGTTAGAGCATGTTTGGCCAAAATAGTGGATCAAAGGATATTGGAACACCAACCAACACTAACATATAAAAATACCAATATTGCTTCGGTGGGAAATTACAACTTAAGCAACTGTACGTAATTGTGTTATTGTGTTATTCTACAAGCTAGCAAATGTCTGAGTTTTCAGTTCGGGAATTTTATCCATTGCATTGTAAAAAACCTGTCTTCTGATCTGTTCGTCAAACGAAAGGTCATAGCTGAAACTAAATATCATACAATTATTGCTCGAGAAAATAACATTTGGAATCGATGATCTAAGAACGTTTGACAGAAACAGAATCACGGAGAACCAGGTACAGTGCGCTGTAAACAAAAACATGTGATTGCACATTCGATTAAATGACTCACGTGGCTACAGACAACTTTTTAACCGAAAAATACGGCCGTTTAGATAATTGCTGAAGGTGTGAAGATGCATTTTACTACAGTCAAGTATTTCGTGACAAAAAACAAACTGGTATATTTTTGATTGATAAGCTTCAAAGAAGAAATAAACGGCTGAAATGTTGTGCATTCCATCAGCTGCGAAACATGAATGCGTTTAATACATCACCTGCTACGTAATTGGAGTTAAGTTGTTCGAAAATGTTAAATAAGGTTGCCACGGGTAAAGCGAAATGGCTAGTTTACATTGCGGTAGAAATCCGTTCGCTCTTACATCTTACAGAATCACGAGCACATAATTATATGTCAAAGTTAGTTCATTTAACTAGCAACAACTTGAGTAGTAGCCACGAGGGAACAAGATGAAAAATTTTCAAAGTAACGAGTTTCCAAGATGTAAAGATAGGTCCGAGGAATACTTAATAAGGTCATTTGTGAATGCCTGCGGTCTCTTGAAAACTAGAACAAACACCAGAATCTCCAAGATTTTGAATACCAGCTCTCAATGATTTTCACACATTCGTTTTCGATTTCAAGAGATTTAAATATTTAATGTTCCAAACACTTTCAAATTGACAAATTTAAACCAAGGTATTTTTTTGTTTACGACCACGAGGAAATACATTCATCTGCTTGAAATAAAACGGTGATTTCATTTGCAAACATATTGCGGAAAATTGAACATCGCTACAAAGTTAGGACATGAACTCGACATATTAGCTTTTTAAAGAAGTCAAAAAGTGAAGTTAATGCGTAAAAACCAAAAGGCTTCCTTGAAGCCAAACACATTTATTGATTAAGCCAAACAGATGAAGGAGTTTGCTTGTTAGAAGATCATAAGGTGAACCATTGATCAAACAATTTTGGCCGATTACATCCAAACCAATTCTTGAAAAGTTCTAAGCGTATACAATCTTAAAATAAAGAGCGTGCGGGATGCGCAGACTTTTTAGCAACTGGTCTTTACTTTGATGACAAAATGCTTGATAATCTCCCCAGAATAATCGAAATAATTAGTCAAAAGTTGCTCAGTATTTGCAGTCCGTCTACTCGCGATGAAATAACTCGACTCTCTTTAACTAATTCGATGGCTCAGGCTCTTCGCAAAACGTCCACGGATCGGCGCTCGCAATCAACGTTGCTCGCAAAATTAACTCATCCCCGGAAACCAGTTTCGCAAATATCTCGGTTATTCTCTCGACAACTATGTTTTACATCAACTGTTCATAAATTCACCGCCCCTTGATCTGTTGTTTTAAGCTGACGCCAGATAACATAGCACTTACCTTTCGTTTGTGTGCCAAACTCCAGAACGGCCGACTTTCCTTTCTTGGCATTAGACGTCATTTTTGCGCACTAAAACGAACACGCTACTAAATCATTTTGGTAGCTGGCGACGATAATTTTACACGGAAGGAATTTTTCCTTCTTTTGGTGGATTTTGAATCAAGAAACTCTTTGTTTTGGGATCAAAATCCACGCAGATCCGAGGTTTACGAGTGCCGGAAGGAAACAGCAGAACTAAATCGGACCCAGTCTCTCTAATGAACACATCCTATCGAAAGCGAGGCTAGCTTATTCAGAAGGCTTTTTTCCAAGAATATCCTAAATACCCATATTTGGTCTTCTTTCTCGAGTGCGACCAACTTTCTATATGCTTTCAGTTCAGATCAACCGTCGAAAAGTCAAACGGAAACATATACCCGGCATAAGAAGTAAATTTGTCGGTCATAGATCTATGTTCAAAAGATGTTATTTCGACGGAGACGCCCACTGGAAGTGAAAAGTATTTATACCGAAACTTGAGCAGCAGTTGGTCGCTCCAGTAAGAGATCCTCTTGAAAGCTGTCAGTATCAGGAAAAAGAAAATGATCAGGATTTCAAGAGTTTCACGGGAACACTGTCACATCAGTGGTCGTAGTTTGAAAATTGAAAGGCCTTTTTGCCGCGGTGGGCCATGCCGAACTCATTCACGGGCCTTCCCGATCACGCGGGCGCGGGATGGACAATCAGTTATTTAAAAGCGAACTTAAAGTCGTTTCATCATTAGGTTTCATCGTTTCATTCTTCGTAGTCGCCATGGATTCCAGACAAGAATCAGGCCACACGCACTACAAACCACTCTCAGAAGACCACGCTGACCTCCGTAATCTTAAAAATTTCGCTGTTTCCTTGATTAACTATTTTAGATGTTATTGTGAGACAATCTATTTGACCAGCGCGAGGTTCTTCCTAAGGTATTCGGCCACGCCTTGTAACTTCTCCGCGTATCTATTAAATCAAGCTACATATCGCGCAGGTTTCTTTTATATTTTTATTTTTTTTAATCTTTAACCCGTATCACTTCAACCCCTCAATTCCCTTGAGTGATTAAGATATAATTTCTCCCTATAACATCAATACAATATTATGCTGACAAGTAATGAGAAGAAAAAAAAGGAATCAGGGGATTTTGGTTGAGCCAATGCCAAATTCTCCGAGCTTTCATCATAATAGTATTATAGCAGACAGTAAGGAGAATTACTAATGAGATCTTGGAAGTGAAAACTCCTGAAACGAACCAGTAGGCCACGGGCTTCTGATCTGAACCGAACAAACTGTAATCTGTAAACAAAATGTAAACAACTACTTTTGGGGTATTCTTGATGCAAATTTAGAAGCTTCTGTTTGTTTGTTTGGTTTTTTATTGCTTGCTTTCAAATTTAAACTTTTATTTGAGGGACAAATCACTTTGGTCAGGGTAGGGAGGGGGGATCACCGATGTCCTAGATTCCAGAATGTGCTCGTAAAATGCTAGGACATCGCTCACTGGATTGCAAAAAAGTTGCTAAAAAATTGCCAAAAGGAAAAAAAATTACAACCAAAATTTTTAAAGTTGCTGCCTAAATTTCCTCCTACTTTTGTATAAATGTTTAATGAAAAGCTCTGTTTTCTTTGGTTATTTACAATAATTGCCAACATTAGTCAAGAAAAACAACCCCAATCATATTCTCACATTGTCATCGATCAACAACAATAACCCTTTACATCCTAACATCAGTATGCATATTCTCCAAACTGTTTTTCATAAATTTCCAAAGAGGCTGACCAGGAGAATTTGTTTAACAATCAAGAGCTGCTTTCGTGGGTGATCATCTTCTCTATTCTCATGACTTTCATGTTTGATTCATGGATGATATTGTAAGGAGAAATTAGATGCTAGTCACTCTTAGGGGCTAAAAGGTTAATCCAAAAAGCTTCATTCTTTAATCTACATCGAACGGAACAGTTAGGTTCAGGTTCTTAAAAAATTTCGTGAGAAATAGTCAGGGAAGGAGATTTAATTTTTTTCTTTATTTCTTTCCTTTTCTTTTCTCGGATAGGAAGTCTGTTTTCATCGAGTATCGTGTTCCGGGATTGCTACGAGACACTAATATCTGGTTAATAATTTCCTTGACATATAAAGATTATGTCATTTCCGTGAATCAGACCCAGACTTACTGTGAAATCCGATCAGACGAGTTACAAATTTGTTACGATGGACTTTATTCATTTGTTTGCCTTTAGGACGTGATCAAAGCCTACAAATAAGGTAAAAATTCCTCTAGATATTTCTGCTTTTCAACTTGCTTCATTTACTTTGTATTTTTTTAAAGCTTAGACTGTTTACGTTGAGTATGAAAATTGATTCATTCGGAAGATGCGATCAGGCAGAACTTTACGCCAATGATTATTTCAAACCGCGCAATCCTTGACTTGTACAAGCCATTCACTAAGAACTCGCCTTAAATCGGCGGATGGATTGGTGATCGGCTAATATAGGCCTTGAAACGTAGATAAATTTAGTTTCAATCGGCTCTAGGGGTGATAGACATTCTAACTTCCAGGTTCAAAATATACGGCTAAGGAAGGTTTGTGTCTGTCATCGGACGTGACTCGTGACGACTCGCGTGGTAACGTGACGTGAGTGTCACGCTTGAAAAAGCCAACGTGTATGGTGCACAAAGGGATAACCGGAGGGAGGGGAGAAGGGGAGGGATTTGAAGACGAATTAACTTTCCCCTCCCCGCATTTATTTATTCGCTTTTAATTGCACCAGCCAAGTGTGCTATGTTCCAGACTGAAGCTTGCCTAGCGTATTCAATTAGGGATTTTTATTTGCAAAAATTAATTAACGGGAAATCTTGGCCTGACAGGTGAATTAAAGTGGACCTGCTACTTTCAAAATATAACTGTAAAAAATATGGCAAAGATTCCTGATAAGATCAATTCTATTTTGAGGTAGAAAACAGACAAATAGCATCGCAAAAAGTGATTTGTTTAAATCTTTATTCTTACCCATTTGAACAGGGTGTTAATTTGCTCATACCGTTTGGATAATTTTGTGACATTGTCCCCAAAGATGAATTACAAAAAAAAATAAATAAATGCGAATGTCAGCAGACAAGTGGACGACGTTTATTGCGCACAAATTCCAAACAGTCATTTCGCTCGAAATCGACGAGTTTTTGAGAATTTCGTTTATGTTTGATCACCAGGAAGAGAATGGATTAACAATGTATTATGTATTCTTACTTATAAAGAGTTACAAAGAAACTTCCTGTTTCATTGATGGAACACCGTCTGAATACAAATGTGCAAAGGTGTAAACAAAATTAGCCCCCAAAAATGAGTGCTTTACCGACATGTAGAATTGTCACCGATTCAATCGAAACGCGGCGACACATTTTATCTTTTCTTCCTTATAGTAAATATAGCAGTTGGATTTGTGCAAATTATTGCCGTGATTCGTGCCGAAATACAAATTGACACAAACTTGGCTGTCGTTAGGTAGAAGTGATTTACGGATTTCATACGTTTATTTCAAAGCCCTTTAAATCTTGGTTTTTCGTGCACGTTTTTACAATTTTAAAAAGTAGACAGAGTTGTTTGTTTCTTAAAAATCTTAGACATCAAGAAGATAAAGTTGCCCTCAGGCGATTGCCATGCTAGTTCCTTAATTAATTTACACAATTGAAAGTCGACTGAATTTAATTACGTAACTAGTCTACAAATTCTTATATTCTCACTAGGAAAAGAGAAAGTATTTCTACTTGACATTACGTTTGTTTGTTGTTTGTTTTAACTCAAACTAATTAAAAAGATCCCTAATTCCATCAGCTCAAAAATCATATTTAAGATTTTGAAAGAAGCTGACATCATTGTTACTAAGCTACGCGCGTTCTGCAAAACAATTTTCCTCGCCATTTCGGTGAAAAATTTCCCAACCATTTTACTACGTGGAAATAAAAATTCTAGTCTTAGAGTCATTTATTGAAGCCCTGTTACCATGATCACAAGCTAAACGGATTCTTCATGGCGTGATTTGTAACGCTTTCATAGCAGGAGAAATTCAAATGCACGAAAATATTCAGATACGTGACAAACAGGAGGTCAAAATGACGAATGCGAATTTTCCTTCCCGGCATCCACTTCAAGACAGGGTTGACTCAGCTGAAGGTCTGTCGAAAACTCGGTCGCTGATTCGCTCAAAAATACGCAGGTCATTTTATACAATACACGGACCCGTCATCAATATTTTAGGCGCTACCACATTCTCATTCATGCTTTTACTGTAAAATTAAGGACCATAATCTTGAACGGTACTTTAAATGATTTTGCGACAGAGAGAAATTGTAACTCAATACTGGAACATGGGAATTTTAAAGAGATAAGCTGAGGTAAGGATATTCAAAATCGACGAAAGATAACCCATCGAGAATTGGTCAAAACTAAAACTCGATACGGGGCATATTTTATTTTCGACAAAATTTAAGACGCTTACAATTTTAGCGAACGAGCGGGGATTTTCGCGATGTACAGACAGTTTCCATTTGGTCACAAATTCACACAACTTAGGCATTCGGATCATTATTTTTTCATAACCTTCTTTTTATTTTCATTCAGAATTCAGCTCTGGAAGGGAACATTTTTAGATCAGCTGGGGAAGTTCCAATTTAATTGTTTAACAAGCCTTCACGCAAAATAACGTTTGTCTCAAACGCCCATCCAATGTTTTCTCGTTTCGCTCGAGTGGCTTTAGCGCGGAACGCACAACATAACGCGATGTCTGAGTGCGGTTAACGGTTTGCGGCGATATGTCGAAATTTTTAGGAGATATTTGAATAGAGAAACGTCCAGCTTCGCTGCTCTTTTATTGCTTTCAATAGTGGTATTTCCAACATGTCGAAATTTGAATGACACGTTATTAAGAAACTGCGTTCTTCACCTTGGCTGTGTCTTGTCGCAAGTTTAAACGTTTGGATAGCGAAGTAGCTTATTTGCCAAGCTTATATACCGTACTAGATTTCAATACATTTTACAATTATTTAGGTTCGGTTTCCTCCATTCAATTCGGAGTCACTACCAAAAGCAAATAATTTATAATAATCTGTATGCAAATTCGCGGCAACAAGCCAGGTTTGTTTATGGCGAAGGTAAATATTACTCTTGAAAAACCTCTTCGTGAAACGTGATATGGTTGCAAATGCCAGCTAGTTTGTGTTGGAAAAACATCACGTATGATATAACTACAATATATTTGACAACACGAGAAGGAAACTATCCTCTTGTTGTGGTTGCCATGTGAATTAGCACAGAAGAAATAAACTACTACTACTGTCAAACCGTTCTGGTTTTCGATATTTCGGAATTAATTCGAGCACCTTTTGTCTGTGAAGCTTTCAGAAAACACAACCACTTGCATGTAGTAACTCTTGTTGTTTCAGTGCAAAATTCCAAAGTTCAGAATATCAATAATAAACACCTCATTCAAAGTTTGAAATACGTCTTTTCAATCCAGTAGTATCTATTTATTCATTTTCAATCAAAGCTCGAGAATTTTGCTTAACTTTAAACCGAATGAAACAGATTTAAAAGAAAGTTGAGAGTTTTATTTCTTATCAAACTGAATAGGAATTATTTGAATAGACATAATTCACACTGCTGCTTTTAATACATTGTTGGGAGTTTTAAAGGAAAGGAAGGAAAGAGTTTAATGTACTTGTGGAAACGTATGAATTAAAACTGTCATCCATAGCTAAATGACAAATTTATGGGTGTGAATTTGCGCTAGAACATGGACTTTTCAGTAGAGGTATATCAAGCTAGCATAGGTTTCGAAAAAACTGTATGTTATTACGCAAAGGGCTTTAAAGAAAAAATTCTTGCAGCGATAAAGTTCTGTAACTTCAGACCGTGTAAACATCATTGAGGTACAAATGAGCGTGCTTTGGAAGGCTGTGTAGAAATTTTATTTGTAGTTAACTTCGTAGGTTATTTAAGATCGTATAGATATTACTAGTACTCGCTTTTCGATACAGCCATTTAAGCATCGAAAGCAGCTCCGTAGTATATACGTCAAAATTATTTCATGGCTATTTTTTGCTTTCTGAATGTTTATCTGTTTCTGCTGCAAATATAATCCAACTCTATAAATTCCACCATTGTTCAGTGCAATTATCTGCCCACAAAACTTCCTTGTTGTGCGCGAAAAGAATAAATTATATTTTAAGTTTCAATATCGAGTTAGATGTAAATCCATTTGCGTGCATAAAACTTGCTTCAATGCGAGAAACAGATGCAATATCATTCACAAGATCACTGCCAAAGTTGTGTTAGTTTTGGCAAAGGCGAATCTTCTCAAATAAGGAATAATAACACAACTGGTTTTGTCTTTTTTTGGCCATCATGTTGTCCTTACACGTTGGTGATCAGCTTAAAGGTACGTGATAACATTTGAAACCGAAATTTGGTTAGAAAACAACTGCAAGAGTTCGCATATCGCACAAGAAGAGGGAAGCGTCTTCACATGGGTTTACAATACTATGAAGAACATGCTATCGAGTTTTTCCTAAATTTAAAGCTATTTTACTTAAGTTTAGACAACTAAAAGTGTCAGTTATTTCCTTTTCAATGTAAGAAACAGTGTTATGAATTAGTTGTCTTTTTAATCGAGCTCCACTTTTCAGAGACAAATAACGTGACAGTTCGGGCTTGAGGTAGACGCCATTATACTTCGTCGAGTAGTAGTCAAGTATTTATACTCTTGCTTCAAAAATATGGCAAGTCGTGGCAAGTAATGGCTTGTTAACTCAGCCGAAATGCAATCATCTATTTACTGTTGCTTTGGGCTGAGAGTTAAAAATGATTAAGATTTCCTAAAATAGTTTTAATAGCGAGACCAATTTATCACAATAATGGCGAAAACGAAGGGAAAATTTAAAGGAAAATCACTGTTTCAAAATAAAGTTACCAACACTTTCGAGAGTTTCGTTCTGCGGTCGATCTAGCAAACAAAAATGAGGATATGAACCTTTTCAACCCCCTTGCGGATGATAAACGAGAAAAATATTCGTTCGTCATAATTAATTCTGGAAGGAATATATCATTAGCGCATCATTCAACTAAAATTCTGTTCAATTGGAATTCATTGATGCTTCGAATCTTATCATTCGATGATTCATCGCTGGATTAAATTTCTATCAAGCTTCGGATTATTGTAATAAAAGGACTTAGAGCCTTTGATCGACAATTAATCGAGTGATCGACAAAGGATCCAATTGCGAACGCCGAAATAACTATTTAGAGGCTAATTTATTTAAAAACTCAATCAAGCTTAAACGCCGATCGAATGGTTAGGATGTAAGAGATTTCGTGTAAGTATGTGAGCACTGATATCTTTCTAAAGTTAACTATCTTTGCGCGAAATCATGTCACAGTTATTTCACATATTGTGTCCATTTTGGCGGCGTCTGAATGTGAAAGATTAGTCGATCAATACCAATTTAAAATCGTCCGAACTTCTTCGATGCTTCGATGATTTCCCACGAATACTTTTATTGCAATATTTGTTATCACAGAAGTGCCCCGTTTAGTCTCTGCACAAAAATCAGTAAATGGCTTTCTTGGTTATATCCAGTTTTATTAAAATAATGCTGTTTTCTTTTACGTCAACAGACCAGGAGGAAAAAGCCAAGATGCAAAGTTACAGGAGTATTGAACAGTTAGAGGCCTTAGCGGGTGAGTTAAACACGATTTTAAAATAAAATAATTCGATAATTTGAAATCTGTGTTATTGGAAAGATCGTAGAGAGTTCTAAACACATATGTAGTGAAATATTTTCGTAGTTTAAGGCTAAAATGTTCTGTTAGTTTCCGGCTTTAGAAATGAATGAAAGCGAGAAAAATTCATGTTTAAACATGATTCGCAAGATGTAAATTAAAAACAACATGGGGTTGTATGCTTTGTTTCCAAAACTCTGAATATCTCGTCTGGAAAATGAATACCTTTTATTCGGTAAAGTTAAACGTAAAATCTCGCGCAGCTTAATTTGAAATTTGATAGAAATGATTTATCAAATTATTTAACCGTGTTATTTATTTCGCGGTCAATGTCATCGTAGAGATGATTTCATCGTTACGTAAGCTTGAGTATATTTATGTTGTTGTTTATGAGATTTCGTGATTTTTTTTATTCAATTCCACAGCATCTCCGAGCGGAATTACGATCAAGGATCATGAAACGGTAAATCTTATCTACATTCATATTTTCATAACTTTTTTTTTTCACAACCCTGACCTAATACTTGAGCTCTGATTTTAAATTAAACCTCCACTTAAATTTTTTTTCAATTTCAACATTAATTTCGGGTTACAACATATGGTTTTAGTAAACTGAAAATAGAATAGTTCGGTTACCTGTAAATGCACTTTTCTTGTTTTCTCGATTAAATTATTGAAATCGGGTCTTTGAATTGAAATTAGAACGAAGTCACGTATTTTTTGAAGGTTTTTGTAAACAGTGTTTCTTTTACTGAGCTGTTTATAACTTATTCAAATCATCGATTTAAGTACGTAATTACAACATAGTTAACATGCCTTGTAGTCAAGAAGACAATTGCTTGTTTTTTCCATTGTTTCGAGTGGGTGATTGCTTTTGAGTGTGATCAGTCGGGAACGTTCATGAATTATTGTTTATGAGAAAGTAGAGCTTTTTGGATCAATGTCCAAATTGAGTCAATGTCAGTATCTGAGCAACTGCCGACCTACCCTTCCCCTGACCCAACATTATCACTAATGCCCCATTCACACCAAAGCTTAAACATGTTTAAAAGTTGTTTTGTTAAACACAGTTTAATTTTTTTTTTCTTCATAGAAACTATTTAACCGAATATTTTTGACTTGAATGTAGCACATTGGAAATGCAAGTTAGCAAGTACTTGAATCCAATGGAAAATCAAGTTTTTCAGTTCTCTGTTTATAATTTTCATTCAATGAAAACCAGTTTAACAAAACATGTTTTGCTGGTGTGAATGGGGTATAAGTTGTTATCAGTTGACTATCTTTGGGTTAGGGGAGGGGTATGTACGCAGACATGAGTCCAGTTTTTCTCTGTAATGTTAATTGTTGAAGAAATAAGTTCTTATTTCGTTGATAACGTTTCACAGCTATGTGCCAACGATACAAATCTATTTTTGGTACCCTTACGACTTTTTAGTTGTTTTTTCGAGGCAGATTGTCTTGGAATCGTGTTACGTAAGAAGATATTTAAATGTTGATCCAAAAAATGTGGAGTAACTTTGCAAATCAATCACCAGTGTAAACATGAGCCATGAATGATTTTTAACGCAACATTTCGATGCGACAACGGATGGCAGATTTACAAGGATTTGAAAAACTTACAACAAAGCTGTCTATGATTCTCTGCAGCCGAAATGTTGCATTAATATGTAAATTTGTCGTTAGAAAGTCGATCGAAATTTAGTAAGAGAAAATCTGGGCAAAACTCGGTACCAAGCCGCTCTCCTGTCGGGTCGAGCGAGTGGTTTCGATTAACATCAAACTGATGAACGTCAAATTTTAAACTACTTGCAGTTGATTCAAGAGCTGAAGAAAGAGAACTTTGATTTGAAGCTCCGACTGTATATGGAACAGAAAGAGAGAGAGGTGAGTGAGAGGAAATTATTTTCTGGCAGTGGAAGCTGGAAGCATTAAAGGGCTGATATGTCTGAGAGTATACTTCTCTAAAAAATGGCAGACAAGAAAAAATGTAATCAGCGACAACAAACACTTAGACAGCTAAAAATAAATTGAAATAGTGAAAGAAAGCATGGCAACAATATCGACGAATCTGGTTATTTAATTTTTATCCAAGATCATATCTAATGTCGGACAGTTTTATCCTTTTTTTAAGTTTCAATATCGACTTCTTGCTATCCATTATCTTACATAAAAACAGGGAGGCCGTAAACGAAGTTTACACAAACGTTTATAGCATGCATTGCGGACCTATGTTTCATAGATAGACTGCAATGGTTGATTTTAATATGAATTGCGGGTCTTTGTTCAGACAAACGACAGGGATACATTTAACAAGTTATTGCAACCATTCTAATTTGTTTTGCCATAAATTTTTCAGAGGGTCACCGAAGAGTTTAAGCAAAAAATTACAGTTTTGGAAAGCGATCTGACAGAAGCTCTTGATGAATTAAGCGATGCTCTCGACCGAGAAAAAGATTTCGAGGCTGCTTTGGAAAGCTCACAAATGCGGGAGAAGGCATTGCTTGCTAAGCAACGTCGAATGGAGGAAACTTGCCGTGAACAAGAAAACGAGATTCAATTTCTTACTTTGACAAAGAAGGACAAAGATAAGGAGAAAGAGAAGCCACACGTAGAGTTACAGACGGCTGAGGTTGGAACCATGACTGATTTTCCATTTTACAGTGAAAGGGCGGTGGATGTTGGTAACGTCAATGAGAATGAAGCTTTTAGCGACGTTGATTTGAAAGATTCTGCCGAGAGCCCCAATCCGAGTCCAACCCAAACCGAGACACGACCTGAAGGCGTGGATCTGTTGAATACAGGGACGCTTTTGCGGAAGAAGGACATGATTATGAGAGAGGCGAAGCGCCGCAGAACAGCAAGATCTAAGAAAGGCCAACGAAGGAATGTCGCTGGCAAATACGACTCAGAGCCGGAACACGAAAGAGAACGAGCACGAGCGGAGAGAAAGTCATTCTTCCATAAACTGTGTTGTTGTGTGAAGCAGCAAAGTGCTGAATATGAAGTGGACCCTTACGAAGACAGATCAAAAGTGCGCTACAGAAAGTAACAATTAAAATACTGCATAGCTAGTTTATCTCTGTCTTCACCGTCGTAAACGGTCGGAATGACCGACGTCGCACGAAGTGTCAACGAACTGCCGAAGAACACTTTTTCAACGATGCGAAATTTTAGCTGAAATGAATATAATTACAAGTTAGATTTATAGAGGTAACTGCTCTTCGTAGCAAATTGCAGCGCGATTTTTCGGTCCACTAATCTATTTTGAAGGAATTTTTACAAAATTTCAAGATGACCCATAACTTGTAAATACCATGTTTTTTTTAATTTTCGTGCTTCAGAGGGAAGAAGAATTCATTACGTCACTTTGGATGATGTACTTCCAATGATCTGAGGCGATTTTAACTCCGAGAAAAAGAAGATTTTATAATGGACACAAAACTTAAAATTTTTCAAATAATGTTAAACGAGTTGCTTTTCGAATCATGTAAGCCTACTCAAATGTTCCCATATAAGTTCACGTGATGAGTGACTAACAAGTAACATCTCCTTACAATATTATTACAGCATCCAGCAGAAACGTAATAAGAATTGATAAACGCATCAACCATGGTATGTCACTGTAATGCAATACCGAATTTTTGTTAACTACACAGTCCTCCATACTAATTTTTTCAGTCGAATACGGTGAATCGTTGATATAAATAATTGACAGCTTTTTTTTCTATAAATATCGTTACGATAGTGTCTTCTTATATCAAGTTTAAATTCTCTTTTTAGTAATGTATTAGAGCAATTTTCAATTAAGTGTCGAAAGTAATACGGGATTGCGGTGGTTTTGCTTACTTTGCTCTGTGATTGGTCCAGAAAACTTGCGCCACTCTCCCAGCCAATCAAATGCAAATCACGACTTGGTCGCCGCGTTTTCCCGCGCTTTGGGCGGTTGTAATTACATTGGCTTTGTTTTCACGACACTCAATTGAAAAGCGCTCTCTACTTAAGATTTGAATAGGAAGGCATAATTCATACTGAAAAAAATTAATTTACAAAAATTTGATGAAATGGAAAGAAAGCTTATTGTTTCGGGAGAGAATGAATTGATGCCTCAAGGTTCCAAATGAACAAATTATATTTGATGAGCATTTGGGGGTTAAGTTCGATTGCAAAACATGGAATTCAAAGGCAAAATATTTACCACAGATACTTTTGTGGGTAAGGGGATAGATTAGTGAAATTATACGTATACATTTAAGCTGATCTAAGATAAAAAAAAACTTCTGAAGAAACAATATTTTATTGGCAAGCCTAGACGAAAAGCGCCTATAATTTTTTTTTAGGCTTGTAGATCTATTTTAAAAAAAATTTACAAACGATAATGCATATTTAAAACCAAGGGGATGATTTTGAGTTTAGATAACTGTACAACTGAATTACATCAAAGCGGGTCAAATATAACATTGCATTTGTACATAGAACCAATACTTTAGAATAAACTTATGAACAAGCTTTGTGAAATAAATTCTTCTGTATGAGAAATGTTGGTTCACTCAGAGCGAGTTGATACAACACAGCGCTAACAAATGCGATAAAGCACACTAGTACAGAAATGTCTGTTTTTTCTACTTTTCTTTTTCTTCGAACACGGTGATAATTATAATCGTTTTCAAGGTGATTTATCAGCCTTTGTTAACTGCAGATATCCGCAACAGGAAAAAGGTGATTGTCTTTTTCGTCATCTTTCAAAGGTTCGATAGGACGGCGACAGAGGATATCTTTGTCTTTGTGATATGACCTGGTTAAGGAAGAAAAAAAAGAAAAGTGTTTATTTGTTTAGTCACTCGCTCCGATGCTGTACCGCTAACCTGCAGAGATCCCAATGTTAAGCTAACGCGTAGTTTGACTGGTTGTGTAAAACGATTGCACATAAAGCGCCACTCTAAAGGCTCAATTTTGGAAAATTTTAAAACGCGTGATATTATGTGTTGATTACTTTAACTGCATGTAGGGCGTTCTTCGTTTGGCTTAAAAAAAATCAATAAAATAGATAAAACTTGAGAGAGGAAATTTGCTCACGTGCTTCGAATCGCTGATTAAAGAGCTCGAAACAGCGAAATTGCTAATACGCCATGAACAGCTCCCCTTTTTCAGAAAAGTTGTAAAAGTTCCGAGAAGGAAAGAAACAAAGAAAGAAAACAAAATAGCTGAGTAACATTCCTTTATGGGCAGATTTGTGTTATCAGCGGTAGTTTTAGCTGCGTTTAGGAGCTTCTCAAATTTGAATTTTCAATTAATTTATCATAAACGCTACACATCTATCACTATTCAAGTCAAGTACCTGAAATCATGGCCCCTAAGGGTCTTAAACCTTTCGTGTTCCTGATCTGGTATTGGGATCTTATTCTTTTCCACGAGCCAGCCCTCGTCCTCAAAAGGTCCCGGATAAAATCCCCAGTTTCTTTCTTCCTTGTGGTCCATTGTAATGGGAACTAATTTCCCGGTTTTCCTCGCAAGAGTATCCACACTAGGATTCACCACCACAGCTAGTGGTGGAATCTCCTCCAAAGTGAGTCCTTCTCTTGAAAGCGAAAGTTTTTGGGGGTAATTTTTCAAAAGTCCTTCCAGCTTTGCCAGTTGGTTCGAAGCTTTAGCGCCTCTGTCTTTGAGTTCAGTCTCTGGTAGACAACGATGCATACGAAATATTGTATCGTCCACAACGATTCTATCTCGCCATTGGCGCGTGGTCTCCATGTCAGCTTCGTCTTGTTCTTGTTCTTTGGTGTCGCCGGCGGCGTGAACTGACGAACATGGATTTTTGTCAAAGAACGGAGGAGGAAGGGAAAGTAAATTCAGATCAGCATCTCTATAATCCCAGGGGAAGTTCTCCCTGGTTAAGAAAGAACATAAAAGTCAATGTTAGATAAAAACGTGAAAAAACATTTGAAAACTGGTTGTAATATTTAAGGCCCTGTTAAGACTAGGTGCCTGTGCTCAGTTCTTGGAAACAGGCACTAGTCCTTATGTAATCTTTGGTTGGTGCCAGAGAAAAAATCTGAGCACCTTGCCCAGGCACGGGCACTTCCCCCAGGGGTAAAACTCAGGCACTGTTCCCGGGCTTGGGAACTTGTCTAGACACGTTTTCGTCTGTTCTTGCGTTTTTTCCCATAATGCAGGTACTAAAAATGGTGAATACAAATCACACACTACAAATGCAATGCTGTACACCAAGCCCTCTGGACGATTGCGAAGATAGTACTCGTTCCAGGGAACCGGGGGTCTGAAAAACGTCCATTTTGGTGCCTGGGGACGTTACCGCGGAACGGGTAACTGGTCTGAACGGGGCCTGAGTCAGTGGCTTAGTCCTAATTGACAAGTGTGACAATTCAAATGAAAGCTACCGGGCAGCTCTTTCATATGGTACCGCTTATCATCTTGTACAAGGTGGTTCTTACATTTTAGTTTTTACTTTTTGATGTACAACCATTCAAATAAAAGCTACATTCAAATGAAAGGGGGTAAGTTTCTAAAGAAAATGTGGTGCTTGCGTCGATGAGAGAGTATAAAAGGTTTATTTAGTATTATCAACTCAGTTGACAACGTAAATAGGTCACCGTAAAGAGTTTTAAAGCTGACGTTTCGAGCGTTAGCGCTGACGAAGGGCTAACGCTCGAAACGTCAGCTTTGAAACTCTTTACATTGGCCAATTTACGTAATCAACTCAGCTGATAATACTAAATTGAAAAGTTCTTTACTTTGGTATTGTTTGCTACGCTGAACAAGGAGGCTCTAAAAGTTTCACTCTGTGCATGAAAACCCTAACGTGTAGCCATTCCCATAAACACAGTACTGAGCATTTCGTCTATGTGGTGCTATCGCCTATGATATACAAGGTGGTTCTAACTGTAGACTGTATCTTTAGTGTTTGATCATCAACTAGAAAGCTACGAAACAGTGCAAGTCGTTGGACAATCTTACCTATCTACTGTTGGTTTAAGAATGTTGGCGTGTAAAATGTTCTCCTTCCATGGCTAGAATGATAATAAAAAGAAACATTATGTCTCCCATTAAGGGAAGATAAAAGATGAGAAAAATTTCTGCTTCCATCACGAAAAGCTCCCCTCAAAGAGGCACTCAATGACAAAGATGAATTTGTCCCCAAAACCTTTACATAGTCATGTCAGTTTGTGTATTCTCCATACTGTTCCCCAACATTTCTTATCATACTGACATGGAGAATTTGTTTCTCAATCTAAATCCAGGGCTTCTATTTTTGGCGATCATTTCCTTTATTCTTGTGACCGTAATGGTTGATCTAGTGGTGATATCGTAGAGCTACGTTAGATGCTGCCAACTCTAAGGGATTAAGGGTGAAGTTACCATGAAAACACCCCACAGGTTGATCAGCCCGTGGAATTTTAATAGAACTAATGCAAAAAAAAAAAAGACAACAGCTTCTGAGCAAATATCAGAAAAACAAGTAAGGTTCGTCACTATGTTTTTCCATACCTTGCGAAGTTCGTCTACTCGGGCCAAGTCGGGTTTCCTAGGGTGAATATTTGAAACCAACGAGGTTTTCTTTCCTGGGAAAATGAATCCGTGTTCTGTTCTCCACAGTTTCTTGGAGGAGAGAAAATCTTGCTTCTTGACAGTTTCTGGATGAATAGGAAGAACTGTGGCCGAGTTGTACATAGGACAGTAAGTGAAACGGCGATCTCTGTCCTATGAGAAAAGGAAAACAAATAGATAAGTCAACAAATACTCAAATTTCCAAGCCTATTGAATTACAAAATGACAACTCATTGAACGTAGTAAAAACATGTTTGACACAGGAAAACACTCGTTTAAGTTGCACTGGAAACGCGTTTAGGACACGGTGGAAACGCGTTTGGGACACGGCGAAAACGCGTTTAAAACTTAGTGAAAAGGCCTTGAAACGTGATTAGTTGGTTGGGTTTTATTTGGCTTGGGTTATGCAAGAGTTCATATCTTCTTTCCGATCGTTCTCACTCACGCGCACGGATCTATTGTTAAAAATTTGCACACTACTTTTATTATTTATTATTTATTCTTTGCACATGTTTCAACATGCTAGTTCAAATTACACAGAATAAATCGAGAATTGGTTTCATGTGTAAAGTGCAAACTCTGAAATGTGTATTGAGAACTGAGAGGTGTCAAATGTGAAGTCTGAGATGTGAGGCGAAGAGGGAACTGTGAAATATGTAGAGTGAGGTGAAGATTGGCAAAAAGTTCTGTTGCAGAATGAACGCGTTAAAAATATCGTCAAAGAAAAATTTCATTTCAAAAATCGCTTGCTGAGAGAAAAACGAATTAAAAGGCTACTTAAACCAAATAAAATACCTTTTCAAGTACGTTTCTTAGCTTCTCTTTAGCCAGTTCTGTGGAATTCAAGGTCTGTATACTGTAGTTGTGTGCGGTTTGCTGATGCAGCTCAGTCATATCCACAGCGATGGTCTGTGATCTTCTCTTTGGCTCTTTTGCCTGCGTTTTTAGCTGAAATAAACGAATTGAACGATAGATAAAGCAATTTTCAATGGAGGGTCGAAAGTAATTTGAGACTGCATTTGTTTCAGCTTAACTTAACTTCGCCCTTAGATTGGTCCAAAAAAACTTGCACAATCCTCTCAACTAATCGAATGCAAAACTAAAACCAATCACGAACTTCGACGCCCGTGTTTTCCCCCGCTTTGGGCAGTTCAACTGATTGGTCGTTGTGATTACTTTGGCTTGGTTTTAAGCCACTCAATCGAAAAGCGCTCCAAAGTCACGGATTACTTGCAAAAGTCAAAATGACTGCATTTGAGAAATATCTTAAAGGCCAAAAGTTTTCATTTGAGAAAAACTTCTACAGTGAAATACATCGACTTACTATGTTCTCCCGGATGAAGTCGTGTTTTACTAGAGCTCTTTCTCTTTCTTTAACCAACGCGACGTAATCTGAATTATAAAGTGACAGGGGCGTCCATGGTCGAGTAGTCCTGGGTCGAGGCTCCTCCAGAAATTTACCTGAACCAGCCTCCTCAATTTGAGAGCCACTGCTGGATTCAAGTTCTGAAAGTAGAAGTTAGAGAGAAATTATTTACGCAGCAGAAATCAAACTGATCTCTTTCATTCTTGAAATCAGAGACAGCTTTAAAAAGTAGAGAGGCGACCTCTTAAAGGCTCTGTGATACCTTTAATAAAGATTGGAGAAAGTGTCGCATTAGAAAAAGCGTGACTTTGAAGTAACACAACTTGGCATCAGTGACACGGAGCGTGGCATCACTAATCCAAGTCACAAGAGACAAGAGAACGTCCTGCAACTTTCAAGCAACTTCAAGTGTAGCTGGAAACAGGAAGAATTTCCATGCGAAGAAAAGAGATTTTTACATCCTTGTAGCCGCAAGAATACACAGAAATGCAGTCGTGTAATCCAAGAAGAAATAGGCATAGAGATAGAAGAGAGAAGATCTGGAAAATTAAAGTTTAAAGAGAAGCGAGTGAGTTTCAGCCAAACAAGAAAGTACAATTCTCCAGTCAGTGAATATGATGGGGGAAACAGGTAAAATAGGATACGATAAGCCAGAATAAGTATGAGGCTTCGCTGCGCGCGCTACGAGCTACGCTATAAATACAATCCCTTCACTGGACGTATTTGTATCAAAAAAGGAGTAGGGCCACAAATCTACGAGAAAGACCTTCATTTCGAATATTAATTGGCAGCAACTAAGGGAATTTTTTAGGGGGTGGGTGTGCTTTTCATCGGCGATTGGGTAGAGGGGTGGGTGAGGTATCACTAGATGTAATGGTTATGGTGACCAGGTGACTAACGTAAAACGCACCTCCAAAATCTTCTGCGGTCAGCGGTACTCCAAATTCGCGGCTCATAGAAACGATCATGTCAGCGGATGGGAACAAATCATTTCGATAAACTTCGCGGAGTTTTGATAGCTTCAACACCTAAGAAAATTAAAGCACAGAGACGGGTCATTGAAACACAACGGTTTAATCGGTGATCAACTAGTTTTCTGATGTGAAACTCAGGAAGGCGTAGCCACTAAGATATCTATGGAATACTGTATTTCTAAAAAAAAGGAGCAAAAGGACGTTAGAAAACTAAACTGCCTCTTCGTTCACGAACGTAGCGCTCAGACGTCAGGCATGCGCGAGGGGATCAATTTTGGCCGCCTGTGCGCAAATATCCCTCGCAAAATTCCAAAGGAAAACATAAGAAACAACCTCGTTGAAGTACGAGTCTGAAATGTCGCACCGTTAGGAGCGCAGTGTTTGGAAAAATCGTTTCCGCTTGTCGAGCGCGATCACTGAAGAAGAAGACTGTGGCGGGAAGGCTGAGTATGGTAGTGCAAGACTGAGAACTTCTTGCTCACTTAGTGCTAGTTTTTGTGTAATCCTTTTTTTTTTTCCCTTCTTTTTAGTTCGCGCTCGACTGACCGATGAAACACAGTCTGCGAGTACTCAAAGGTTTCTTTGTCAAACAAATTTTCCAAAAACCAACCTGATCAAGTTTCGCCAGTGCATCAAAACAAGGTTTGGGTACCAGGTCCCTGACGTACAGCAAAGGATTTTGGACTATGACCTCCAGTGGCTCGTGAAGTCTGACTCGGCACAAGTCCACATCGAGCGCTGCATACAGCCGCTCATGGGATCTCAAGTCAGAGTTGTAGAGAACGTTGAATTTGGTGATATCTGAAGAAATAATTTCAGTAAGCGTGAGTATGGTACAAATGCCAGCACGTAAGGTGTTCCCTTGAGTTTCTATGAGTTGGTCGTATAAACAAGTAAACCAGTCCATAAACGTCCAAAAAATTAATGTTTAGAGACCAATCACGATTTATCACTGGGGGGGGCTTGTCACCGCCTACAAAGTATAAAGGGGGACTCTAGAAAATTGATGGGGAGGATATAAGAACATTACAGAGGCTTATAGGGGGGATCCTCCTACCCAGTTGATAAATATTGACTGGTTTCTTATTTGACTCAATACCAAACTCTCCAAAATTGTATGGCAGACAGTGAGGAGAATTGGAGTGAAAGGGCTAAAGTATGTAGTGTTATCCTACCTTCCTCTTGTGGCCTGGGAAGTTTTTCCCAAAGTCGTCTTACTCCTTTTTCTGTCAAGCCTTCTAACACAAATATATGATACTGGCCGTCTAGAACCTGGGTTAAAAACGATAGGAATAAAATGAAGCTAGATTCATGTCTACAGTGCATACTGATAAGGAAAGGCAAATTAGTCTCAAACAAAATGAGAGTGTCTTCATCCTGTTTAGAGTGCATTTCGATCGAGTGTGGTAAAACCAAAACCAGTGCTATCAAAGCAGCCAATCAGAACGAAGGAAAATATCACAAAGAGCCAATGAAAACTCAAGCAAAACAAGCAATTTCCTGAAGCGCGGGAAAACGCGGACTACCAAGGTGCGATTTGCTTTAGTTTTAAATCTGATTGGTTGAGAAAGTGGCGCGAGTTTTCTTTACCAATCCCAGACTAAGGCAAAAACCAAAGCAGTTCTTGATTACTGTCGACAACCAACTGAAAATTGCTCTATTACTCAGTTCTTTCCAAACCATTGTTGAGTACATTAAGGGTTGTTAAATTGAACAACAACAAAAATCACAAACTCACCTGAAATCCCGTAATAATATCCAGTTTCTTATTTATTCTCTGTTCTCTGAAAAGAAGATATGAAAAAACCCACTGTTTTCAGAACGCATAAGGAGAGGAAAATACGAAAAAATCTTGCACACTGACTCGACTAAACATTCCAATGAACAAGAAAACTCTGATCCCTGACACAAGGTATATCAACAATGGCTTAAAATCTTATTGCTCGCACCAACTAACGTACGCCCATTTTGAGAAAATACAGTTTTACTTTAATTATAAGTTATGAAGGATTACAACATCCATTCTTTCGATGAAAAAAGCGACTAACCTTGAAAATTTCTCTAAAAACTTACTTGGACAACTTGTATGTTGAGAGAGCGGCCTCGATCACATGCTGTGGAAGAGTATCTAGTTCCAGTGCCTCCGCATTCACAGCTGTGATCTCGGACTGAAGTTGTCGGAGAAAAGGCGCGTTCTTGTATTCAAATATATAGATAATTCGACCGAATGGACACTGGATAGAGATAAAAGGAACGTTACACAAGAAAAGCGATTTAAGACAACTGCAAACGTTCAATGAAATAATTCGTTTGATTCATAGAAGGGAAAACAGAAGCCTCAATGAAATAATTTCCATCGAGTTTTCTCTCTCTATCTTCTTACCATTTCCTCTTCAATAGATTCGTCAGTTTTTTTCTCCTCTTCAGTGGCATTCAGAGGGTAAGCCAAGTCGACCTTAATTTTTAGTTCGCTACCAGCCTCCAGATAGTTAGCTACAGGCATGGGTTTGTCCTCTAAAATATAATCAAATTTCACAACAAATGAAAACGTCTGTAAACGAGACTAACTCGTAGAGCTGGCGGGGCTTACTCCAGTTCTGTTGCATGAGGCAACTACGACCATTGCTACTCCCTCCGGATGGAAGGCTAGTGCTAATGACCCAGGTCATTCCTGGGATAAACCCCAGGGATAAACCCCAGGGATAACCCTCTGAGATAACCTCCTGCAAGTCCTTATCCCTGATTTCAGAGCAAGAAGAAACTAGAAGTATCGTTACTCAACCTGGATGAAATGTTAGTCTATTTCAGGTAGCTGCCTTCCCCGACACATTTCGTCGATAACCCTGACAGAGCACCGGCACCTATTCATACTCCTGGATAGATAAAGGCATTGTCAGAGTGTACGTCTATCCCATGAAAACACCACAAAATCCAGGATTCGAACCTAAATCTCTCGATCCGGAATGCAGCGCGCGAACACTGTCATCATATATCAGTTACTAATACCATACCTGGTGCGTCCACATTTCCCGGCTGACCCAATATGGGTCCTTCTGGTTTCTCTAGCCCTGAGCGAGTATCCGGCAGAGGACAACAGTGGATAGGCGACCTTAGATACAGATACTTGTGACCTAGTAACAACCCTGACAGATCAAACTTGGCAATGCCGTACGGGTCCCATGGCTTATTACGGCTTGTGAATGGATTGTGAGTGGTGCGACGACCTGAAATCAAAGAACAGTTATATTTTAGGTATGGGGCTTCGCTGCGCGTGTTACGAACTCCGCTATCAAATATTAAAGTCCACTTTAATTCTGACCATAACCTCCCCTCTAGTACCACGCGAGGAATTTATCAGTTCTCGTGATGCAATTCTCGTTTCTCTCAAGAGGCGTTGGGTTTGTCGCGAGACTTCCATGGCAAACGTATCACGTTTCACGCGGAATGATTGTTGTATATCGCTACACTTTTCTCTTTGAGAAGAAGATTCTCGTTAGTCGTCATACGTTTCTCAACAGATTTTACCTCCGTCTCTCCAGTTGTGTTACGCGAGTTGCGATTGTAACGATAGGCTTTCCTAAAAAAAAAAGGAGTCTTCCACTTCGTGAAAACTCCAATTATCATACCTGCCACCAAGCTAACGTTATTGATCATCTCGTCTTCCGGGTTCTCACCAAACAAACTGGGCTTGGGTTTCTTTGGCTCGATTTTACGGTCCCTGTCGTGGACCTCGATTTGGAAATGGGGCCCCTGGAGGTACTCTGCGAGACCACTTTTGTCTAATGTCCCAAGAAGGACCACATTCACATCTTCCCAGAAGACGTCACTCCCGTGTTCCCTACCTGCGCTCTCGTGTAAGGGCTGTTCGTAAAATTGGTATGACACGTGCACTGGTTTGCATCTGTGATAAATAAAATACAGATGATTGAGTAAAATGTTGCAGAGCTATTATGCCTGTCCTCTTGCGCGGGGAACACAATTGAAAGCTTTGTAATAAAAACATTCGCCGGATTTTTTTGGTCATTCTTTGCGACTGCTTGAATGAATTAAGGAGAACTTGGTAACTTCAGACTAACACAATAATCTCAGATAGAGAGGTCCTAGTTCTAGGTCCTAGTAACCCTGACTGGGGCATTATTTTGTATTCTTGAACAAACTACCTCCCATTAGTATAAATAGGCAGGTAAAAAAAAAAAACTCAGGGAAATTTGACGAATTTTCAAGGGTTATCTGAGATGAAATGGCACTATGCAAGTAGAAAAACTAGCAGTTGCTTCATGCAACCACAAGCAGACCACGCGATGTGTTCGTTAATAATAACTGTTGACATGAGACGAACAAAATCTCTGAGGGTTATGAATAAAGTTCTGAAAATTGCATGTCAAAATTACATCTCGGTCTGAATATCTCAATAAAGTTAAACAAAATGTTCATCAACTCATTCGTGGTATTTTGTAGCCTTCATGGGCTGTTTGAAGCGTCTTTTTACGAAATTATTTTTCTTTATTTTCGTATCTTAACGGCCTCCGACCGAAAGAAATTTCGTAAAAAGACCCTTCAAACAGCCCATGAAGGCGAAAAAAATACTACAAATGCATCGATTAACATTTCATTTAGCTTTATTGCGATATTCAGACCGAGATGTAATTTAGATATGCAATTTTCAGAGCTTTATTCATAAACCCTCATAGATTTTGTTCGTCTCATGTCAACAATTATCAACCACGAACACATGGTGCGGTCTGACTGTAATGCAACAGAAACCGTTATGACCTCGGCAATAATTGACCATCAATGTAAAAAAAAGGCCAGCAAGTTTATTTTTTCACCATCTGAGAAAACGTCTGAAGGCATCAGAGCACTTAATACACCCATTACGGAAGCACTTTTTTCAAAGGATCAAAACAATTATTTCTCTATTTTAATGCGCAGTCCGAGAGGAATAACGAAATGAACGTCTCGCCAACTCGGAATTCCTCTCCGACTCGTGCCAGTCTTTTCCCGCTAATTAAATTCTAAAACCATACTCACTTTTCCCTGAGTTGCATATACGTCATTGGTTTACAAGGCAGTTCACTCGCCGATGACACTCTTATTACCATGGGGTTGAGCACTCGCTTCTGAATTCCTGACAGGAGATCATTGTCAAGTGATACAGAAAGCAGAAGTTCTTCTATAGTGCCCACGGATTTTCCCAGTTTTGTCGTCGTCGATTTTGCACCAGAAAAAAACGTGCACATCTTCACCGAGAGCGCTGCTGTTCCATGAGTTCTGGTGTGTGCTGCAGCCAAGGCAAGGTCCTTCTTGGATGGGCTGGTCTTAGCATTGGATGTTTTCATTCCTGTAAAGAAGCAAAACGTTTCAATCATTTGCATTCAAAAACTGACGGCTACTAACTGCAGGTGTTTCAGTAGCTTTTTCCTTGAGTGGCTGCCGATGGTGAATTGGGCGGCCGAGATTAGTCTTACGGGTGACAGGCGAAAGTCAAACTCGTATTTATCAATGACTTTCACAGCATCTGTAACGTGAACGGCCGACTGCGTGTTGTGTTCTGTAGCACAACCGTTTAATGTTTATAGCTTTAGCAGCTCTCCAAGTAACAGACTTAAGGAAATTTCCGATTGAGTGTCTTACATCTAAAAAGTAAAGTAATCACAACCAAGGAAAATACCTTTAAAAACCAATAAAAACTCAATGTAAAAACAAGCAAAAGGCCCAAAGCGCGGAAAACGCGGGCGACCAAGTAATTGATGTTAGATTTGCATCTGATTGGTTGAGAGAGTGGCGACATCGAAATCAAGGAAATCCAAAATTACTACCGACACCCATTTGAAAACTGCTCTTTAATGAAACAAAATAGTTTTATTGTTTCTAGCAGATAATAACCATCTTTCTTACTTATTACTTCCAATTTTGAGCTGGTCCTCTCTTTCTTCGATTGTGATCGTATTTTCCTCCGTTCTGACTGTTGAATTTCTGCATCTGTCATTGGTGGAGTAACACCAGCCAAGGTTGCTAAGCGACTGAACTGTGGGGGGTCCTGTTCGTCCACTCGAACCTGAACTTTGACCATGCTACCAGTACCAGTGGCTGTTGATGGACTCGTTATGTAAGACAACGAACGAAATGTCTGTGGACAAGAAATTAGTAGTTCTTTTTGTTAAGATCAAAAAGGCGGTCATGACTGAAATGCTCAAGGAGTTTACATGTGTGTAAAAAAGCAGGTTTAACACAAAATTTTGACCATGATAAAGAATCACATTTCAATTATTTAACTACAGTTTTTTCTTGAGTGCTGCTTTGCGAGATTTCCGCAATTCGAGAAAAAAATGCCCCGTTGGGTTTACGTGTAAGCTTCAAATGGGACGCAATGATTGTGCCCAATGATACGTGTAAGTACTTTTTGAATTGACTGTTTTTTTAGTACGGTATTCCAAAATATCAATGATAACAACATAGCTATAACACCTCTAACATGTATATAAAATTCACTTCAATTTTCTAGCCTCTTATTGTTCCAGTTGCCTTTGTCTTCCCTGCTTTCTCACAGACTAGCCTATACAAATAAGTTTAAACACCTTTAAGGTGCTCTTTCTTTCAGGCCCCTCTCATGACAAAGGGTCTCCCAAAATTAAACAAATGGGGCCACCAGGCCCTCTTTGGAAAATTTCTACTCAGCCATTGGCTGGGGAAGAAAACCCTAAAGAAGTGAGGCTAGCAAAAAAAAAAAAAACCAAAGGAATTATATTGGAGTGTAAATGAAGGACTTGTGCACAGCAGAAAATCTTCTTCTGACTGATAGCGACCACTTTTGAGGATCAATCTACAGGACATCACTAAATGGACCCCTTCCACTCAAGAAAAAACTTACCGATGGTGCAGTGATGGCTCTGTTGTCAGGAATGGACGCCATCTCTGACATGGCAGGAACATGGCCTTGAGCTGTTCTTGGGTACTGCTTAGCCTCTTTGTCATCTTTTTAAACAGATTAAAAGTAAAAAGAATAAAAAAGTAAACTTCTATTATTAATTACCCCACTGCAATGTTGCACCAAAGATGAACCACAATGGAGTGCTCTAATTCCAAGCACTTCCCCTTATCATTTTATAGAAGGGGATATCAGACTGTGGCCTTCCAACACTATGGCTGTAATTTTACCCAGTATATTTACCAATCCCAGCACCTCAAGCTAGTGTTTTTTTTTTGTTTTTTTTAATTGTTAATATGAAGTCCAACAGAAGTGAAAGTCTAGCCAAGAAAACCTATCTAGATTATTTTTCAATCTACATGAGACGAACATGAGATGAACAAAATCTATGAGGGTTATGAATAAAGCTCTGAAAATTACATATTGAAATTACATCTCGGTCTGAATATCTTAATAAAGTTGAATTAAATGTTAATTGATGCGTTAGTAATAATTTTTAGCCTTCTTGGGCCATTTGAAGCGTCTTTTTATGAAATTACTTTTGGCTGGAGACCGTTAAGATAAGGAAGGAAAGTAAATTAATTTTGTAAAAAGATGCTTCAAAAAGCCTATGAAGGTGAAAAAATTCCACAAATAAGTTGATAAACGTTACATTTAACCTTATTGAGATATTCAGACCCAAGTGTAATGGTTTTACTGAAGAGAGCCTCACCTGAGTGAAAAATCCGTGACTGTTTTGGCTGATTGCTTTCATATGATTGCTGTTGATTAGTGACAATTTGCATGACACCTCCACTTGCTGCCTCCAGATCCTCAGGGTCCCTTGATGCAGGGAGCCTAAAGGCCTTGGGTCTATCAAAGCGTGCACGTGGAGACACCTTGTCTTTTGTGTCCCAGATCTTGAGATCCATGTTGTGGCTGAACAGCTTCAGTAGAAGCTCTGTCGTGACTGGAACAGTGTGACTAAAACATAATGTTGCAAGGAAATCGATATTTATCATTATTATAATTGCAAAATGCCCACACTAAATTTTATCAGAATAATATCAAAGTTTTTTTTAACCTGATCAGTAATTGACAGCACTAATATCACAATGCTGACCTTGTGTGTGTAACTGTACATTCGTAAAAGCCATACAAAAAGTTGCAGAGGTAAGCATTACTTATCTTGTAACAATAAAAGTACAAAAATTAACTATTCTCAATGATAACTCTCAACAAACCTGTGGGTCCAAGTAACCCAAGTTCTGTCCCCTTCTCTCCATGTCTTCAACACCTTAGAGTCACTTTCAGAGTAGATTTTGGCTGCAACACCATAAGTTACAACATCTGCCTTCACCGGCTCAGGATCAGTGGGAAAAAGTTTATACTCCAAATGATAATAATGATGCGGTTTTGGTGCCTCAAATAACTTGCGCTTCCCTTTAATGGCAGCAATTCCTCGGTTTACAGGTTTGGGCTCACTGTCATCTGATAATTGTGAATTAAATGAATGTTATTTAGTCCATTGTCTACAACATCTTACTTAAAAAATTCAATAACATGTTATTCATTATACTCCTAAGACAAGGGAAGAGCCCAGCTCTCAATTCCCCTCCCCCCTACTCTAATTTGAAAAATAAAAAAATTTTCTGGGGGGGAAAGGACTACTCCCATTTAATGTGATGGGGGTGAATGGGAGATTTTGAGCATAAAGTAACATTATTCAAGTAAAAAACTTCTTTCCCTCAAAGCCACATTACAGAAACAGAAAACTTGTGAATCTTGTGAATAGACAGTTGGTTCCCATTGAATCACATGTGTGCCTATTGTGTTGGTGCTCGATCATTCTCCATAAACTGCTCACAAGGTGAACTGCAATAGAACTGCATTCTATGTTTCATCCAAATCTTCAAACATCACAGACAATTAAAAAATAAACATATAAACATTTATAAATAAAATGAAGTATATAAAAGTATCAAATGTTTTTATTATCAATGAAAGGCTTCTGCCCACACATTTGGAGCCTGAGAGAGACAGCATTCGGCCTGATTTCAACCTCAACACCAATTATAGCTCCAGACATTGTCATGACAAGAGTCGCACAGAAAAAAAAATGTCTGCCTCCCAGCGAACGAGCCGGACAAATGTTACACTCTTGTCTGGGCATGATGGCCGTACAAGGCTAACAAGAGCAGGACAAATTGTCTGTCTTTGACATTTCTATACAAAAAAAAATCGAGCTTGCACTACCATAGCAATATAATTCTGCGAGTAAATGAAAACATGGTAAACACTTTCCTTTAGTTATAAAGATAATAAACAATAAGATATATCGAATGAAACACGACACCGCTAAGATAAAAAAATCGAAGGCTGCAAACTTTTTCCACATCGCATACCTGATGGGAAAGCTAGAGCTACCGTCAGGGTGAAGGTAACAGTGTGATCTCCCTTCTCTTGGACCAATTTCATCTCCGAAACAATCTTCACCGCTACCAAAATGTCAACAAGTGTATGATGAATTCCTTCCACAAAATATAATCTTCCAATATACACGAGATCAGTTCAAATAAAGCTCGGTGTTTCAGAACAGTCTTGTAAACGTCGATTCGTTTCTGAATTAACTCTTAAAACAAAGATGATTTATCCCCCAAACATTGAACTTCAGCTGTTTCTAGTTCCGGAAAGGCAAGCGGCTTTTAACGACACGAAGTCGTGAAGTCAACATTTCATCAATCCTCGCTTCTTTGGCAGTCTGTAACGCTCCTCGTTGTTTTAAAAATTATAAAAACTATAATATTCTTCCAGAAAGAAGCACTGTCATTTCAAAATTCCTCCACGGCTTCTGCTCCACCGAAATCGCTCACAAATGGGATTCTTAAGTTTGTAGTTGAGGATATCAAAGCTTCCATTCAATTCCACAGTTTGTTGCTATGTGGTTGCTAGGGAAGTAATTAGATTCACAAGCACCGCGCGTGTGCATAACTTATCTTCTTACGTCCACTGTGCCTAACGCCAGCGGCTTTATCATTTACGCGGGAAAAATGACCAGGATGGGTAGTGCATTACAGTTTGAAGGAATGTTTTGATCTTGATTGGATATTTATTCTTATTTTCATCGATATGGAAGGTAATTTTGCTTGGTTTTAAAGATTGGCTGCATTCATGGATACTTAAAATTGCAAATGATTGATTTTTTTGTACGATCGCTCTGAGAAATCGTGCAATAATTCGGAATAATTGTAAGGATCAATTGATGTAATTGTGGTTTGTAATTTTTATTGATCTTAGACCATGATTTAGACGATCTTGACCTTTTGGCAAGTCTTGTCGATAGTGATTCTGAATTGCTTGACGATGGTAGCCTTCCGGAAGCAATTCCATCGAATGCTTCATCGCGATCGCCTACAGAAACACAGCCAAGAGCCAATGAACAAGGCATACGATCTGGAACAACATCGAATTTGACCATGGAAGAAATGGCAGGTTAGCTCTAGTTCACAGGGAGCTATATAACTTCTTTTGTGAAGGCAGAAGGGTCATCATGTTATTTTTATATCTGAATTGATTTTCCTTTTATCAATTTGACTCGAAAAGTGCCAATGATCACGATATTTAAGATTTATATAATAAGCTCAGTTATGCACGCATTCTGATTGGTTCTCACTTATGATCTATTGGAGGACAGACAACTTGGAATCTATTTGTTAAATTGATAATATATTAAAGATATTAAAGATAATAATAATCATTAATAATTTGAATAAATTGATGCGTAATCTCCTTCACCAGGAGCACAGTGGCCAAATGAACAGTGTGAGCACAATGATCATCTTGCAAAATAAGAGAGTGAAATTATAGGAATTTGTATGGGAATATTTATGACCGCTTTTAGGAATATACTCAAATTCTCAATAAAAATATCTCACCTTACTTCCATAGTGCATTGCTTGTTATCTGACTGCTTATAATATTATGTTGAAAAGAACCCATTTTAGTGAGTTATCCATTTCCAGGTTTGCTGAGCTTCTCTTATGTACATAGTAAACCTATAAATGGATATCTCACTAAAATGGGCTGTTTTCAACATAAAAAACAGTCAGATAACAAGAGATACACTGTGGAAGTTGAGGTATTTTTTATTGAGAATTTGACTGTATTTTTTATTCCTAAGAGCCAAGTTGTAAATATTTCTATGTAAACTGTTATAATTACACTATGGCTCTTATTTTGCAAGATGATCATCTCGCATCTGGAGCTTGGGCCACCTGTGGTGCGAGGGAGTCCATGTCAAGTGCTCCAGGCTCAAGACTGGGCTGAGTCATTCATTGTGTTGTGCTCTTGGGCAAAACACGTTACACTAACAGTGTCTCTCTCTACCCAGGAGTAAAAATGGGTACCCACTGGTGGAGGGGGGGTAACCTTGTGATGGACTGACATCCCATCGAGGTGGGAGTAGTGATACTTTCTTGTCACTTCATGCTAAGGAAACTGGGATAAGCTGCAGCACAGACTTTATCTTTTCCTACCAATACAATGAGCATGGTCTCTAGCTTAGTAACGTAAAATCAGTTGTTAACTGATTGTTTTACATTATGGTTTGATTTATGATTGATCAGCGCAAATGGCTAGCATGGAAGAATACATAAAAAAGCTTGAAGCAGAAAAAGCTGGTATCCTTTACTAAACTTCTTTTCATGGATCAACATTTGTGCCATTTTTTTACTTGATTACAACAAAAAATACCTTCTACTTGAGACTCATCTGTATCATGCTTGCTTGGATCCTGAATGCTTACCACATATAAATGAGGGATTAGATATCAATCATTCAGTTTTTGTCATGAGAGATACCATAACTGCATTGAAAGTGCACTGGATTTCAAATCCAGATGATCAGATCCAAATTCTGGATGGGTCATTGTGTTGTTCCCTTGGGACACTGAACTTTTTCAGTGCCTGCCTTAATTTAGTTTTAGCCACTTGAGACTATGAAGGAAGTTAACCATGTGACAGACTGGTATCCTGCCCTTGGGGGAAGGCAATATAGTACTAGTCACTTGTAGCAATAAGAAAAGAATTACTAGTAGGTAATTCAATAATAATTTAATGATTTAATAATTAAACAATAATCTGGCTCTTCTGCTGACTTCACTTCACCCAATATTTATGTTTGAACATCTGTCATTTTCCAAGTAGAACGCTTTCATCTTCAGTATGGATACAGTTTTGCTTCCTTGATAATATTTTCACAGTTTTGTTATCACCAACAACACTGAATAATGAAATTAGATCTGGCTCTTCTAAAGAAGAACAAGAGTTCAAAGTAAGTGAGAAAAAGAGCTCAAAACAAGACAAGAGCCAGCAGATGCTGTTTTCAAAGGACAACAAAAGAACAGCCCATGCTCCAGCACACTGTATTAACAAGACAGGTAAAGAGTACAAGAAATGTAAAAAATTCCTCAAGCTACCGTAGAACCTCTCCTTTAGGACACCCCTATTCAGGGAAGAAAAAACTTTGGTCCTGAAAAAATGTTCATCTAATCTTTGCATTTGTAACCTTCATAAAGGGTCACCTATATTCAGGGGATACTTTCCGTGATCCCAAGGGTTGTCCCCCAAATAGAGGTTCCACTATATTTTAAATTTTCTTCTTTGAGCTTCTATTAGAGATTACTTCCTAAGATCTGATTTGTAATTCTCACTTCCATCTGCTGTACAATTCTTTATAAATTAGTTTTGGGAATTTGGTGTTTCATTGAGATGACGCTTTAGCTGAGAAGTTGTCAATTCTCAACACCTGTTTGCTGAATAATGTATTGACATTACCAGGAGAACTTATATGTATATCTTGAATCAATGTCAGTCTCTGGGCAACTGTACACCTACCCCTCCCTTAACTCAGCAGTGGTCAACTGATAACAAGTTTGGGTTAATTTTAGATTCAGGGAGGGGTAGGTGTGCAGTTTCAACTGACATTGATCCTTGATCTCTTCTGGCAATCAAGTGATATAAATTATTTTGGTATTTTTCATAGTGGACAAAATCAATTTTCTAGTAGTAGACCATTTCACAGTTGTGTACCTGGTTGTCAAGCCTTTGATTTGGAGTGGGGCTGAATGTGATCTTGTTGTGATAGAGACCAGTATCTAGTTAGCATGATAACAAAGTAATATACATTTAAAAAACAGCAAGGTTTATTTCAAAACAAGGTCATCCCTTGCCTCACTCTTGTTCAAAGGCTTGGCAACCAAGCATGCAACTGTAAAATGGACTATAGAGTTAAATGCTAGTGCATTGAGACAATTAACAGTTGTGAAGTTCAGAAAATAATGGAAAAAAGGAAAAAAAAATATATGGAAAACTCATTGAGACTTTCACTAAGGCAGTGAAATGTCTCTAAAGGATTGAGCCAATCTCTTTTTTTTCTCTTTATTATTGTAGCAACTTATGCGCACCAATACCTATGATTTGTATATATCTTTATTTGCAGTTTCCCCAGATTCTTCAGCTGGGCCTCACAATTCTACAAAACAAAAAGCTCCTGAAAACTTGTCTTCAACAAGAATGAAACCTGAACATGGCCTGGATACAAAAGGCTCAGGGACAACCAGAAGACTGACTGCACAAGATGAAAACCCCAACAATGGAAAACTGGCTACAGGAAAGAAAAAAGCTGCAGTTGAAACAGAGACCAGAACAGGAAAGTCAACAGATGATGAGAACTTTTCTTGTGATAGGTTTTCCAGTTTACGAATTATTAATCCACTGATTTCATCAGTTGTTATGGAGAAGAGGATGGAAGGACGCAGAATGGTGAAGATTTCACAGATATCAACCAAGATTAAGGGAAATAATGATATTGATGGGGACTGGGTGACAATTGGTGTGATAGTTCAAAAGATGCCTCCAAAGAAAAGCTCAAATGTAAGTTCAGTATTTTGTATCCTTCATCGTTCTTTCTCTCAGTTAGTATGCATGCTATGATTGGTCAATTTAGCAGATAGTATTTCACTTTACAGCCCGCTAAATAGTCCATTTTACAGTTGTTTGCTTGGTTGCCAAGCCTTTGAACAGGAGTGAGGCTAAGGGTGACCTAGTTGTGAGACAAACATTGCTACTTTAACTTTTCAAATGCAAATAAGTTTGCTATCATGCTATCTAGACACTGGTCTCTATCACAATAAAGTCAACTTTAGCCTCACTCCAAATCAAAGCCTTGGCAACCAACACACCTGTGAAATGTCCTATTCAAAAGGTCTCTTTTGACTGAAATCTTCTCCCTCTACTAACTTTGTTTTCTTGGTCTATACCATAAATAACACATCCTTGTGTCTTTTTTCTGTTAAGATTTATGGTCTGCATGCTTTGTGCTTGGACCATTAATCTAAAACTTAGTCTGCAACTGACAGTACAGACCTCAAACTTGGTTAATTAGAGGTATTTAAAATAGCTTGATAACAAGGCTTTTCACTGCACCTCTAGGGTGGTGTCAGGTCTTTTCTAGATGAATAAATTGTATTATGTGTAGTAACAATAACAAGCTTCAGATTTATCTATCAATTCATGTAGTAGGGTTCAAACATTGCATGAGTATTAAGTTTTCACTAAGAGTTTCTTAATTTTGTCTGTTTTCAGGGGCAAACTTATGGTATATGGAAACTCTCAGATCTTGGCCCTAATACCAGCAATGAAATTGTTGCATTGTTTCTCTTTGGTGATGTATACAAAGAGCACTGGAAGACAACTGAAGGGAGTGTTGTGGCTCTTCTTAATGCATCCCTTCTACCTGCGAAAGAGGTAAGCAGTGACAGTTACATGTAATATGAGATGATTTGGTTTTAGTGACTGAGTTGATCATAAAAATTGGCAACTGCAGAGAATTTCTAAAGCTTATGTTTTGAATGTGTTTGCTTAGGCAAAGTGTTTATGCTTGAAACTTCAGATTCTTGGAGTGGTCAATTTACATTTTCAACTTAGTTAAAACCAAATGATTTTATAGTACCCCTTACAGAAGCAGCACCATACTTTCTTTAGGGCTTGTCTTCTTGCCCTTTTTGTTAGCAGTTTACTAACAAGTGGAGTCAAGCATGAGGAAAGCACTAGGATTGTGCAAGGGTCAAAGATACACACAAGTGGAGGAGGGCACTAAAAAATGCTTCTCCACTTTACACTGCTTGCCTCTTCTTGCCCAAAGAATACAGAAATATCCCCTGTCCTTTTTGCTATTCTAGCAGTTTTATCCTAAAACTTTGATCATTCTTTAGCCTGCCTACTTTGATGAAAGCACATGGGATCTCTGTGAAATTAAATTTATATACATTTGAAATAAAACTGTTTCATTCCTATCCCTCCAGAAGAATTCTAAAGACCTGGCTCTCACTTTGGACAATGCCAGAAAACTTATGCTGATGGGAATATCCAAAGATCTTGGCAAATGCAGAGGACTCAAAAAGTCAGATAATCGCCCGTGTACAAATTTTGTCAACAGGTACAAAATGTTTGGTAGTTTTAACCTACATGTTGGTAGTCTAACATTGTGCATACAAGGAAGAGAAAGATTGTGATGCTAAATGGGAAGGCTGGGCCAGTATTTGGGCCAGTATTTGGGCCAGTATTTGGGCCAGTATTGGGCTAATGTTGCATCAGCATTTGGCCAGCATTGGGTAAGCATGTTATAGTACGAAATATCCAATGGCTTTCCTCCATTTTGGTTGGCTGTATTGCCATGACATAGTCCAAAAGATAAATTAACCTATTTTCTTCAAAAATTAGTGGAAATTATGAGGGTAAGGTTAATCCTTAAAGGTGCAAGGAACTTCTACTCCTGTATACTGAGATCATTTGTCAAATGACTTGTAGGATGTTCTATAATGTACTACTCAAAAGTGTTGCATATACTAATCTATACTAATATCTATTTGATACATTTTGAGGTTTTTTCATTTTATTTTCATTAGGCAACATGGTGAGTTCTGTGAATACCATGTCCAAGCAGCCTACCATTCAATGAGGGCTCAAAGAATGGAATGCCAGACAGGGTATGGAAATTCAGTGATGTTCATCCAACATGCCTTTGCCATAGTTTTGTAGCCTACAGAGTAGGCATGAGTTTTGGCAAGTGAGTGATCAGTATTTTCTTGCAGAGGGGGAGAAAAAGAAATTTGTACCAAGGGGGTTGAGGGAGTAGAGGGGGAAATCAGCAACCCTTCCCCAACCCTTCCCCCAACCATTTACGCTAGCTCTAAATCAAACATGGCCTCTGGATGAACTAAGGGGCCTGCAATGCAGGCTAATAGTTTTGCTGATTGGGTTTTCAGCCCTCTCTTTTATGTTGTATGTTTTAGGTATGGTCCCTCAGGTAAAGCACCACTAATGAAGAAGTTTAAGAAAGACCTCAATACTTCAACCTTCATGTATCAAGGACGCACAGTGAATGCGTCTAGTCACAATACCGACCACAAGAAGAAAAATGTTTCACTGAAGAGTCTTAATATAGGTAAAAGAAATGGATCTACTGAGGCAATCGCAAAAGGTGAGTTTACAAAGATAGGACCAATCTTGTGGAGTTACACCAAATGACTATATTGTAAAACACTAACTGAAAACTCGCTAAGAGCAAATTTTTTCATGATGGGTAATTTGCACTGGATCATGTTTTCTATAAGATCATGATCCTGTGGCTCACTAGAGAGGAAGGGGCACAGGAAGCCCAAGAACAATTTTCCAGCTAGAAGGGGTGTTGCTCAGTAATATTTTGCTGATATAAAATATCAATACAATATTAAACAGACAAGTGACGAGAATAAAGAAAGTATCAGTTAGGGGATTTTTCGTTGATCAAATACCAAATTCTCCAAACTTGCATCATAGGAATTGTATGACAGACAGTAAGGAGAAATACCAATGAGATCTTTGGAGAGTATGGGTGAAGGCCCCTCATGTGATGTTGTTCTTCTACACAGAACGTCAGATTTAAATGGTTCTGTTAGAGGGCAACGAATTTGTAATTCGGCTTCTCTCTTATTTGATACCTATAATCCTTTCTGATTTTCTGATTTTTGAACTGTTAATATCTGCTTTTCCCGTATTGTCTAAGTTTTTATTTACTTTCTTTGATTCAGGTGATTCAGTTCATCAGAAGGGAAATAAGAGCAATCCTACTGCTGAACATTCAGACTTCTTGTAAGTGTCATACAAGTGCTTAGATTGATACAAATAAAAGCCATAAAGGTGACAGATTTCGTGCCTGAAAGACATTATCCCTTTCAGTTGATTTGTTTGTCATAACGTAACGTGAGTTGACAATGCCTCTTTTTCAAGTTGATATGCAATAACGCAACGGTCAAACGTCCGCGCGAGTGTGAGGGTTAAAGCGGCTGAGAATCGGCCCAACATCATGTTTTCAGGCTGTCAAAACCAAGCTGTCGCACAGGACTTTGAAACAACGACATGAGCTAGGAAGTAACTGTGTCTTATATACGTACATGCATAGCGTTTTGGCTAAGTGTCAGTGCGACAGAAAGGTATATACAGAGTATCTCGTAATTAAAAAAGAAACTTTGAGTCCCAAAAGTCCTAAGTTTCCCTTCTCTCTCCATTTCTTTCCTTCTACGGTTTTATCAGAACGTTTTCACTTTTGTACACACCAGTTGTTTCCTGTCTTTCTTTACAATTTTGCACGGGAAATTTGCGCGTGGCCAGCTAAAATTGATCCTGGGGCGCATGCCCGGTGTTTGACTGTTGCATTATCATATTTTCAAGGGGAGTGGCTCCTGGATACATCTATTGCTAGTTCCCATGAAATATATCCATCAAAACCGATACAAATGGAAGCAGAGGTCCACGCTTCGCGCGTAGGCGCACTAAAAAAGCATCGCCTTGCATGTCTCCAGTCCCAAAAAGATGGATATCAGTTTGCAACGCCCTCTGCAACATTTACACACTTAGTAGTAGTCCGCGCATGCTTAAAATACAGTGCTAGATAAGTGACGGGGCTATTCAAGCGGTTAGTTGTGACAAAAGGAACCGATCAAGGTAAAGCAAAAATGTTCATTTCTCTCGTTGCTTTGACAGAGTACAGCTTCTTGAAATGCCAACAGTTGGGTCCAGAAATCTGATCAGACATTTAAACCAAGACGAGGAAGAAAGTGAGTGCTGCAAAAAGATCTTTACTCTTTCACTTCCAAGATGTACATATAAATTCTCTCTGTCACTAGCATGGGACAATTAACGAAATTCGTTGTAGGCGCTAAACACGGAAAAGTACACGACCAACTCTTGAGACGAATGAAAAATCGCTTTATTGATAGGAAATTTCGGGGAACCTGCTCTGGGTGGTTTACTGCGAAAACATTTGGCTTGAGAGTGTGGGAGAAGGTTAAACTGTTAATCCTTTAACTCCCATGAGTGACTAAGACGGAATTTCTCCTTACAATATCAATGAAGTTTCAAGCAGACAAGTGATGAGAATAAAGAAAAATATCAACCTAGAGATTGTTAGCTGATTCAATACCAAATTATCCCTACTAACAACAAGAGAACTGTATCGCAGACAGTAAAGAGAATTACTGATGAGATCTTGGGAGTATAAGGGTTAAACGCTTGAGTATGGGGAGAGGCCTTGAAAAATGCAAATCGGTGAGAGATCTGGCTCTAATTATTATTTTTACCATGCCCACAGTAAACCTCTCCCCAACTCGTCTCAAATCTTCCCGCAAGGCGGACAAACGCACGACCTGCAGAACATGTTTCGTGGCTGCGTTTTTTCTTTTTTTTTATATATAGTCAAAATGTTACATTTTCTCTCCAGAAAAGCCAGAGGAAGAGAGAAAGCCCACAATGTCTGCTTCAGAGCTCTTAAAAGCGCATGAAAAGGAACTTAAACGAGTGAAGTCTTCGTCCACGGGCACACTTGGAGCACCCATGTTAGGGCGTGGTCTGGCGCCAGGATCGGATCTCTTCTTTGATGGTTCACCCAAGTTCGGGAAACGGAAATTAAATGATACAGAGAGAGCAAAGGTAAACACGAACTAATCCCAATTTCTCTCTTCTTTTCAAGTTCGGTCTCTAACAGACAGCAGTTATCGATCCTATCACAATTTTAAAAGGAAAGCAATGATTAAACATTGTCTTTTTGCCCCAAAAAATTGTTTAAAAAATAGTTGCAAAGAGCAAGATGAACATCGTTTTTTGAGTATGTGAACTCGAATTTTTTGAATAAATTTTTGGTTGCTTTCCAACATTTCTAATACTCTCTTTGGGCATAAATATTTTAACACTTAGGATTTGATTTATATAGTGCATGTCAGCTTTCTTTGGCGTTACATTACGAAATCCCTTTTTCGTTGATAAGTTGGTCAGTTCTCGTTACATTTTTGATAAGCTGGTCTGTTTTCGTCGCTTTTTTGATCGGGAAGGGGAAATTAGTATTGCCTAATAAATTATTCATCGTGAGTTGAGTATTAAATTTCTTGTCATTCCATAATCGTTTTATCTGCTTTCAAACCACTGTTCCATCGAAGAAAACGGCACTTTTTCCAGAGATGTCATTTGAGGCCGTTTCCGCGGGCTGTCAGACTGTTTTTCCCCTGCTACTTTGAGAATTTTGATCAAAGACAGAAAATAAGTATTTTGAACGGTTTCGAACATCAGTATGTGGCTAAAAAATGTTACTCAAATATGTTCCAGAATACTGGAAATCGCGTCTCAAAGAATTTAAAATTTTTTCAGGTGAGCATGCCCCCCTGACCCTTCCAGAAGGACGTGTTTCTTTTGCATCACGCCATACATGATTCAGTTCAACAGCTTCCTCGGTTCAGATCCTACATCCATTGCATTTTCTGATGACAACCCTGTTTATTTGTTATTTTTATTTTGTCAGCTCAAAGCTTTGTCACTTGTGAAACAGAAAGGACCTTTAAAAAAGGATGACCCAAATGCTGTTCGCAAAAAGTTATCTCCAAAGGCGCAGGAAGAAATTCAAAAGAAAGCGTTTGAAGATAGCAGCAAAGGTATGCCAATTAAACATTGTTCGCCTGAGAACTTTTAACTGAGGCTCGTCCACGCCGATCTAAATGGTGAGATTTTCTGTTTAGGCCTTTGGTTTACAGGAAAGGACTTGAAGGTCTAAGGAATAGTGGGATTGGCTTACGTAGCACCGTGTGATTGGACAAGAAGTCTCGTGCCAATCAGATGTTTGGTCATTTGCATTTTCCCGCCCTTGACGTCAAATGTCCTTGTGATTCCTGTCACAGCCCTCTTTCAACCATTATTTGCGCATGCTCTAACTTACATTTCGGAGGCAAATGTTCTTTGTTTCTGTTGTAGAAAACGATGATGGAAATGCGGATCAAGATTCAAGGAAAAAAAGGAGACGGATTTTGGGACCAGAGTTTGGATCAATAGATCTGACTTCCGAGGAAGGTAAAAAACTGCTTGCTGCAAAATCACAGCATGTTGGAGCCGTGCGAGAGGTGAGTATAGTGATTGGAGGAATATCATAACCATAATAATACTGAAAATAATGGAACTTTAGCGAGGTGGCCCTTCTCCACTGTTTCCAGGTCGAGTTAGGTTTTGGAATGTGTTTTTTTGGTGGAGAGAGGAAAACCGGAGGACCCGGAAAAAAAACTCTCGGGGCAAGGACGACAACCAGCTACAAACTCAACCCACACGTGACGCCAGGTCCGGGAACCGAACCCGAGCCACAGCGGTGGGAGGCGAGCGCTCTCACCACTGCCCACCCCCACTCCCCACAACCTCACTACGCTCATTCTGTCCGTTCTCTCATGAACAAACCCTTTACAGAAACAAAAGTCGACATTTTAAATTGATCATCAGGAAAAATGATCCTCAAAACAACGAGGTTGTGCTCCAGCAGAGCCAAGGTGCAACTAGCAATTAACTTTTGTACCTGGGTGACTTACAGAACTTTGCTTTTCTAAGAGTTACTAAGAGCAGGAAAGTTTTTCTCACGTGCAATCCAACCCAGTGGTCAAATGTCTGCGCATGTGCGAACGTGGCTAGGTGGCCTACTTTCAGGCTGTCTGAACCAAGTTGTCTCACACAAGTTACAAACAAGCAAACGAGCTGGTAAGTCACGGTGTTTTAGAAGCGTACTGCTTCTCCGGTAAAGCTCAAAATCAGGATACCCGCACTTGAATAAGCTTTGAGTTCGGCGAAAAGCATCGAGTTTCCCTTTTCGCGGCTTTTGTTTCCTTTTACAGTTAAACAGCTCGATTTTCTTTCGCCTATTTTGCAAGAAAGCGGTGGTTTCTTATGTTTTCCCTCGAAATTCTGCGCGGGCGCCCTAAATTGACCCCTCGCGCATGCCCGGCATTACATCGCTGTGCTGTCCAGCCTGGGCCTAAGATAAGACTAGTGATACTTTTTGATCAGAAACCAAATACATATGTTTAGGCTGAGGCCGAGAGGGAGGAAAAATACTTCAACGAACTGGAGAAGAAAGAAAGACTGGAAGATAAAATGAAGACGATTACAGAGCTCAAAGTAAAAGTGGTCTGCTGTAAACAGGTAAACGATTGTGTTTGACGAAGCCTAGTTGTGTTTAATTAAAATTCACCGGTCTCTTGCCTTGTGTAAGCAGTCTGCTCCACCATGATCTATTGTTTACTTAAAAAAATATAAATTTAACTATGTTTACGTCGAGCAATTTGCAATTTTTAAAAAATAAAGATATTTTGAAATGGCTTCGGATTGCCTCAATTCTCCTGGTGATTGGTTTAAAAAGCTCGCACCACCCAATCAGATGCAAAAATAAAATCTATCGCGACTCAGAGACTTGCGTTTTCCCGCGCTTTAAGCAGTCTGAGCTTTGATTTTTCATTGGCTTCTTATGATTTTTTTGTAAGTCTTGATTGGCCGTTGTCACATGGTTGCTCACGTTTTCCCGCGCTTCAGGAAGTTCGCATGTTTGAACTCTTCCCTTTTTTACTTTGCTCTGTGCGATAATGTTCCTTCGCTCTGATGACAGGCATTTTGACTACCTTAAAGGCACTCCTTAATCACCTTGGTCTTTCTTGTAGTGTAATTACGTAGCAGAGGGTGCCTCAGAACTCTGCCACAAGGAAAAGCATGCACTGAAGTATTGTAAGGCTCTGAAGAAGTTCTTTGTGTGTAAAGACTGCAAAACTCGCACTGTATCATATGGATCGCCAATTCCTAAACATCCTTGCAGGTGAGAGTAGCCACCATCGTTTTTTGTTTGTTTGTTTATTTTCTTCTGCTTTCGTTTTAACACCATTAATCTGCTTCCCGTTTAATACTTTCCATTCTTTGCCTTTGGCTAAACTATCATTTGAAACAGGTAATTTAGTGTTAACAACTGAGTTGAAAACGTAAATTAGCCACCGTAAAGGGTAAAAAAGCTGACGTTTCGAGCGTTAGCCCTTCGTCAATCGTTCTGACGGTGGGCTAACGCTCGAAAAGTCAGCTTTTTTACCCTTTACGATGGCTAATTTACGTTTTCAACTCAGTTGTTAACACTAAATTACCTGCTGTACTCTCCCACCGACGCAGCACCACAGTTTCTATAGAAACTTGCCCCTTTATTCATGTATCGTTTGAAACTCTCCTTTCCTATTTCTTCATTATTACTACACTATTCCTTTCTTTTAAATTTCAATCTTGTGCGTTCTTCTTTTTTCTCCTATTCCATTTTTTCGCGATCTCCTTCATTCGATTTTTTCTTTCCATTTTGGCCTCCTCTCCTCTTGCCTCTTCTCGTTCCTTTTTATTATTTACATTTCTAAATTTGTTTAGGCAATGCGGTGCTACAAACTATCAAAAAACATCCATTTACAAGGTAAGACATAAATGCTTCACAGACAGCTTTTTAACATCTGTCGATCTATGCAAAATTGACGCTTACGAGTTCATAATTTCTTGACAAGCAGCTGTCATTTACTTGCGTCTTCGACGATCTTCGACAATTTCTTGGAAAAAGCAGCCAGATCCTGTACGACCAGACAAACCTTGATAAGGCAGTCTCCAATAAATCGAGTTGAAACCAAGATTTTTGGTGTAAAATCTTGCAAAAATCTCAGTTTCAAAAATGGTATAGGATTGAACCTACATCCCGTTAGCTTTCCTCCTTGAACTTATCGCGATGATTTTCTTATTTGATCGATTCTCATCGACTTTCTGAAGTAATCTGGGGCTGTATTGGTTTTTTTTATGTGATTGATCTATAAAAATCACGCCACTCTTTTACCCAATCACCCGTTTTCAGCCCGCGCTTTAGGCATGTCACGTGCTTTCACTTTGAGTTCCTATTGGTTCGTTTTGATGCTCACCTTTTGTTTGTTTAACTTTGTTTTTGTTATACGTCACTTTTTCGGAATGCTCACTATAGACCTTTTTTGAAATATTTTCCAAATGATTCTTATTTTTTTTCGCTGATGTTTGCTTCTTTTCAGGAAACGGAAGGCCTGAAGATAGCAGGGGAAACTCTACTCGTTAGAGGGGAAGAACTTCCAAAATTTCTTAACAGTCTTTAAAAGCTCATCAGGAGTTGCAGTGAAATATTTTTACTTGAGGATTGTTATATTACCATATGAATGAAAAAGTTTTCACCTGCAGTCGCACAAGTTGAGATTTGAATCATTTTTAAATAAACTCGTTTTGTGAAGAAAATTTCTGCCTTTGTTATTTCTTATGAGAAATTCCAAACAACCTTTACGCCGAAGCCTTTACTGATGAAATCGGGAATAGTATAGCATCGAATTCCTTTCTCTTTCAAAGCGGAGTTTAAGGCATTAACGAAAATCAGAGAACAGTAATTAATGATGTACTTTGCTTTGCCACCCGTGTAATCAAAGCTAAAATTGTGCTTGGACAGAAGCGTGTAACTAAGTAATTTTCCGCTTTCACACGCCAAACAGTATTCCCTCCCGCCGACATTTCATGAAGTTGTTTTCTCATATTCATCCAAACACCAAGAATTTCAAATTTTTCCTTCTACCACTCGAGGGGATTCCTTGAAGTTTTGTTCTAAAAACTTTCTCAATTCTTAGTTTTCGATGAAAAAATAAGCATCGAAACATTTACGAAGATAATTGAGAGGTTTGTTATTTCAGCGTCACAATTTGAAAGAATGTTATGCTCAATATTTTACGAAATGAAGACATAATAAGCCAGTACTATTATTGACATTTTTTAAGAGCTAGATTTTTGTTCAAAGAGCGATCGTGCTTATTTCATTCAACGAGAGTCTCTAAACTTTTTACCTGGAGTGTGATTTAGCGATTATTTTTCTCGCGATTAAAGATAAGACTTTTCATGTCCACTTCAACTAACTTTTTCATTAAACGTGACTCGTGAATGAAGAACTAAACATAAACGTGATTCGTGAACCTTTTTGTTTTGTGTGATGAATTCTCGGCTTTGCAATGGTTTTGAAAATGTGTTGTTCCCGAACGGTTGTGGTTAAGTTTTGACCAGGGTTTAGACAGGACATGAACTTTATATGGATCAATTAGAGTCAAAAAACAGACCTTTAATGGTCCTTGAACAAATAAAATAAGACGCATCATCACTTGTCACACAGGACTGGTCAAGAGTAAGAGAGAGTAAAAATTAAATTCGTGAATTAGGTTTTATATTTTTATGTGAAAGGTCTCAAATTTCGCGTGAACGTCAAATAATAATTTTTTGATATCATTCGTGATGCGTGACAAGGCCAAATATTTTCATGTGGCTGAGTTTTATAAAGGGTATAGGAGACCCTCTTCCAAACTAGCAGCTTTAAAGAGATGAAGTTGCACATCTTAAAAGATCACCGAACCTGGGAAATATAATTGCTGGCCCAACATTTTTTTTTAAACAATTCGTGAGAAAAGCGTTGGTGGTGTTTCTAGAAACAACTAATAACATCTTACATTTGATTAATTTTTCATGGTAACAATTTCAAACTCGACTGGTTATCAATTTAGCGTCGGCGTAATTGATTCAGGCGAACTTTCCAAGTTCGGAGTTCATCGAAGCTTCTACTTCGAATGAAACATCTCACAAAAACCAGCGTAAAACAAAGAACACGAGCTTTAAACTGACACCCTGCCTACCGATGCAAACGTTACCAAGTCGATCGATTTTTATGCGTTGTGTGTTATTTTTAAACTGCGCTCTAGCAAACGGGAGAATATGCAGTTGGCGGGCGGCAAATTACACCAACGTTGGAAAAGGTAGACATCTTACGCTCGTATAAGTTGTGCAAAGTTAATGAGGTGCAAAAGTCTGGTGTTATTTTTTGTTTAAACGTGTTAAGAATAACCCGAACAACTTAGCTAATGAGATTACGTAAGTATTTCTACCATGCGCTAATTTATTTTCAGACGGTTTCACCAAGCGTTTCTAGATGGTGAAGCTGTGTTTGTTTTATCGGTTAGACTAAGGGGATCATGATATATCATTAAGCATATAGAGTATAATACCGACAAATTTATTGTAAGTGATTTATTTCCTAATGTTTTAAAAAGTCCTTTCATTGGTAAAGCTGTATTTAATCAAACCTAAAATCCATTAGGACAATGAAGAAAATCGAACAATTATACGCGATAAAACTAATGAGTTTAAGTAATTTTAGCGGTTTCTACTTGTTTATTTTCTTACAATTCTTGTCAATCCTTTGTAAAAATGTAGTGATTTGAGGTAAAAGGCCATGAAAAATTACTACAAAATGGTCTTCGTGCGAGCAAATTGAATGAACCAACGGGCCGAAACAAAGCCATTTTCTGCGTTCCTTCTTGCTCTCTTGCGGAGACCCATAATAAAGGATGTTTTCCGTGATGGTGACCGACAGCAGAAAGTGCGCTATATCGCAGATGCTGTGACAATAGTAAATGAGTTATTCATTGTTTTCAACAAGAAACTCTTCAAATGAAAATAAATATAACCCATGAGACGTAAAAAAAATTCGCCGTAAAAAAATTTCAGCTGACTATAATCAGGATAATGGAAAGATGTGAACCATTAGCCGTAAATTGGCCAAAATTTGAACCTTTAGCCGGAAAAAAACCGTAACCTTAGTGAGACTCTCTTAAAAGGAACTTTTCGATGCTCCTGAATGGGACTTTTTCACAATGAAAGTTGTTCGCGATTCTCGTATAAACCCAGTTTTTCCTTTTTGTCTAGTTTTTAAGGCGAAAATTTACACTTAATAATGAAAAATAAAACATTATTTGTGATTTTTGTGTGTTTCTTTCATATATGTTTTCTTGTTATCTTTTTCAGGATTTGCTTTGATAGGTCATGTCATTGCCTCGTTCCAGGTTCCAGATATTTTTGATTGCTCGTTCGCTTGCTTTAAGGATTCTCGATGTCGATCCTACAACTTCCGGGTTTCCGGCCCCCTCCACCTTTGTGAGCTGAGCAGCAAAAGCGTCTATACGAAACCTGAAAATTATACGGTGCAAGGAGATATGATTTATTATGATGCTGGAAGGGTAAATAGTAGCAATGCTATAAACGTTTGAAAGTTATGTATCAAGGCTATGGATCAGTAGATGGTATAGGTAGTTAAGTTAATAGCCTTGAATAATTTATCTAGACAGGAAAGCGTTTCCTTCGTGTGGAATAAGATTTTCGTGACGGATTTTTCCCGTCACGCAGTCCAAAGTTGTCTTTAAAGCTCAAAGATTCTTAAAGTCTCCAGAGCCTTTGCATAGGTAATCCTTCGATTTCTTGTGCCAAGCTAAGGCCCAAGCGAACCGCGAAATCGAGTGAGCTATGAGGACGAGAATGTGCCCAGTCCACAACGGCCTCTCTCTTTTAAGCGAGATCCTCGTACAAAGCAGCTTTATAATATCTCTTCCAAAAGTAACTTCCACAAGGGCACCGAGTTCTCTGAAGTGATTTTAGCGGTCAGGTATGGCAAATAGAAGTAAGAATTTGTGGTTAGATCTAAAGGGTCCAGATGAGAAAGTGAGTACAGTAGGTCCCTAACTTGCAATTCCTCTATCAAGTAATTGCGATAACTTTACAGGAAAAAAAAAAAAAAAAAAACTTATTCCAATCTCGTCCTCAGAGATTAGTCAGTCAGTTTCAAGATGGCGTTACGACACCATCTTGAAAAAAATCGACCAAGAAATACCAAGGAACGAGATTAGTTTCTCCTTATCAATTAACAACGTCATCTGTCGTTTCCACAGAGCGCCGGATGTTCATCGTCACCGTGTCAAAATGGCGGTAAATGCATTACCTTGTGTGGAATAGATATTCCGTTCGGTTTTGTTTGTGACTGCGATGTCCTTCACACTGGTGAGGTGTGCCAAAACTGGACAGGTGAGGACTGGGTGCTAGCGTAGCGCGCTAAGAACTCTAGGATTAACTTGGCTGACATGAATGACAAGACAAGAATGACAAAATGACAAGACAGAATTTCTCTGAACAAAATCAATGCCATTTCGAGCACACAAGCGATGAGAATAAAGAAAAATACCAATTAGGGAATTATTTAGTTGATCCAATACCAAATTCTCCAAAATAACAACGTAAGAATTACATGGTCGGCAGCAAGGAGAATAACTGATGACATCTTGGGAGCAAAAGGGTTAAGGGTTGCATACTGACCGCCTGTCCAGCAAAAGTTAAAAATCGAGCGAGCAGATAAATAACTTCCTTGGAATTTCTCTCACGTTCAAAATTAAAGGCTGACAAATGACATGGAAGCCGTTTGTAATCCAAATTGCTTCTGCGTTCTATCTGCTTTTGACCTTATCTTCAAAATTTTGTGTTCACAGAAAAGTCCAAAGACTACGATTTGAAATTCCAGGCAAAAAGTTTGTCCAACAATGTAAGCATGGCCATTTCGAATGAGCCCATTAACGCCTTGACGTTTTGCATCTGGTTTCAAACAACTCAGTCAGGATCATTTGGGCTTGTAGGCGGCGACCTTGATTTAATTTGTAATGAATATTCGCAGTGCAACTTCTCCTTAAAAGGAGTCAAAAGGTAGGAATATTAACATCTACAATAGTAAATAAAGCTCACTTTCCCTAGTTTAGAGAAATTTTCAACAGAGCGTTAAGATTGATCCGCGACTGCATTAGTTTTGCCTTACAACCCTCTTCGACTGGCCTATAGAACTCAATTCACATCTACGACAACCAAGTAAATCGCTGCATTGTTTTGCTTTTGCTTACTCGCGTCGTAATTGGATTAATTGTTTGGCGCCAATTGATCACTCAACCAATCACCTACGAAAGTAAATCATCCCTCACACGGTTGCTCGCATTTTTTCCCTCTCTGCAGTGCTTCCGTTTTCTTCTTTCGAGTTTTCATCGGTTCTTTCTTGCGATTGGACGTAGTTATTTTCATTTCATACAGCATTGCGACACTAAATCCACATGGTCTTTATCCTATATCCACTATTTGCGCTGATTCAGTATGTTCACGATTTTTACAAGCACGTGCGGAGAAGTCTGAGATCTTCGAAATTGTTTCGTACCACAGGGATTTTTACAGCACTCCGTTGAACAATGGGATTTGGCACAGCATCTGTATCACCTGGCAGCGGTCAACGCGCATTTGTGCGGCGTATATCGACGGAAAAACAAACAAACGGCGCACATTTACCGGCTGCGGAGGAGACACTGAGTTTGAATTCAGCCAACCATTGGTGTTGGGTCAGCTTGTGAAAAGTAAAGGAATATTCCAAGAAGGCAACTCGTTCACTGGCAACATCAATGGAGTGAACATGTGGGATTATGCCATGGAGGAGAACGAAGTATACAATTTGGCTACAAATTGTTCGAGTCGCGTGGGCAATGTCGTAAGCTGGCCGCTTTTCAGAAATGTTCTGGAGGGCAACGTTGTGTTGACAGAAGGGTCAATTTGCAGCGGACCTGGTAAGTAATTGGTACCTTATTAGTAGAAATAGGGGACCGCTTAGAATTTATCGCCTGAGGGGGAGGGGTGGGGTGGTGTTGAGAGGATTTTGGCTCTCTCACAATATAATCACCTTACCCCCCTAAGGCTCAGTACTATTCTAATGATGCCCCTCCCCTCCTCCCCTCATTGTTATTCAATTTTCTATAGTCTTTCCTTTATACTCTGTAAGCAACGACTGACTCCTTCCCCCCTCCCACCCTCCATCGTCGAAAAGTACCAAAATCCTCCCATCCCCTCCTCCCGCAGGTGAAAAATAATGAATGGTCCCCAGAGTACAGAAAGGTCATTGCAAAACATCTTATGGACTGAAACAGATAGCACAGAAGGGTCCAGTTGTTACGAAAACAATAGGGCCAAGTTGCTATGGCGTGGATACGCTCAGTGGTCATCTCTAAAAGAATTGTAGCCCATAATGTTTACGTTGCTAAGGGCTCGAAAATTTAAAGGAATAATACTGGAAAACTTTTTAACACAAGGAACCATGCCGCTTTTGATTTGAGAAGAGACCCTGAATCCAGACTAGGACAGGAGTCCATTACTAATGGGCTCCTGACTAGGGGTAGTTTGTCCTTTTTGGCGAAATCTGTCGCGCGAGTTAAAAAACTCAGCGAAAAAATTGATTTTAATGCGCCGCGCGATACTCTGGGAGTGAGTTTTCGGCCGTTTTACCGCCAGATTTCTGCACGGCGCACTAGTATCAATGATCACGTATCATAGGCTTGGATGGCAAATATGCACGCACAACCCCACAGGCGCTATGAGATGTTGGGGATGTCACGCAACGACGCAGCGAAGAGCCTCGTTGTGTTACATCTCAACAATGACATGGCAGCACACTTACCTTTTCACATGATTCATGAAGGAATTATGTTTAGAAAACGTGACTGGATGTTCTTCATATTTTTATTTCTTTTTATATTTTGTTTAATTAATTTTGTTTTTCCTCTAGATCTCTCTTCCAAAGTCTCCTTGAAATTTCCAGCCATGACAGCTGTTGATCGGATAAAATATTCTGGGTCACTCTCCTCGTTCCAGGCCTTTACTCTCTGCCAGTGGACAAAACTCGTCTTCATGCAGGCAGAGGCCACTTATCTTAGTTATGCTAACAGTGAATCGCCAAACGCTCTGGTTCTCTTCCTGAAGAAAGACCTGACGATACGAATGTTTATCAACAATAAAAAGTTGTAAGTATACCTCTCAGCTCATTTTACTGTTTGGAGAAAAAGAAATTGTTGGTGGAGTGGAGTCCGAATGACAAGGTCTGGGATTGAGGCCTGCTGGTGTCCTCGAGTCGAGTAAGAAGGGAGACAAAAAAGGAAAGTCGATCCCTTAGTTCGTTCCGAGAAAAAAAACAAGGACTGCATTGATGGGCCTCCGATGCCGCGAAGGGTATTTATACACTCTGCAGAGATTGAGGAGGATGCTACTGTTCCTTAATTGACTATTTTCTGTTGTCGTTTCATTTCAGACAGGCATTCAGGGCTCCCTTTCTGGACAAACACTGGCATCATGCTTGTGTCACGTGGACAAACAATGGAGGTGAATCTAAGTTTTATATAGATGGCTCATTGATGAGAGTGGTAACTGGGTACGGAAATGGAGATGTTATCCGCGGAGGCGGGATTCTTATCTTCGGTCAAGAACAGGATAACCTTGGAGGAAGTTTTGATGCACAACAATCGCTTGTCGGCTTCTTGAGTCACTTAAACCTGTGGAATTTCGTGGTGCACTCTTTCGCTCTAGTTGACATAGCAACAGGATCTGGCACAGAGAATGGGAACACTGTGGCTTGGAAAGACGTCATACGAGGTCAGGCTTACGGTCAGGTTGAAGTTGTTTCTATTTCCCAGGATCCACCGAAACGTGAGTATTACTGATTGCTCTGTAGTAAGCCTGCAATCACACTCTCATTATTGGTGCCGCAAGACGCGGGTTCCTACGCCCTAGGAAGATTTCAGACGAGTCGGTTAGAGGGTTCCTGGGATCTGGCACTAATAATGAGAGCCCCAAGGACAATATTGTTCTTTTCATCATCTGCGTTCGCCCACGTACGCAGCCTCCTGATTGGTGACAGATGACAGGTTGTGTCATTTTTAGTGCCAGACCTCTTGCAGACCTTTCGTTGGTTCGCGTAGATCAAGAGCTCTAATTTCCCCCGGGCTATGAAACACTCGTACCTAGGCGCCATTAGTGACAGCCTACTTGCTAGGCCCTCATATAAGTTGCTGACATAATTTATAGTTTATTTGGAAAAACGAGGATAATTTTTCACTTGTTCATAAAAATAGCACTGCCAGCATAATAAGCATATTTTCAGTCAAGGGGAACATAACCAGAGTCATGATTTGCTCGTCCTTTTGGTTGATTTACTTATTTTCAATTTTGCAAAGTCTCGGGGGGAAGAAGGTTTCTGCAGTTCAATGTGGTGCTGTAGGTTTTTAAGAAGGAGTTCAAAGAATATATAGTGCATGTGCAGTTGCTCTAATGATCTTCTGATGGGTAATTTCATTGCGAAATTATTTTAGTTAGCCAAACCGGATCGTTTGTTAAGGTTTTAAGTGGCGGCGGCGCCGCGGAAAAAGGGGTCGAAGCCGCGGGATGAATGGAAATTAGTAAAAATATTGGTTGTTTAAAAAGCGCGTTTTTCATTTAATGGAGTGAACTCTTCGCGATGGGGCGGGCAGATTGGGGGCGAACTTGCAATGAGGCGAGACCTCCATAAATCCACTAGCCCAATGCACATGATATCTACTCAGGATATTGCTGTTTTGTTCCAGGTCCAAATATGGACTTCAAGTATGTTTTTGCATCACAAACCAACCCATCATATGTCCAACTTTATGACGCCACGACAGACGAGACCATTGTGAAGTTCACAGCGTGCCTATGGGTGTCTGTCTATCAATCAGAGATGATGACGTTGTTTACCTACAGAACAAGTGAGATGCGGAATGCCATCGGTATGCGGCCAAGGCCTAGCGATCCGAAGTCGTTCACCATCATCGTCAACAATAAATTTCTGTGAGTAAAATACCTCTCTGCTGATGTGAGTATGACTATGCTGTGACGTCATTGTCATTACGAAATCACGTGACGTTATGGCCCTTAGTTGGATTATACCTATCCCGTCCCCAGTCTCTTTCTCAAGGGAGGGAGAGAAGAGAGAGGATCAGTATGCTTATTCTCCATACTGTACGCCATACGTTTCTTAGGATGCTGACAAGGAGAATTTGTATAACAATCAAAAGCCTCTCTATTTGGTGATTATTTCATTTATTCTCTGGACCTTAATGTGTGATTCAGGGGTGATATTGTAAGGAGAAATTAGATAATTGATTCACATTTTCACTGCTTAACAGGAATGTTGACTATGACGACTTCTTTGAAGAAACTGGGTGGCAACATATTTGTGTCACGTGGGAAAATGGCGCAGGAAACTGGAAGCTATACGTCAATGGAGAAAGTGTCAAAAGTGGCTCTGGCCTTCAGCCGGGCGTGGTAGTATATATAATTTTTTTTTGAGTAAATGTGTCTCGTTTAGACGCGGTATTCCAATAGTTAGTTACTCCGGATCGAGAGGTCTGGGTTCGAGTACTGGACAGGTGTTCCTAGGCAGAACACATAACTCAGCAGTGCCTCTTTCCATTTTGGAGAGTAAATGGATGCGCGCAATTGTCAGGGAAGTGTGATGAAATATTGGGGTTAATATTTCACTAACCTAACATCATACCAAAGGGGAAGTAGCTTCGTGGTAAGGAAAACCGGATAACGTCCTGCTCGATGGGCTGTTGAACTCGAGTACAGACTTCTCTTATACCCATTTTGTTGTTGTTGTTGTTGTTGTTTTTTTTGCGTGTCTTACTAAAACATATATTTTTTTAATTATCAGGAAATTAAAGGAAAGGGTGAATTATTGCTCGGAAAAAGGTACAGAGCTGGCTCAGATACAATTAAACCGGAGCAAGGTCTTGTCGGGGAGATCAGCCATTTAAACATTTGGAACAAGACGCTGTCTACGACGGTATTGCTTGCGATGTATCGAGGATGTGATTCTACGGGAGGAAATTTTTTCGACTGGTCATCGCTCCTTTCCGGTCAGGTGGTGGGTCAAGTTACCTGGGAAACGTCGGCAGAGTGCACGTTACCAGGTCTGTAGGTTGTCTTTGAATTGTGTGCCATTTGCCAAGGTTTCGAAAACGTGAAAAAGCTGTACCACGTTTCCTTATTAACTCACAATTTACTCACTTGATTTGACGATTTTACCACAACGCTTCAGTTAACTCCCACTCAAAATTCTCGGCTTATTCGAAAGGAAACACACACACAACGTCCTGTTGTAAGCACGTGGAACAGTGCCATATATGGGGGCGATAAAATACGTATAAAGGTAACCTAAGCAACAAGATCTCGGCCCAATACTTTGCTCACCTTTCATTCGTGGTATTAGTTCACTTATCTCTGTTACACTCTTTTTCATTTACTGTTAATAATATTTGATGTTGCATCAGATCCTCCCGGTCGATATGCAATAATTGACTTAAACTTGCATTTTAAAGCTTCAATTGGGAATGCAATTTATAAAAGGTTTGAAAATTAAAAGTAGCTTCTTTTCTATACGTTGGTTTCCTTTCAGACGAGGTTATCAGCTCCAAAAGAAATCTCTTCTGTGAGGGAATGACAAAGTATGGATGTTCATCTCCCCTGTATGCCCTGTTCGACGGAACGAAAGATTCAAGAGCCAAGAAATGGAGATGTTACTTCTCCAACGCTTTGACGCAAGACAACTCTGGTCTGTTGGCGTACGACTATGAAAAAGAATCATCTTGTTACATAACAATTGCCAATCCAGATTTTTATCTCATTACGTAATTTAATATTTGGTTGGGGTTTAGGTAGTACAAAGGGCGTGGCAAAGAGAGGGCCACCAGATGCACGTTACCTCTCTCTCTCCTTCGTCGAAGGAAAATGATTAGTCATGAAAATGCTGTAAAATTTGCATGCAGTAATACCATTTACCAGTAGGTTGTAAGGTTAATCATTGTGCACAAGACCGTTCCTATTCAGTTGAGATCGAGTATTAAACAGGAGCAGAAGCATTGTGAATTAAATAGCTTGACGCTGACTGTTTTCACAGCACTAAATTTAAATTTAATTAAATCTGAACACCAGGACAAAACAGCGGTAACGCTATGGACCAGGTTGCCTCAGCAACCTCATACCCAGAATCTCTAGACCTCCCTAGACCAGGCATCCATAAAAGATTATGGAAATAATACCCTTGCCCTTATCATTTTCATTTAATTGTTTATGAGAATATTAATGAAATATTTTAAGCTATCCGAAAGAGGGAATCTAAAACTGGAATGTTTCATTTTAGTACAGGGGGAAATAAGACAGACAGGACTCGAATCACTGGGATTTGATTGTGACCACAGGCAGACCACACTATGCGTTTGAGGTTAATTATTGTTGACATAAGACGAACGAAATCTGTGAGGGTTATGAATAAAGCTCTGAAAATTGCATCCAAAAATTACATATTGGTCGGAATATCTCAATTAAGTTAAATGAAATGTTAATCGATGCATTTGCGATATTTTTTTCGCCTCCATGGCCCCTTTGCAGCGTCTTTTTACGAAATTACTTTAGGCCAGCCAAAGACAATTCCGCGAAAGAACGCTCCAAACGGCTCATGAAGGAAAAAAATACCACAAATGCATCGATTAACATTTCGTTTAATTTTATTGAGATATTGAGATATTGAGACCGAGATGAAGTCTAGATAGACAATTTTCAGAGCTTCATTTGTAAACTTCATAGATTTTGTTCGTCTTATGTCAAAAATAATTACCCACGAACACATAGTGTGGTCTGCCTGTGTTATGATCATGCAATAATCTTTAAATGGGGCTCATGCTAACTTAGTTGTTCCATGATTTAAGCCGCAGATGCTCAGCGCTCTTTATTACGTAATGTATACTGAAATGTCTTTATAAATTTCTTTATGAACTGATTAGTTAGAACTGATGATTAGATTGGTATTTGTGAATCAAATATCATACAATAGGATTAATAAAAGTGTCGTAACAAAAACTTTCCTCTATGACAAAAGCGAATGATGTGCTATTATTTGTTTTGTCTTTTTCTATTGTGTCAAAGCACTTTCGCGGAACCCTCAAAAACACGAAATATCCACAAGCTCATGGCGCCTTGCAACATCTTATGGGGGACTTTGGTTAGACTTCATTAAGTAGTATAGAATTTTTTAAATAAATTTTTTTAACTTACCGTAGTTATTCGGTTATAAGGCGCACCGTTTTTTTCAAGAAATTCCTAATTTCTACTAAAAATTACCGCCAGAGTTTGGGTGCATCTTATAGGCGAATGTTTTCCCGAAACAATTTTTTTGATCACAGTTACTGGTACGATTTCAAGCAAATAAAATGACACACACACATTGACTTTTATGAATATGGTGGTTCTCAAAAGGCAAGCGAAGTCAAATTTGCATAGATGTGATACGTGCTCGAGAGCACGTGCTTTGTAATTTGATACGTCACAAAACGAAACGAAAATAAACAAGCGAAGAGGTAAATACCTTCTTCATCCCTTCAGCCTTTTTAGTGTACTAAGACCTGCATTCTCGGCGGTACATCTTGTTTAATCAAGGCTTTTGTTTGTGTGCGTGGTCGCGTGTGCGACAATTCTGCTTTTGTTGATTAACGGTAAACTAAAATCAATACGCGACTTTTTCGCTTTTTTGTAAGTTTATGAAAGAATTTACAATAAACTTGACCGATCTTTACTCCCCAAACAACGGTGCACCTTATAACCAAGTATTTTAGCGATTTTCTCAGTTTGAAAACATGCATTAATGAAGTTGCCGAATTGGGGGTGCGTCTTATAGCCGAGTGCGCCTTATAACCGAATAACTACGGTATATGAATACCATAGTTCCTAACATTATTGTAAATCACTGTTATCAACTTTTTACTTTACAGATTATCATAATTGTATTTTAACACAATTCAGTCTGCGGACTGCGACGTTTCTATTCAAATAAAACTATTCTATTTAATTCTATTCTAAGAAAAATCAAACTTTACGCCTCGTTTGTGCATACGAATATTATACTGCTCGATCGACGCGATCGCGACTGGTCTTTCCAAATAAAAGAGGATGACAAAAGCTCTCATGTACCTCTTACAATGACCATGTATTAAAATTCACGCCAACTTCAGGTTCGTAATTTAAATCCGATCTAATCTCCCCCATTTAGTAGTCATTGACGTGGTTCGGTCCGTTATTTGCTCCTTAAACATTTGGCGCCTGCATGCATGTGCACAATGTATGGAATCAGCCCAAGAAACGCCTTCAATTTTTCCTGGCTGCGCTGATAAAACAGCTTACACAGGGCAGTGTGCCGCAAAGATTAGTGTATTATTAGAAACTAAACCGGTGCTGTAGAGACAAACTATTTTTTTCCATACGAGTTTGTTGATTGGTTTACAATAATGTTCGTTGAGATTATTTCCTTTTGCTTCCTGTGTAGTGTATACATTTGACGGACATAGAAAGAATTATGCGGATTGAGGAATTATCCAGTCATAATCTTAAATACAAAAGAACTAGTTATCGCAGTTTCTGTCGCTCTGCAGAGATAATCAAACGCGGCGAGGGCAACCGGCTATGCTTCCTAACACAAATTGAGTATAAAACGAGGCTAGCAAAAAAATATTGCGAAAATATTTAACACTTGTGTTTCACAGCTTTTTCTGGTTTTCATCACAACTTATAAAGGATAAAAATTTCGGAGGGCGGGCTGGCACTAGCTGAGGAATTTTAAAATTCTGCCACACCTGAATAAGGACAAATCTTCTCACTAACGAATTTTTTGACCAGAGACGCCTCGAAATCGCGTGATGCTTTGAGAAATAACAAAAGATCCTCCTAATGCTATCAACTAAAGCTTGAAATTACTCTCGATCTTTTGAAGGTCATAACAGAAGGAAAAACACGATAACCTTGCAAAACAATTTATTTGCGACCCTTCTAGATAAATATTTCCTCCCACGACGCAAATCTGTTTCGCTAGCATACCTTTCCTGACTATTTGAGACACGGAATGCTTCACTGAAAGCAGTTTTTTTTTTTCTAGAAATGAAAAGAAAGTTTAAATATTCCAGAGATTTTGAACGTCCATCTATGAAGGTCATTAACTCGTTGACATCGGAAGAAGACTCCCATTTCGCGGATGATAACAATTTGACAAATGATAGGAAACGAACTTGAGATATTTTCAAACTCCCACAAACGCTGAAGTATAAACTTTCTTGCGTTCGCGACGTTTAATCCTAAATTTGGTAATTTCGACCATAAATTTTATTCTTAACGTCTTTTCCCTCCAAAAATTGTATAAATATTGACTTTGCCGGCTACGATATTTTTGTTACCGGGAATAATCGACCCCTGTTGTGATAAATCTGGCAATTGTTTTCATCGGTGTAATTGGTTTGTTGTGTGCACAAGACAAACGAGCATTTTTTGAATTAAATCCCAAAATCCCAAAGAGGATTTTAAAAGGTTGACACATAAAAGCAAAACTGATCGTGCATCCAGCTCTACCAATGATTTTGCTATTTTTCAAATGTTAGAGTGAAACCTTTCTTTTAAGATATTTTCAGTGCCTTTCAAAAAAACGCTTTAAAGTCATTGCTATTTCAAACTGACGTTTTGACTATGCGTGGGAGAGGAAGCCGCCAAAAATTCCGTTAGAAGCGTCCGCGTTTTCAAAGTGTCAATCAAAACAAGAGTTAAATTGAAGCAATCCGTTGTACTTGTCTTCAGTTGAAACTAACCGCCTGCAGAGCGTTAATAGTGAGCTGGTAATTTGAACATTTTTCTCCTCGAAATGGACAAAATACTCCTTTTGCTTGGTTTTGTAGCTCTCTTTGGCCTGGTCCAAAGCTATACCCTGCGAGATATCCTACGAGAGCGAGGTAAACATGTATGTTTAACTATCTTCAACGCAACAATAAGTTGCTTTGCTCGTTGGCAATGGTTATTCTTCACTCGAACTGTGCAAACATCAGCAAACGTGTACGGAAGGGATAAACGTTCCAGCGAAAAACGTTTCTGATTTTTTAAATTTACGACAAAATCACAAGTTAATTGCACGCGTGCCTTTGCTATAATATAGTTAAAGAATTATGGCATATTCGGAACTTCTAGATCTAACTAACCATTTCCGTAAATAATCCATGGATATCTAATGTTTCAAATAATTTGGCCCACTGTGAGTTTTTCCCAGCGAGTTCGACTTTCAGTATCAATAATCATAATACAGTTATTGTGCACACAACTACAGGAGAAATCGTTGGCATCATTTGCTACGGTGAAAAATGAAATAAAAAAAAACATTTCTGATCGTGTGGGAAAATTAGATATCGACACCAGGCAATTAGGGTTTTTTTTTCACTTGCAATTGGCACAGCCCCAAATACAGCTGACAGGCAGCAATTCACCATAAACCAAACATTATCACGGATTTTTTCACGGGCTTGGTTACAGCTTGAATGTTTCAATCTCTTACCCAAACTTCGCCAAAAATTCGTGGCGTCTATTTTTTCAATTCTTTCATTTACTTCGTATAATTATCCTTATGTAGTAATATCATGAAAAACACATATTTTAGTGATCGCTTTCAAAGAGGTTCGTTCGTCTTTGTTGTTCCTTTCGAACGAAGTTTCCTTCAAAAGTGCACTGTAATTTTTAATTTTTTTTTTTTTTTAACAGCTTTGAGACGCTACGACGCATATGATAAAAATGAGTATCTCGGCGCTAAATACCGGAGGGAATACGATGCGTTAAGAGCTAGAGGTATTGTTAAGTGATTACTTCAATTAATCTGTTATTACTTAACTTCACTGACTGATTGAGAGACACGCTCTTTCGCCACTTCGTTCTTTCTCTCATTTAAATCATTCACAATCATAATCTCATCCTCTCCCTCTCGGAAGAAATTCAACTTTAAAATTAACATTTGAATTTTTCCCTGCAGCTTTGAGGACCCTGCGTGAATTTCATCTGAGGCGCATGTTCGACGCAAATTTCAGAATGGACGAAGGTATTGTTTGTGTTTAAATTTTTCTTCTGTTAAACGACTCAGAGACTACTTATTGGGGAATTTCGTGTGTCCGCAGACAGGAATTCCAGAAAGTTAAAAATCCTTTGGGTTTTGAACTGCTTTGGTCTGAAATAGGGACTGGATTTTCACCATTATGGTATAAAATCGGGCTGTGTTCTAACAAGAGCCACAAAAGCATTTGATCGTCGGAAATGCATCAACACCCGTTTCCTAATTCAGAAAAACATTTCTCCGCAATCACGTGTGAATGTCAACACGAGCTGAAAATATAATACAACTCTTCTCTCTAACAGAGCAAAGATCATAGTAACGCTTTTCCGGTCTCTTTGTGTCACGCAACAAACTGAGCTACTGAATAAAGGGGTTAAGTTTCTGGAGAAACTGTGGTGATACGTCGGTGGGAGAGTATAACAGGGTAATTTGGTATTATCTACTGAAATGATAATATTAAATCAAACTGAGCTATTGTCTACGGCAATGAGTATATTTGTCTTTTCAACCCCGAATGCGGTGATAGAGGTAATGAAGTAACCAGACAATCATACGAGCTGAATTTTTGGGTGAATTGTACGAATATTTATCACTAGGCTTAACCACGCGTCAATGTTGCGTTTATGCGTTGTGAATTCGCTAACCTTGCCAACTTTTAGGGGACAGACCATTAAACAGATGTAAAAAATGACATGTCTAGCTTGTTCAAGGCATTCGGTCTGTGAAACAAAGCGCAATAGAAGCGGCTTGGCGAAAAAACGAGGGAGGTCTGGGACCCAAACCTGCTTCCTTTTTACGTTTCACTGCTACTGTGGCGCCGTTCGTTTGTTCTCTCCGTTTTACTGACTGCACGCCTCGATCTGAAGTAGAGTCAAGATGTGGAGTAGGCTCGTACCCAGATCCCCTCTGAGCTGTAACTGAAATGCTCGGCCGTGAAAGGTTTGGGTACGAGATAGGTATGGTAAGCCGAGGGGTACACCTCTAAAGGTTTCCCTACCCTTCCCTTGCCCGACCCTTCCGCTTTCAGGAGTCTCTCTCAGGTGAGCGCCTCTGTACTGTGCTTGTCTTTTTATTACAGACTGCAGGGATGATAACGAGCACTGCGCAGACGTCATCAAAGAGTATAAAAGCGAGTCATATGATTATTGTAAAGACACGGATGAAAGTATTCAGGAGTATGTCAAGGCACATTGCAGACTATCCTGCGGTTTCTGTGAGTAGATGGTGAAGATCAATATGTGTAACATCATGATAATTAATAATGGTAATAGGACCGAGTGGAATCTATTTCGGTCCGTAATCATACGAGTTATTGACAGAAGCAAACGACTGCGAAGCGGGGATCCAACTTGTCAATCTTGAGTATGATTACAGACCGAATTTGACAACACATGTAAAGTTCTATCACCAGTTACTCATAAAAGCGCCAATTTCTGAAAACAACGAATACATTTTGGAAAAATATATTTGGTAGAGACAATGCCTAAAGTAAAAAATTCCTCAATTTTGGGTATTTCACAGTTTTTTTTAAGGATAAGTGGTTGTTTTTATAGTTATTGTGATCAGTTATGTGACTGGTGGATTTGGCTGAAGAACGAAGTATGATTGGCTGCTACAGGTGTCCGATTACAGTCAACTGTCCTATTACAACTGCTCATAATGATAAGTGAAGAATAAAGCAGCTAATCCACCAATTACATTTAGGGAATTTGTACTGGTTATGATTTAAATGTGTACTTCATGTTACAGTCGTTCTTTAAGTTTTAAGTTCCTATGCTCACGCCTTCCCTATGGGGCTTTATATTAACAAATCAGCCAAACCTCTGGTATCCGGTCACTTCGCCGCATGGTCAGACCGCTCCAAGTCAGTTCGCCCCAGACAAAAGTGACTTCACTCCATGACATAATTTAGTGTTAAGTGCATATATGCTTTCTTCGATTGGAATGAAAACCACGTGTAATGTGCGAACTTATGTTGATTCAAGCTTGTTTTTTGGCACAACACAGGGAACGCGCGAACTTAACCTTTCAAACTTGTTTATTTTAAAAAGTTGAATGCCACCTTTACTGAGCTTTTTGTGTCATTTTACAAGGTTCTTTATCACTCTTGCATTAGTGAACTTACAGCGAAACGCCCTGAACTGCTAAGTCCAACCTTGGTAATCAAGACTGTATTGTTGTTGTTGTTTTCTTGTCACGCGTGTTGCCCACGCGTGATGTGCAGACAAATGTTGATTTAAAGGCGAGACTTCAGTAATTAATTAGTGAGCAAAAATTGCTCTAATCATTCAATCCTTACGCGTTTTTCCCAAATAGAAAATCGCGATCAAAGGGATCTGTCTTTGTTTTACGAGGAATCATAACAGCATTGAGCTCCAATCGCAACTTAATCAAAGAAGCCAAAATTTCAATGACATGTCTGCAAAGAGTTTGCTTGCCGAAATCCAGTAAGAGCGCGTCAATAAGGCCTCCAATGGGACGGTTGTCTCCGTTAGAAACATTGTGCTTGTGGAACGGGAATCCCCCATACGTCTCGCCTTATTTCTGGCGGGAAACTTAAGAGAATCCAACGTCCAACGACAGCAAGCACCGCGAGCTGTAGACCAAACTGTTTTGCGACGAGTGCAAGGCCAAAGAACGTTCAGCCAAATGGTTGCTGAAAGCAATGTTCATATCTCGATGGAACGGTAGAATAGGCAAATAAAACAACAAAAAAACAGACGGCAGCTTTAGGAGCCATCAAATAAAATGATAGCAATGATCGCCAATGGAATGAATAGAATACACATTCAGGGTAAACAACCTCACAAACAAATAAAATGAGAGAAGGGACTTAACAGAGAAAAACAGTTGAAGCTTTTCACAATTATATCTTTTGAGAAAACAAAAAAAACTTGAAACATAATTTGATTGAAATGTAAAATCTTACTACGCGCGAAGAGTTGTCATGAAACTCTTACACACACATTTACATTAATTAGTTCGTAGAGATGAACTTGTGTACGTTAAGAGATTGACGCCGTGAAGTCTCAAAATATGAATCGTGCGTGTGCGTTGGTTGTCATGGCAAGTTTTCAACCAATCACGCGAGGTAAAAGTGGTATGATGAGGTTATTATGTCGTCTTCTCGTAAGCAAAACTATAGGGCCGTTCGCGATGCCAAGTTAATCTAAGAAAGACGCTTGAAGTATTCCTCCAACGAAAAACGCAGCTTTTTGGGAATGAAAACGTACAAAATCCATGTTAAGGAAAGTTAAAACGAATAGAGGCTGAAATGACATAGGCTCGGACTTCTCAAACAGTCGATCATCGACATGACAAAAAGTTCACGCCAACATTTCAACATTTTTTTACATGGAGCGGATTAACTTCTATTGCGGAGCGATCTAACTTTGGTTGGAGCGAAGTGACCAGGGGCTTTTGGATTTCTCAATCCGTCCCTCTGTTGTCATGACCTTGATTTAAAAGAGGTGATACTTTTGGGAGTTGAATTTGAATTCAATACTATTGAATTAATTAAAAAGATTAACTGACACAGAGTTTTTCAAGGAAGATTTCATGGATAGAAGCATCCTTCCTACTTGATCAGCTTTAAACTGATTTCAAGAGCAACTCCAAGAAACATTTGATTGAGAAAAATTAAGTCAAATTGACAGAGATCGGAATATGAAAAGAAGTACACAAGCCATGTCCTTCGATAGAATCGGCGAAATTTGGTTCTCAGTTTTATTCTTTGTTTTATAGGTGTTGGTTCTGCCCCAACGAAAGCCCCAAACCCAGGAGGGAGTCGTGGTAAGTACTTCAGCTTTATCCAATTATGATTTATGGCAGAGGAGTTTTTTTTTGGAACGAAAAAAATTACGCACACGGTGCAGCCTCGAGGGATCGGGCCTTTTCCGATATGCCCTGAGCCTCTGTTCGAAAACGAAGCCGATAATGAATCATTTGGGTACTTTTTGAGCACAGACATTTTTGTGGCCATTGTTACACTTGCTAAAACAATGGCTTTCAATTTGGGTGACCTCTCGTTGCTTTGGGCTTCCACTCGCGACCCTGAAAAATTATTTTATTCTCGTGAAGTTTTTTCCCACTTTGGAATTGGAAGGATGGTTCAACCCTTTACGCCCTAACATCAGTATGCATATTCTCTACACTGTTCTTTATATATTTGTTAAGGTGCTGACAAGGAGAATTTGTTTGCTAATCAAAAGGCTACTTTCCTAGGGACCATTTCCTTTATTCTCATGTCCTTAATGTGTGATTCAAGAGTGATATTGTAGGAAGAAATTAGATGCTAGTCACCCTTAGAGTTTAAAGGGTTAAAGCTTTTGAACCACAACCATTATTCTCTTATTCCCTTTTCGCGGGAACTGCACCAGTGAGCCTCGACTTGATGCGCTGGACCAAGTTATCTTCGCTCGTGTTTAGATGTATGGGATGTGAACGATTGTCATGTGAATGTCACCTTTGACGCATACGTTTTACCTCAACTAATTTTTTTTTCATTTTCTTTTCTCATTTTAGTGTGCGAAAATGAGCTTGACAAGATATATCCAGCTCAAAGATATTGTACCCGATATGAATCTTTTTGCAAGGATGGTGCAATTAAATACTACATGGGGAAATACTGCTACGCCACATGTCATCGTAAGTATCCATAGCATCCTTGAGAACTTCCAAATTCAAATGTCATCGAGAGGCGCAAACTCGTTCCCAGAATCACTTATCCAGCCCCCAAGACGGGAGTGGCAGGAAGAGTGGCGCTGGGAACAAGGTTGCTTAACACAATTATTTTATTATTTTTTTGATAAAGCACCCAACCTCAAATATCGGAAACTGCTGCTTATAAGCTTCCCGCCCCCGCCCCCACTTACCTCCGAAAAGTAGCCTCGCCTCCCGATATAAGCATCTCTCTAAATTTTCTTGTTCTTTTAGAGAAAGAACAAAACAATGCTCTTTCAGGCGCAAGATCTGTACCTCACTCCCAGATTTTTGCGCGTTGCGCTGGCATCGATATTTTTTGTTTGTTTTTCGCAATTTTTTTGTTTTGTTTTGTTTTGTTTTGTTTTGTTTTTGTTGTTGTTGTTATTGTTGACTTGTGCGACGGATTTCGCCGGAAAGGATTGACTGCTAATAGTATACCAAGAGAGAAAACGGAAAAAGCGAACAGCCGAATGTGCTTGCGCGTTAACGCAATTTGGTAATATTTGGTTTCTCGTTGTGCCAAGCTTCCCTTTTTATGAATGATGAAGGAATCAGAACCACCATTTCACTAAAGAAGGAACAAAAACCCAGCGAGTTCATCCAAAGGGAAGCGCGTAAACGCACTCTACCTTCTCTTGACTAAAATGCCTTTTTAAAATTTCCTTTTCACTGTCATAGGGTCCTGATCAACTTTAACGTTTGTGTTAAACTATCAACAGATACAAAGTTGCCTAAAATTACAAATACATCCCGTATGCCCTCGAAATTTTTTACAGATGTTCTGAAACTTTTTATCTTGTTTCAGCATTAGATTGTCCCAGGGATCTGTATTAAGGTGCTGACGCAGAATGGCTGGTAGGTACGTATTCGTGGGATGTCACGCAAAGAACCCCTAAAGTAAAGTTCTTCCGAGGAGAGCATTCCGTGACATTACTAAAAACGGCTGCGAAGTATATCAAGATCGTCATAGATTCCTTTACTTAAATCTTCAAATATTTGAATACAAACACTTCGCCAGAGCATTTAAATTTTGGAAACTTCCTGATTGAGGTAAACCTCGTATAAGTTTGGACTTTTGTGAAAACTTGGATGGATAAAAAAAACAAAAAACGCGTGGATGAAAATCCATAAATTGCAAATACGAAAAGGCCTATAAGGAAACTATAGCTATGAGGAAAGAACCCCATGGTTAGAGCAATTAAACTGTTCAGGAAGCTCCAAAAATTTTAGACACGAAACACTGACTTTTTCTCTCTTCTCATTTTTAAATTTCAGATTTACTTGGCGACGATACAAGAGCAGATTACATTAACTTTACTTTCAAGCCAGTTACGCAGAATTCGGATTCCGTTTACGCGTAATTAAAAAAAAAAAAGAAAAGTCTAACTTGTTTCCAGGATCCCTTTTCTCTTCCTCCTGCTGAGCGGAGAGAGGGACTGGCTGAAGGTTAGAAGAGGAACCCTGGAAACGAATCGGGCTGGTACTTCAGGGGAATCTAGAGCATTATTGAAAGCTTTGGAATGGAACGATGGACTCGGTTTGGTTTCACGCAGAATTCGAACCGTGTAATTGTGGTTTATGTCTCTATGACCTCCTGAAGGTTCAGTGAATGTAGAAATTTGAATTAGTTTACGCAATGTAGCAATTTGTTTTAGGCGTCTGAAAGTTGATTTTTAATATGAAATTTAAATGTAAACACGAATAAGGCATTTTTACAACTTCCATTAAAAGTAAAGTGAAAACTGAAACAAGAGTTTTCTCTTTGTTGTTTTAAATTGATCGCTTCTTCACATACAGTGGTCAAGGTGTTTTTTGATGATCTGCCATTCTTTCCCAACCAAAATTTTTTCCTAAATGCAATTTGCTCATCTATCATCCCCGTATTTGCTTTTCGTTTGGTTTTATTTCACTACGTTTTTATTTTTATTTTTTTTCCTTTATAAACCCTTAAGTATTAAAATCGACCACTTTGAAATATGTTAAAAAATATATTTCTTCCATTTTAAAAAAAGATGCAAAGGTTGAACTAATTTGTTCTAACGAGACATCGAAAAAAAGCCTCAATTACATGGACTATGTAAAACATTCATGTTTTATATCATTAGCAGAAATAATAATTCTTTAAAATGAAATTTTCATGTTTTTTCTAAGTCATCAACGAAATGCAAATCACGGTCGAGGGAGCCGTCCTTAATGGAACGAAAAAACTTGAATATGCAATGGTTAACAATTTGTTCCCTCCGCCATCAAGTAATCCATCGCCAGTGTGCAGTAGGCAGCTTATACTTACGCGTGCTTCCTTGGAAGGGAACAAATATAGCGTCCCTAGACTGAGCCCTGCAAAGTTCTGTCCGACATTAAATCAGCAGAGATCAACTGGCTTAGATATAAGACTTGGGAAGGTTAATACATAAGTGTCTTACAACATCTGAAGTTATCGGCTTCAAGCATTCATTGGTTTTGGCTTTTAGAATTTAGATGGTGTGACCGAAAAACAAAAAAAACTTTTGTTGAATTCACAACGTTTGTGCTGCGTGAAAGGTGCACTTCGTTATCATCAGGCACATTATCATAAATATTATTTGTCTCCTATTGCCAGGGAAAAACTGTCCACGATCAGAAGATTTGAATCGAGAACCTTTGCTTACTTCAATTGGTGGGATCATTTGGAGCAGATATACTCAGTTTCTTTTTTACGTTGTACGAGTTGCGTAATCAGTAACTTCCATGGGAAGAGTTTTTCATTTTTTTTTTCTTTTACTGAGGATCTGATATTGGATTTCTGAGCTTGGAAAAGAGGATTCCTAGCCAAAAGAAAGAAAATCAGTACAGTCGAACCTCGATTATCCGGACTCATCGGGACCTCGGTAAATAGTCCGGATAATCGAGAGTCCGGATAATCGAAAATAGGAATATTAATGAGATAGAAATGTGAAATAACTATCTGCTTATCTTTAATCAATAGAACGGCTAGCTTTCGCTTCGTAGGCATGTTTTATTTGAGTTTACGATCGATCGCTCGTGTGTTTACATAACCCACGCGGAAGGAACTAAACAAGCATGAAATTCCCTTGGCAACAAAACAATTTAGCCAACCATATTTCAGCTGAACGCATCAGAATATTTCTTTGTCTCGTCGCACTTTCGAATTTTGAAAAGCGCACAGGATAATACGCTGTTTCAACAGTCTTTTGAAAGGATTATTGGGCTTTTTGCGACTTTGAGTTTTCAAGATCACAACTAATTAATATTCATGGAAAATTGGGACCAGAGAAGAAAGTCCGGATAATCGAATAGTCCGGATAATCGGGGTCCGGATAATCGAGGTTCGACTGTACAAACATTTAGCATCTAGAGCTTGGACTCCGTCGGCCATTTCCACTGAAAGAATCCGCAACAAAATCATTATTTTTACTAGTGTTCTGGTAGTACACTGAATTCGAACTGTGTTACTGAGGTTTATGTCTGTGATCTCTTGAAAGTTCAGCGAATGTAGAAATTTAAATCAGTATTGTATTAGGCGTCTGAATCTTAATGTTCCAAGTGAAATTTAAATATATATACGACGAAAGCGTTATGAGAAATTCCATTAAAAGTCATGTGAAAATGAAAAAATGAATCGATTTCTGTATTGGTTTAAATTGATTTATCCTCCACTGTAATCAAGGTTTCATGGATTATCTGTGTTACTTTCCAAACCAAAATTACTTCATGACATTTTGCCGGCCCATCCATCATAGCCCTATTTTGCTTTCAGTTGTTTTTTTCTTAATACTGTTTTACATTTTAATTCTTTTTAAAACCCTTCGCTAATCAATCAATTCTCCGACCACTTTCAAATAACTCTCTGACTTTCAGTTTAATTTGAAACTTCGATTTATTTTCGGTGGAAAATGATGTAACTGCTGTTTTTCAGTCAAAGTTACAAGTAAACCTCTTCAGAATTTTCTACTTGTAAAAAAAAAATATATATATATATTATATAATAAAAACAAAAGGAAGGTAGAACAGGCCTTAATTAGCATGACAGGAAAAAACATCATACATTTTCTACTATAAAGGAAACGAAATTTGCATCATACGTAAATTCCTGTTTTTAAACCAGATGACGATTTTGAAAGCGTTAGTTATGCTATAGTTAGTTTGTATTTGTGTAGTCAATGTGCATCGGTATAGCCTTGTTTCCTAACAATTCTTAGTGTCGTGTTCTCTTGCCTCTCCTCTAAGTCTGCCATTTTCCTCTTCGGACAACCGGATGCAAATTCGGTCATAGCTGTGTTCGTCTCAGAGAGAGTCTACGGTATTTCGATTTGTCTCACCGGTTTGATGTAAAAATGATGATTGAACATTGATGTAAATGGCTTTTACTATAGTTTCCTCGCTCCCCCCAGCGAGCAACCTCAGTATAATTTTCTGGATCAGTTATGTCATAGAGATGAGGGGTCTTTCATTGGAATGCTTAAAAAGTCTTTTGAATTTTTCCTTACATCCTGAGTGAGTGTGCGAGCTTCGCTTATTAATTTTTACTCCACGCAAGGTTGTTTCACGTCGGAACCGTCTCTCCAAGCTCAACAAACAACTTTTTTTTTATTATAGTTTTTCGAGAAAAGGTAAGTTAATTCTCTTGGTTGTTAAATTAAGCGCTAAAAAACAAGAATTTAGTTATTCATACAAACCAACAACGCATGAACAGACCACGTAATTGCAAGAAGACCACTGAGTTTTCCACCGCTAAGAGTTGGTCGTTAAAAGAACTGCTCAGACAATGGAAGATAGGAAAGATTATAACGTGGCTTTTTGAACGAAAAAATGGGATAATCACTAATTTCTTCCTACGGCAGACAAACATGAGAAAAATTCCGCTAAAATACGGTAACTCATTGAACGGTTAAAAGTTCACTCCAGTCCAAGTCTTCAGTTTCTTGATCAAAAAATAGGGCTGGAAAATTCATGTCTAGAACTGAATGAAAATTTCAATTTTCCCCTCCTTGATTATAATAAGTACACAGGTAGCAAAAAGATTTGATAAAAATCTGACTGTCGTCGATCAGTTTATGGTACGTGAAAACTTAATTGAAAAAAAATAATAATAAAGAGAGCCAAAGGGAAACTGACTGGGCAAATTTTATGAGACGTTCGGAGAAAACTAGCTTCTCTCAAACTCGCTGAGCAAAAATCAGGAGTCTTGGATCACACTAGCTTCTTCTTCAATGAAACACTGCCTTGCCGGTTACAAGCAACGGGCTTAAATTCTTATCTAGTTGCAACTGTGTTACCTTATATCGCTAGCAGCGCCCGTGGGCCATACGACGCGAATCCTGTGTTCTGATTAGCTACCCGAGCGGGCAAGACGAGCCCATCTTTCGCGCTCAGAATTGCTCGCTTTGATCCCGTGCAAGGAGAGGACTTACAAAGTCCGTAGTTCTTGGACAGTGTCGCCGATAAAGACGAAAAAAGCGGCAGAAGGCAGTCAAAACAAAGAAAACATAAACAACTCTAATGGGTTTTTTGTGCTACAAACAGAGTTGGCTTTCTTTCTCAGCTCTCAAAACAAACAAGCCATTCTTGATTCTTGATACAGCGAGATCTCTTTTAAAGAAGAACGTTTAATCGTTTGTCTCATGATGTAAGAGTCAGGATAATTAATAGTGTACTGATCGCGACATTTCCAACACTCTACCACTAGTCTCCGTCAGAAGTTTGCGTATCGCCGTTTGTAGCGCCTTGGTTAGTTGTCATTGTGGGTTTTGGTGCACTGTCATTAAGGGCCTCAAGCAGTCAGGACGGCAACGCCAAGGAGGACTTCGATTGAAAAATGGATTTCTGTCTTAATTAGAATTAAAAAATGGCTGCATTTGTTTACCGTCTCATACGGCGCCACACCTCAACTTCCAAATGGAAATAAAAATAATTTGCCGTCCCGGTTTCGTTTCGCAGACGACGTGCTGAGCTATTGCTCTGCTAATTAGTTCTTTTGTTTTTCCATGCCATGTTTTCCATGTCCTCGTTACCATCGCCGTTGTGGTTTGCTTAAGGCCACTATTGGTGCATTTCGACTCCATTATTATTCCAAGTATTAGATGTTCTTTGCTTTGTTACTGATTGGCTGATTAAAAGCTCTCTGGATAGTTAACATCAATGCTTCAGAAATTTCGATCCCGCTATCTCTATTTATGTTATTGATGAAGGATGAAGTCTCGTATACAGACGATTTCTTTAACCATACGTGTGCACCAATGAGAGTCTTAATCAATAAACTGAACTTAACGTTAACATGGTCAAGTTCATTGGACCTGTCATTTTTTTTTTTTTTAGGTGTTACAGAGGCGAAGGTGACTGAGTTACATGGCGGATACAAAGGTTTTTATTTTGTTCGTTAGCTTGGCTTGGGCAATCGGCGCATTTGGGAGGCCAGTAGAAATTTCGGAGGAAAGAGACATTGAGGTAAGTTATCCAACAGTTTATCAACAGTAAGGGCATGTTAATCTATCTCAGGAGAAGGCTAGTAGTGTATTTGCTTAAATCATCCCTGTTACAGAGAAAGTCTGAGGCCCACTGGTTGCGTAAAACTGTGGTTTGGGTTGGAAGTCATTGAAATAACCGGCACAAAGAGTGACCTTTCAAGCGTTTGCCCTTCGCCACTGGAGACTCAGAGCGAAGGGCCAGAGCTCAGAACCTCAGCTTTAGAAACTATTTATGGTGGCAGATTTATAGTAGCAACTCAGCTGATAATTAAAAAAATATTTACCGAAGTGGAGGTGGCAAGCGGTGCATATTTACTAAGCTGGAAATGTTTAAATATATAAAATTATATTACAACAGTGAGATGATATAGCACTTAAAGATTATTTTAATCCACTTATTCCTGCAACGATTGCAATATTTTTGAGTGCGCATCCTGGTCAAATTTCTCGAAAGTAAAGACAAAGGATATTTAGAGTTTGAGTAGCCAATCAGAGCGCACCTTCAACGTTATCTACTGATTTAGTGATGTAGTATAAACTAAAACCAAATTATCTTGTTGAATCCCCTCCACCCCCCCTCCCAACCGACGCAACACAACAGTTACAGTTATTCTTTAGAAACTTACCTCCTTTATCCACTTTCGTTTCTCTTAAGAATGCTAGATTTCGAACGATTGACGAAAATGGAGATGGTGTTATTACGTCAGAAGAGTTGATGATAGGGCTTAAAATGCCGGCGGTGAGAGCAAACAAATATATGGTTGCTTTTGACATGAACGGAGACGGAGGGCTTCAACGTAGCGGTAAGACAGAAGCTAAAATTTATACATGCTAAAAGACAGTTCCTTTCCTCAGCGTAATCCATCACACAAATCTCAGCAGAAATAAAACGACATTCTCTTTCCCAGAGCCACTCGGTTGCTCTGACTGACGACGGAACCGAAACAAACGAAGACTAGTGACGAGAATTAGGTCTCAGGACTGGAGCGAGGTGCGCGAGATTATTTTCGCGCACTTTGTGTCCTTGTGCCCTCGTGACGCCGTTTGTTTATTTTTTTGTTTTGGTTTGCTTATCAATACGATGCCAATTTCTATTGACTCCCATGACAGAATTTGCTGTTTAAAATTGTCTCATGTCCAAAAATTCTCCACAAATTGATCCGGCCTATAAAATTGCAAAACTAATTACAACTTCAAATTTATTTTGCAGAATTTTTAAATATACCTAATACATGAACTGTAATGCCGTAACTACACCCCAATAAATGGATGCAGTTTAAACAGACGTGACGGGGAACTGACCACAAATGGCTTTACATACCTTTACGTGGTGTAAAACTTTAAACTTCATTTGGTTGTAATAAATGCAATTGTTTGGGAGGAGATGTTGTCTGAACTTTGATTTCAATGGTTTTAGCCCACAAACCTGTCAAACATCAACATAGCCAGGAGCTAAAAAATTCAAAAGCGCGAGCCGTGCCTCGTAATCCTGCTGACGTTATAAAACAAATGCTTAGCCTCGAGACCGCGCAGTTCGCGCACAGTTTTGATCGCGAGTGCTGAGAGTTTCAAGGTGGTTTTTCCGTTCCATCCCGGTCGAGAAAGACTTTTAAGAGCTCTTAAAAGCGACTGAAAGAGCTTCCGAGTGAACGATTCCCAAACGTGATCCGAATTATGGATGGGAAATGAAAACTGAAGCTGCTGATTAAAGTGGACTTTCGCCACTTACGGACCATTCTTTTGCCCGGTAAATAACTTTTTCTAAGGTTAGATTAACCTTTAGATTTACCCACTTTTCTTTTCTGCGATTGCTTGAATCGCAACATTGGATCCTATCATCACTTGATCATTTCTTTTCTGAACTTCCCAGAATGGATAGTATATCCTCATCAAAAGAATTGAATGAACACTTCGCAATGAAATTACGATCGTTACCAGATAAACACAACTACATACACATCAAAATTTGGAACAAATTTATTTCTATAAAAGTGAAAAATTTAACATTACTTACAAATTACACACCATCACTAAAAATATTTAAGTAATTCAGATGATAGCAGGCAATAAAATAAATAAAACTGCATTTGGTAATGTTGTGGTAGTTAAACTATGCAATCCCCAGATCTAAAGATCAATTCTCCAATCTGTTTGCCGTAAATTTCTTATAGTTTTCCATCTGAGAAATTTATATGAAATCAAGCAATACATTTCTGCTTGAAATTGTATTGATATTGCATAAAAAAATTTATATTCTGTAACTCCTGGGAGTGAGGAGATCAAGAATTAAGTTATATAATTTCTCACAGTCAATTGCTAAATCTTCTAATTCCCTAACCAATTAGGAAAACCATTTCAATTTCCTTTTGCTAATCCTCATCTCTACAGGATAAATATTGAAACATTTTGATAAAATATCTGTAACAATTACTACTATCATGTCTCATTGATACAAAGTCAAATAAATATGCTCAATTTAAGGGATCTAATTATTCCTGAAGCAAGGTGTTTTCTCTTCTAACTTCTTGATCGAGATATGATTAACTTCTTCTAAACTTTGTTGCACTGCAGCAAATGTGTGCAGTAACTGAGTAACTGTATGATCAGTAACAGATCCAGACCTTGAGCTAAGGAGGGGGGGGGGGTGGACCCCTGGGCCCCTTCCCTAGATCAGCCACTGATGATATCAACTCTACCATTACAGTATTTCCACTTCATGTTTATTCTACTTCTCATTCTTTACTTAACCCTTTAACTCCCAGACCAAATTTGTAATTCTCCTTACTGTCAACCATACAATTCTTATGTTAGTTCAGAGAATTTAGTATTGGATCAACTAATCATCCCCAAATTGATGGTTTTCTTTATTCTCATCACTTATGTCGTCGATATTGTATGGATATTGTAAGGAGAAATTCTGTCTTGGTCACTCATGGGAGTTAAAGGGTTAAATTAACCTTAACATTTATTTAGAAAAAGTGTTGATAGTGTGAGAACCACTCGTGAGAATGATAAAAATTGTCATCAATATTGTCACTGAAAATATCCACACTATGAATCAAAACTATAACAAAACTGTAGAATGTGATTGGTTATCACCAGCCCAATGTTGGCATTGATAGGACAGTGTATGCGCCATGCTTGTAACTGGACAGTGTAAGAGGACAGCTGACATGTCATGCCTGTGTAAGTGGACAGTACATGTCATGTACGTGCACATGCTGTTGTCATGCATTTTGCTAAGTTAAGTATTGTTCTTTTTGTTAATGAAAATGTATAACCAATGTCTAGTTTCTTTCTCAAAGTTTGTCATAGTTTTGATTCATTGGAAACAGAACTTCATGTCATCATGCTAACTAGATACTGGTCTATATCACAGGATAGTCACCTTCAGCCTAACTCCAAATCAAAGGCTTGGCAACTAAGTACACAACCGCAAATGGCCTACCTTCTATGAAGAGATGACACTTGATAAATCAAAATTAAATCAAGCTTTAACAGGAATTCAATTTTCTAGCGAGTGTGCAAACCAGTGCAACATCAAAAGACATATTCCTCCCAAAAGGAAGTTACAAGATGAAAAGCTGGTTGTTGAACTTTTTACAGTTGGCTCTTTATCTCGTGGTATAGGTACCTCCTTCAAATCATGAGGAAACAAACTGTTACGGGCAAGACACCAGTCATCAACATCTGTGGCAAAAAATATCAGTAATTAAAGTTATTAGTAACTCAATAAGTAGAGGATGAAGTTCAGTGGAATAATATAAATTTTACTTTCTTGAAAAACACTACAAACTACAAAAGGAAAATTCAAACTTTCCCTGATCTACACTGTAGAGAGAGGTTCATCTCAAGGTTTGTTACCCTGTAAAGGACCTTCATCTCCCAGAGATGTCAAAAAGATTTTGAAAGTAAGGAGAATTAAAATAAGATCTTGTAAGTGTAAGTGTCAGTTTCTTGTATTATTTACTCACCAGCTCCAGGGGGGCTTGGAGTTAATCTGAACCAGAACTGAACATCTGTATCACAGCCTTTTCCAGGATCACAGTAAAACTCAAATATCACATCATTTGTTGTTGGATCCCAGCATGCCAGGCTAAGCGTTCCACCCTTTAAAAGCAAAGATCAATGAATTAGAATTTTTACGTCTGTTTAGTAATAGATCACACTGAAGTCAGAATGGAGTAAGAACAGGAAAGTGTTGTAGATCACAAATGCCTTGTTCTTTTTCTTTTGTTTATTGTTTTTATACAAATGACCCTGATTACAGTAAGCATTTTGTGTGTGCTGTGCAATGTAACACTACATAATGTAGCAAGTATTTAACTTAATTGTGCAACTAAGTTGTTAGTTTTACTCAGCAAGTCTGCTTGCGATCATATTTCATATTGTATTTCTTAGAAAATCATATTTCATTGTATCGCATGTCATGCAGCCTCTCCACCATTTGGCAGTAATTCAGAAGTATTTCTATCAGCATCACAACAACTGTAAGTTTTAGTATTGTGTAGGCTTCATTATTATTTTCATTGCAATTTTCCTGAGTGTATTAAGTTTAAATTGTAATTAGGTTTTTGCTTGTTATTTTGTTTGCAGTTTTAACTGATCCTACCAATTGGTATCAGAAATTGTTGAGATAGAATATATCATTAAGTTGTGTTAAAAACTGTCTGTATTTTTTGCTGAAAGTTAGTTGCCCATGGCAGCCCGAGTGGGACATGAGGTACAGCCAAGTGTGGCAATCACATTCTTACTACATTTGTCATCCTCTGTGGTCTACTACCATAAAAACCCACAACAAAAAACTGTTTTATATGATAAAAAAGCAAAATGTTTTTAATGGTGACATCATCTACTCATCTGTCTTCCCATAGATCATGAGTAAAAACCAATTAAAATGCCTTATGTAGCTAGCAGTGATTAACACCTAATTTCTCCTTATAATATCATCCCCGAATCACAGACTTAGTTCACGAGAATAAAGGAAATGATAAACTTAAGAAGCTCTTGATTGTTAAACAAATTCTCCTATATAGTATAGTATGGAGAGTTTGCATACTGATGTTAGGTTGTAAAGGATTAACTGGAAAGGTGAACTCCAAGAGTGAGGGAGTGGAAGTTAGACTGAAAAGCTTCATTGTGAAAATCCTACTGAAATTCAATGATCCAAGATAGTTGAACCCCAAAATAAACCAAGAGCTGTTGAAGGAAATGTCTGCAACAGAAATCATGAAACATGCACCGTTTATTACTGTTAGTAACAGTTGTAAAACACTGATTGAAAAATTCTTACCTGAGCACAATCTGTCTTTGGAGTAGGTTTTTTGTTATCTCTTACACTAATATATTGGAGGTAATAAAACATTGCCATATGTCAATCATGGTTTAAAATAACAGCTTGTTTACAACAATTAATTAACTTATTCAAATTGTATAACCAGTATCAATAAAATGATGTAGAAGGTTATGCAAATGTATTTACTGGTTAAAGTAATATACATCTTGCTAAGTAAACTAAATTCTTGTATAGAGTAGCAGGGTAAGTTTCTAAAGAAACTGTGGTGTTACCTCAGTTGGAGAGAATAACAGGGAAATTTAGTATTATCAATGTGGTTATAATGTAAATTGGCCAAAGAGTTTCAAGCAGATGTTTTGAGCATGAGCCCTTGATCAGAGCGCACGATGAAGGCTAACACTGCAACATCAGCTTTGAAACTCTTTACGGTGGTCAATTTCAGTTATCAACTTGTTGATAGTGCTAAATTATCCATTTAAGTTCTTGCAAAACCAGTATAAGTAGAAAAATGTTGAAGGTTATGTAAATATATTACCTTTAACTCCCAGCTCAAATTTGTAATTCTCTTTACTGTCAACCAAACAATTCTTATAATGTTAGTTCAGATAATTTAGCATTGGATCAGTTAATTATCCTCAAATTGATATTTTTCTATATTCACATCACTTATCTGGTTGATAATGTATTGATATTGTAAGGAGAAATTCTGTCTTGGTCACTCATGGGAGTTGCAGGGTTAAAGAGATATTACAGGTTCTGTAATATTAATATATCTTACTAACCAAGTCTGAGGTGAGTACTGTAAGTTATGAACCAGGGTTTTTCCACTTGGATTTGTGGTCCAAGATTCAAGGCAAAAAACACACTTCCTAACTTATACAAGTAATACAGACTGAGGAAACAACATTTAACCCTTGAGTGACCAAGAGAGAATTTCTCCTTACAATATCAATACAATATCAATACAATATCAATACAATATCAATACAATATCAATACCATATCAACCACCTGGCAGGTAAGTGATGAAAATAAAGAAAAACGTCAATTTGGGGATAATTAGTTCTCTGAACTAACATTATAATAATTGTATGGTTGACAATAAGGAGAATGACAAATTTGATCTGGGAGTGAAAGGGTTTAAGAAGATATTTATTTCTCAGTTCGAATAAGAGGGAAAGATTTCAACTGAAAGGACCTTTGAATTTAGTGGGCCTAACATTAAGATACCGCCTGCTGAATAGAACAATACTAGGCACATACTACCTGAGAGATATAATAATATCACATTATCTTCAATATTCTTTTCACAATAGGCCATTTTCAGGAAGTGATCTACTCACCAAACAGTCTTTCCAGAAACACGAGTTTGAATCTGCCAAGTATTTCAAACCAAATCAGACAAGCAAATTAAATAAGTATACATTGACTTCACTATAATCTTTTTATGTGATAAAATACAAAAGGAACCTCTCTACAATAAGGCCTAGTTTCATCATATACCATACCTATATATCTTATCTACTTTTAATGGTGCCTCCTGACTGTCTTGTATTATTTACAAAAATTAATCCCACAAATTCTCTACAACTACAATGTTTTTGTTCTGTGGCTGTTATGGCAAGTCTCAGCCATGCTTATTCTCAGTCAACAATAAATACTATGACTCCTTCATCTCTTAACAGCAAATTCTTTAAATATCTCCTCTTCACAGCCACTTTTTCACATTGGCCACGAGTTCTCTAAAACTACAAATTTTAGTTCCATCTTAACCCTTTCCGACTTAGTTGATATCTAAATTCCCCACAGATTTCTCTTTACATTTCCTGTGGTACTGTCAAGGATAATTTTTTTTTGACAATTGAGAACTTCCTAAATTGGTGATCATTTCCTTTATTCTTGCAACCTTTACATTAGATTCAAGAGTGATGCTGTGAGGAGTCACTCTTATGGGTTAAAGCTTTAAGGGGGTTGTCACCAGTACTTACCATGACTTCCACATTTCTTGAAGTCAAATTCCTCACATAAAAACATGGGTTTTTCACTTCTGACTGCACAGTGGGATAGTCTGCTTTTGCATACATATATCCCAGGGGCCTCTTTGTAATATCAGTTAATGAAGAGACATTTCTATCATACTGTTCAGGAGGAATTACTTTGAACTCCTTACAATCACTCAGTTGTAAAGATGATGCTACAACAAGAAAAAGAGTGGAAAGGGTAAGTTTAGATACATCAGGGTCAGTCAGTCTAGGTTTTTGTACAAGGTTGTGAAAGGGGGCAGTTACAACCAATCTCACCATCAACAATACAAAAATCATGACGTTCAGGTTTGCCACAAAGTACAAATATGAAAAATATAGCATAACTCATTTCCAGTGCCAGTTACTTCATTTGCCATTCCTTCTAACCCCATGAACACAAGCCTACTGAAATCCATGAAAACCACTTCTTTTCTTAAATGCGATCAGAAACTCTGAAAAATCTAAGCTCTGCCCTAGAGAGGGGGTTACTCTGGGAAAGGCATGCTTCTGTAAAAATAATAGGAAAAAGAAGAAAATCTTGGCTCTAAAATATTGTAACGTGCCCACTTTTTGAAAAACACCTCAACTACATTCTCTTCATGAGGGTCAAACACGCGCTCTTCAACTTCACTTGAAGGAAGTGAAGTTTACAAGATATTAGATATGTCGGTAAACAAAACTCTGCAGAGCGTTTATCTGAAGAAATTATTGTTCTCTAGTTCCCTTGGTTTAGATTTAATCCCCTTCATCTCGAATTTTATCACTTTCATAAGTTGCCTAAAGGGAATCCAAAGGGAAATTATTTAAACAAGGATAAAAATAAACTTGACCTCAAAATCATATTGGTGGGCGGCAACTAGAGTCGAATTAAGCACATTCCAAAATTTTTTTTTTTTTATATATATATATTTTAGATTGCGCATTAACTAAAATAACTATTACAACTCCAAATTCATCGCATCTAGTTTAACAAGATGCCGGTTATATGTTCAAGATACTTCGTGATTGGATTTACTGCATGCAAGACGATGAGACATCGATCACATATCCAGTACCAAGAACGAACTTCTCGACAACTGAGACAACTCAAAACATTGCCAGATATGGAAATATTTATCGCCTTATAGATAATTTCTACCCCGTGCCAAAGATTCCTATGTAGCTGATTATATTAGGCAAACAGGGAATCTATAGTTTAAGTTATTGAAAGTAAAACAGCTCGCGCTTAAAAACGTTCCAGACTAATAATGTTAACTCACGACTAGCCAGCTGAGGTTGCCAACACTATTTGCTGTATGTTTACGGCGATCGCATCAAACTCCAGACAAAAATAAAAAAATTTCACTATGCAGCACGGGGTGTTAAATGATATAGACTCACCTGAGCCAACAAATACAATGAAGCTAGCAAAAGAAAAGAAACAGTCGTTCCATAACGAAACTTCCATGTTGCACAAAGCTCGCGAAACCTCAAATGCATTTCGCGCGCGTTTGTCACGCTATCTCCGCGCGACCTTAGTGGGTGCGAGAAATTTCTTACCAAGGGTAGCATGAGGTTTTGTTTGCAAAATAATTCTATCAGAAAATCAAAACATTGCACGAAAAAAACAAGATAGAAGCAAATTTTGAGTGGAAGGTTGCAGAATATTTTGATATCAAAATAGCAGAAGCAGCATTCCCGTGCCTTTCCCGGAGAGGACTGATTTTGATCAGATTACAGAATGTGTAGGTAACGGGCTTTTGTTTCGTGACCAATAGTTTCGTTTCAAAAATTCTAAAGCCATTTTCCTATTAAATAAGAGGTAAAAAAACTACCAAGCTCTCTACAATTGCAGTTTTCGTTCTTTTTGCTAATTTTTAGAGAGAAATCGGACGTGAGAAAAGTAATAGAAGGATTTCGTGACATCTCTTGCCTCCATATTTGGCTAAAGTATTGCAAACGAGGTTTACCTGGGTCTAGTTCCCGTCCAAGAAAGTTTGCAAAAAATTGCTGATAGCTTAAAATTTATCAACATTCATTCCTACGAAAGCGATCGATCACTTCTCCCACAGGCACCTCGTCTCAAAACATGACATATTGAATGAGAGAACCTCTCTATATTCCGTTGGGTTTTATTTTTTGTTGAGTAAATATTCGACAAACAGGACAGTAGAAGAAGGAGGAGAAGAAAACAATTCTCAAAATTATGGCAATGGAGTCTCTTATCACTTGATTGGTTCATAATCGTAATCACAGGATATGGATGTTAACTCGAAGGTAGAATTTTTGAAATTTCACCAAGGATATGTACGAGGAGTGGCATTTTCGCCTGTGGTAAGAATTAAACTCAAGTATGTTCTATTTGATGCTAGTGTGTGGAATGTTAATATGCTAGTGTGATTGTTCAGTACGATCTTAGCTGAGCGTTACCTCTATTCAGTGTTTTGTCGTCATTTGAATACATAAAGAATTGACGCGTGGATGGGACAAAGAAAAATCTCTGTTTCCTCCGAACATTCGAAACCTAAACTCATTTTGAATTGTTGTGGACACTGTACTGTAATTTTATCGATCATTTATTTTGGCTGACGTGTTGGGAAACATCTCTTGAAGTTATTCATCAAAATTAACCCGTTCTGTTCTTCAGGATCGTTACATATTCTGCTCTGGTGCGTATGATGGTAAAGTTAATATCTACAGTGCAAAGAAATGCCACCTCTTGGGAAGTTATCCTGTGAGTATTTACAAAATAGACATGCACATTTGATTGACATATGATTTCGCTTTTATTTGTTTCTTTCACTCCTACATTTAGCCGCTCACTCAAATGGAAACCAAAATTAAGTATGTATTTTATGTAATAGTATTCTTTCTTCGTGGATAGAGAGTATGTGGTCATAAAGTATACTCTGAAAAATTTTTAGGTAAATGGAACTCTTTTCATTGATAAAATAACAGCCTTCATCATTTCACACCAAGGATTGATCAAAAATGAACTTCTCCTTACAATATCAATACTATGTCAAGAAGGAAGGTATTAAGAAGAAAAAAATGTCTACCATGGGATATTGTTTGACTTAATGTTAAATTCTCAGAGTGAAAATTCACAGAAATTTTTGATATACAGTAGAGAGAGTTGATGTATAGATCCTGGATTTGAATTGGCAAGATGGTTCATTGTAAATAGACACCTACATGGCTGGAAGTGTAGTGTATATTTCAAGCCTGTTAACAGGCTCTATTTTTAAACAAAAAAAATTAAAATAAAAGGAACAGGAAAAAAAACATTTTCCACAACAGCAGCTGGTTTGCTGAAATGTGATAAGGATGTTAAACTGTCTTTTAGTTGTTATTAGCTTTTCATTTTGTCATGGCCGCATATATATATATATATATATATACATTGATCTTTAAAGATCTTTAACTTGATTTGATGATACTTGAAATAATAATAAAAAAACCATACCATGGCAAAAACAAAATGGGTGAAATTTAAACCTTGTGCCGTGATGTTGTTTTTGTATCACTTTTTGCTCAATATTGCATTTCATTATCTCTAAAAACATGGCAGGAAATGGTTTGGAACATCAGCGAGAGCTTTTCGAATGTAATAGCTCCACTTGGGGCTTCCCCCTTCTCCTGAGAGAATTTGTTCTGAAGTTAGATCACTCTTTAAAATTCATGAATCTAACAAATAGATGCTATTTTGCCATGTGTCTGTTCAGTCATAGATCACAGACGATGTCCAAATGTGATAAGAACAAAAAAGTGCATACAGGTGAGTGTGTCACTGATGTTCTTATCACATTTGGACATCACCTGGTATCATCCTATGCGATCTTTTACTGTGCAGACCCATGGCAACATGGAATCAATGTAGTTACATGGTGTAAGAGCAAAATGTTGTTAATGATGTTATCCATGCATCTGTCCTCAAATATAATTTAAGTAAGAATCATTCATAATGTGCGTATAATTCATTTTATATTGTCCTATAATTCATTATTTGCACAATAAGTTTCCTTATTTCTTACCAGAGATTATGCAATTTGTTTGAAACAATGCCTTGTTTATTTTCTGAATTCAGCAGTCACATATTACTAATACTCTTTTCCCAGTAGATGAATCATCCCTTGAAAGCAGCAGTTTCATTTTTTCATTGCTATTGTCATCTTGTCTTTGTTTTTTAATTGATCAGGTGACCACTCTGAGTTTAGCAAGGAATATCAAAGCTGTTCGATTTACTACTGATGGACGTAAGGTATAACAACAGGTCTTTTTAATAACAAGCTCTACATATAGGAATATGAAAGTGATTCTTGCAGTTATGAATACTACAGAGCCAGTAGTGAAAATAAGGGCCTGAAAAAATTCAGACTGGTTCAGGATTTGAACCCATGACCACTGGTATTGCACAGTCATGGTTTCAGGCTGTATCTTCACAACTAGTTCAGTAATATTCATAACTGCGAGGATTGCTTTCATATTTGTTTCTTCAACTGCTCTTCACATACATATAATTTTCATGTAATTGCGGTCATTTAAGGTCTACACATCTTTAGTAAATTTTCAGTTCTAGAATTCTGGCATTAAATCAATCATATCAAGTAACTGATACCTTTCTTTCTTCTCATGACATTTCTTCTTAAAAAGATCTTGATTTTAAAAGGAGAAATTCCTTTTTGATCATTTCTGGAGGTGAAAGATTAAAAATGTCTGAGAGAAGTCATGTGTGACATTTTTACAACATCAGTATCCATATTCTCCATACTCTTCTTTATACTTTCCCTTTGGTACTGACTAGGAGAATTAAGTTAACAATCAGAGTTCCATAGTTTAAAAATAATTTCCCTTATTCTCATGATCTTAATGAATGAGTGAGTCGTATTACTTTTAGGACAAATCAAATGCCAGTCACTCTTAGGGTTTAACCCTTTCACTCCCAAGATCTCATTATTAATTCTCCTTACTGTCTGCCATACAGTTCTTGTAATGTTAGCATGGAGAATTTGGTATTAGATCAATTTATAATCCTAATTGATATTTTTCTTTATTCTCATCACTTGTCTGCTTGATATTGTATTGATATTGTAAGGAGAAATTCTGTCTTGGTCACTTGTGGGAGGTAAAGGGTTAAGGATGGAAAAAATGCATGGAATGGGAAACGACAAAATTGAGATAGCTAGGCTAAATCTGTTAACCCTAAGTTAACTCCCATGGGTGACCAAGACAGAATTTCTCCTTTCAATAACAAATGAATACAATATCAGTCAGACAGTGATGAGAATAAAGAACAATATAAGTCTGAGGATTTTCTAGTTGATCCAGTACCAAATTCTCAGAACTAGCATCATAAGAATTGTATGGCAGAACGTAAGGAGGATTACTATTGAGATCTTGGTCATTAAAGGGTTAAGATGTGCATTCTACAAACAGTTTCTTGAGATAAGCATTTGGTAGGCTTATTGGATCTGAATGTTACTGACAAGTTACATTTTCATCTCCTTTCTTCAATCTGTCAGATCTTAGCATCTACAAATGCCAGAAGACTGGTTGTGATGGATGTAGAAACAGGAGAACAAATTGTATCTTATGACAACTGTAAGTGTCATGCAGTTTCTTTCTTTATTTTTCTACTGATTTATTTTGACTCCCCTGACAAACTACCCCAAGAAGGCAGCACCGCTTTTGTTCAAAAAGCAGAATCTAGGGAAGTGTCTCTTATTTTATCCTAAATGTTTCAGTTATTGTCAGTATTTTTAATATGTATTTTTTTTCATTAGGTGTATACAATGGTCCAGACAGGACTGGTTTAGCAGTAGACATTCAAGCAGGTCCTAACATTGCTGCATGCTGCTGTGTGAATGGGCGTGGCTTGTCCATTTTTGATCTCAGAATGCCTCTCCCCTTGGATTTCATTTATGATGTAAGTTATTCACTTGCTAGGATCACTTTTCTTGACGACGAAAGGAAAGCCCAAAATTTTGTCAAACATAAAATGAATGGTCAGGAACTATTATCAGCAGTTGGTTGGAAATCCATTCCTGTGATGACTCCAGCTAGTTGTAGAGGCAAATCATGAACAGTATTCCCTATTTGTAGGCATTAGAAGATATATAAGGGGTGTGTTGGAAAAAAGGTATTAAGTTTTGATGCAGTATCAAATTCTCCATATGTTTCACAAGAGGAGCTAGCAGACTACTGCTAGTTACTTCAAGCTGCAGAAATTGGAATAAGCTGTTACCAGCAGTACCAGTGATGTGTAACATCAGACAGCAAAGACCTGACACAATGTACCTTCAAATATTTTAAATTTGTATAAATAGACATTCATTTAATAAGCATTACTAATAACAGTGTTAGTCATGCATTTTGTAGTGAAAAAATTCTCCCTATTCTGTTTAGCTTCATAATAATGTCATTCGTGATGTGATGTTTCTTCATGAGAGCTGGCCATGGTGTAAAGGACAGAACGCCCTGTTATCAGTTGCTATTGATGGCACTGCAAAGGTACTAGAACTAAAACACAGCCTGGAAGTAATTATAACTTTAACTAGTTTATGCTGACGAGACATCTCATTTATGATAGGTAGTGCATTTTGGCAGTGTTCTTGAGCACTTGCTTTGATAGGAGGCTGTTAGGTACCTTGAATCTCTAACTTGTGGTAATTTATATTCAAATTCCCATGACTTGTTCAATGGTGCAAGATGAAAAAGTTATGGCACTTTAAATTTGTGATAGACCATTACCATACAGTGGCCATGTGAAAATTTAGGAGTGGTGCTCTTGCCTATCTAAAACTGTAGCAGAAACAATTGTGGTTGGGGGAGAATGGAGCTTTTCATAGGGGATTTTTTAAAAAATGTTTTTGAAGACATACATGCAATTACAATACAAATCTTACTATGAATATCAATTATACTTAGGCTACTATCTAATATACTACAGAATGATATGACTCCATCAGTGACCCAGAGGGCTCAAACACAAACAAACAAGAAAACACAATTAAAAAAAGGAAGTATACCTTAAAAAAAGGAAATGCAACTTGAAAAAAGGAATAATACTATTTCTCCTTTTCAGTCTTGTTTTCTTTTTTGTTTGTATCTGAGCCCTTTGGACCATCATGTCAACCCATTGGCACCTGAGTGTAATGCATGCCTATCCAAAACTTAAAAATTTGGAGAAACCAGAAAAGTAAACACAATGCACAATAAATTTTTATAAATCATGTTTTCCGAAAAATGAGCTCCAGTGAAAGAAAGCCATTTAAATAACTTATTTTCAATGAAAAAAGTGACAGATGCATATTAAGTTTTTACTTTAACATAAAGATAAAAAATAAACATCGGTAATATTTTTGCATGTGTGCAGTTATGGGTGATTCAGGTGTCAATGTGTTAAATGGAAGTATAAAGGAATTAACATTTGTTCAGGTATCAACAATCGATGGACGCACATTACAAAATACTGAGATAGGTTCCATGTTGAACACAGCTGCTCCGACACCAGAACCCTTTGGGTCAATGGCTGATGATGGATTTTATAGTAAGTTGGTTTCTTGCTTCTTCACTTTTTTTTACTGCAGGAGGGCCATTCTTTAGCTCATTATATCTGAATGTAATTTCTCCCAAGTGATGTCAGTATATTGCTCTGTTTATTGGTTCAGAGAATTTAGTGTTAATTCCAAACAATATTTCCTTGTTGATAATTCCCTTAAATTCTCATTGCCTATACATCCAGCAATGCATAAGATTGTTTGGAGAATTTACCTTCTGAGGGTTTATTCATCGGACCAAATGTTTTGTGTAAGAACCAAAATTCTTCTTCATCTGTATTCACATCAAGATAACTCAGTTCTTCACCTGCTTCATTAGTGCAAGAGAACTGAGTTCAGTTGAAAATCTGTCAACTAGCAAATGAATACAGTTTTTTTTTTGTTGTTGTTGTTTTTTTTCATATGGGGCATGTATTAAATTACAGTGTACTGTTATTTCTAATATTTCTAATTTTGAATACCCCATTTTACAGTTACCTGCCTGTCTGCCAACCCTTTGAATGGAAGTTAAGCTAAGGTTGACCTTGTTATGATACAAATATTGCTGCTTGTCAAATTTAAATTGGTTTGATATCATGCTAACTAGATACTGGTCTCCATCACAACATGGTCACCTTCAGCCTCACTCCAAATCAAAGGCTTGGCAACTAAGTACACAACTGTTAAATGGGCTATTATAGGGATGTTCAGAAAACATCCATAAAAGATGTTTGACAGACTGGTGAATTCTCTCTCTAAATTTTATTGTGTCCCTGTGAAACACAACTGAACTTTAACATATCCAATCATAACTGCCTTTCAAGGCTCCATACATCTCCCTACAGTAAGAAATCCTCATAACTTCTAAAATTATTCTGTATAATGTATTTGGCATTCATTTTTTATCAAAAAAATTATGTCTCACTGTCAGTGGCTTTTCTTGTCTTTCTAGGTCTTATTATGTTTGGTGGTGAGCTTCTGACAAGTTTTGTCCCAGAGGTTGGAGTCCAAGAGCGTATGAGAGAGCATGGCAAAGATCCATTATGGAAAATTAAGTATGCCAGAATCAATGCCTAGGCTCTTCTTTTCTCTTACTCTGTTCTTCTAAGGGGTAATTTTGGGTTCTGGCTAATAACTGAAAAGGGCACTCCAAAAGGAACTTAGTGCATGTGGGGCTGAATGCGAAGTGATTTGGAGGCTAAGATACTCCAAACTGCAGAAATGTGCATTTGGTATTTAGTTTTTGTGGAACAAGCTGTACTAAATTGATTACTTCAAATGTGTATTTTAACATTCTTTTTTTTTTTTTTTTAAGATATACTTCCAATGGAAGCACACTTTTCACTGCATGTGATGGAGGAGTGATCAGAAAGTAAGGTCAAATATAAATTTTCATGAAGTGTAGTTCCTTTATCTTTATTTTCTCTCTATCCTCAGTAAGTAGTAGGTGACTTGGAGACTTAACAGCTACTGTGTGAAACCGCCAGGTCAAGAGGTCAAGATTTTAGACGTGGGCTGGTCAATGCATTGTGTTCTTGGCCAAGCCCCTTCACTTTTACACAACCTGTCTCTGCCCATGATTATGTGAATGGTCCACAGAACAATTTAGATTAACAATTTGGCATCCTCATTTATATCCCTCTTTGCATTAACAAACCTGTCTGTGGTCCCTCCTGCAGATCTAGTGTTGCTTGTGTCCATTTTAGCATGGCTTTGAGTACTATTTTCATCAGATTAATGGTGAAGGGTTGGGGACACTTATTTGAGGCTGAGCACTGAGTATGAAATTTTGTTACCTACAGAGTGGGCACTATTTCAAGGTTGTGTGCTTAATGAATATTGTATATGCAATGACTTTAATTTGTAATAATACAAACTGATCTGTATCTTGTAGATACAGAAGATTCCCTGATCACCATGAGTTTGTGGAGGATCTTTTTTGTCATTCAGATGATGTAGAAGATATTGACATTTCACCTTATGATGAATGTATCCTTGTTTGATACTTAGGAGGTTGAAATCATGTCTACCTGTTCAGTTTGATGTAGTTAATTTTTCAAGGTGTTTGTAGGGCTTGACAGATGTGAGAATTTTGGCTGGCTACTATGCAGAATTCTCTAGATAAATTTTAATTGGCTGGTTCCTTTCTTAAATTCATCTAGAGAGAGTATCTGTTTTAATACTATTTTCTTTCTGCAAAATTTTTTGATGAAAATGTTGTGTTTGTAATTGCTGGTGAGATCAAGGTTCATACAGGTTTTAAAAGCTCAGAAAGTCACAGAATTGTGCAATTTTCCTTTCAAGACCTTGAAGGACATGGAATTAGAGTCTGGGTCATATGTAGTCATAGAAGAGGACTTAATGCACTATTTCTTAGAACAGAGTAAGACAAGAAATATTTGGATTGAAAGACTTTTTTCCTGTTATTTTTAATTACTGACAAGTTCCTAATCATAGGTCAGGGGAACATCTGAAAATCTGAAAATTCTTGCAAAAGGTCTTGGAAAGTTAAAGAATTTCATTTGTCCTACAGAGTTGGCACCCAAGAGAAGAAGATCAATTTTAAAGAACAAAATTTTTTATGTTACGCAGCCACTTAATTTCTTTAACAACTTTATAGATTTGGTAACAGCTTCCAAGGATCACAGTGTGGGTGTGTTTAAACTTGGACCTCCCAGTCATGGTGTCACGGAGTATGGAGAGATAAGGTAGTATTTGAAACACACTGCAGCTTGAAAATAAAGTTACACTCAGGAAACAAGTAATGATTTACAGAAGGCTTTCAGAAGAGACTGTCCTGAACCAGGGATTTGTGGTACAGATAAGGTGCTGGCAAGTTGTATATTTGCTGGACTACTTGTAAGGAGAAATGAAGACAAAGGAGATAAATGAAGTTTGACAGCTATGTTAGATGATATGAATGGTATCGCATGGGCTGGGAATAAAGGCTGGTCAATGGACAGGAAGCAATCATCGGATGAGGTTGAACATAGGTTAATTATCATGAATTATCAAAAGAGAGGTATGAGTTATCTGCGGAAGCCAAAGGCTGAGGTGCATATTACAGACAGGAGTTTGATAACTCATGATATCATGCCAAAACTGAATTCAATAATTGTTTTATTATACATTTTTTAAATGATCTGCAACAGAGACTTTTTTTTTTTTAAGCTCTACACTACATGTTTATCTAGTCTCCCTCCAGCTGTTTCTTCCTTTTTTATCCCATCTTCCACCCCCCCCAATTGATAGGTCTGTGAGGAGACTGTAAATTGCCTAGGGATAGGGGAGATAGTTATGTAAGAGTATACACCCCCCCTCATGGCTAAATTACATTGAGTGTATATTAAGTGGAAGTTGGGTTCTTGTGCAAATAGTCATGGGGAATATTTAAATATTTGGTAAGAAAGATACTTCTACCAATAGCCTTATGTTGTTGAGGGATGCAAATTTATCTGACCGACTTTATTATATTGTAACAGCTTCTGCATTTTAAGTTCATACATGGAGACTGGCTAGGTTTAAAATTTGCTGGTGTGAACATCACCATCATCATCATTGTCAACTGAATCTCTACCAACATCATTGTGATCATTACTGTCATAATCTTCCACACACAAGAGTTGTGACCAAGGTGTTCCTTCACTCTGATATACTCACAGATACTTGAACAAGACTAAAAAAAATCTCTATACTTTTGTAATAACATAGTAACTGAGGAAAACAGTACTCATAACTAAGTTGCCTTGTGAATACTGCTTCTTGTTTAATAAAGAAAGTCTCATGCTATACATTAATCTAGAGTTGGTCATAAAGAATTCAATTTTTACAAGTTGTTGTTTGAACCTTATGAACACTACTGCAACAACAACCTCTTTAGAGTCTCATTTGGTCCAATAGGTGTCAAGTAAAACTACTACAATAACAACCTCTTTAGGGGCCTCATTAGGTCTCACAGGTGTCAAGTTTCTCAAACCCTTAAGAGTTAATTGTACCGAAATAGTGTTGACCCTTTTGACTCCCAGAAGTGATCGAAATGTAATTTCTCCCCATAATATATATATATATATATATTTTTAGCAAACAGGTAATGAGGATACTCAAACTTGGCACAGGTTGTTATCATGATCGAACACCAAATTCTCGAAACTAATATACAGGGAAATGTGTCGCAGCAAGAGGGAAGAATAAATAATCAGATCTTGGCCGTTCTTAGCCATTCCTAAGGATTTCACGCAACGCTTACCCAAAGTACAGCAGTGAAGGTGAGAAGATATTCGCGGGCTCATTTCGACTTAGAAAAGCTTCTGATAAACTCTGCGTACTCCATTGGAATAATATCTTCACCTTCAAGAATTTCGTTCAAATAAACTTCACTTGGACTAAGCCCTTGCTGAACAAACTCATCATTAGCTATGTATGTAGTAGCTTTTACTAATTCACCATTCTTCTTCTCGACTGTTACAGTTACCCTTCGAAAATGATTTCCTTCAACCACGTGCTCGCGATCCATACTGGACATGCTTCCTCGTTCACAAACATATAAAGCTCCATGAACAACTGATCCTTCTTCAGGAACAATGTTTGCGTATCCATAACCGTCATCTTTCCAGTTAGTACTAAATTCTAGCCGAAAACCTCGAAGAACAGCACTCTCACGCGACAAAAACTTCGCGCCCCGTTCGGCCATTTTTCTTTCACTCAAGCTTGACGCGAAGCCAAAGTAGATCTCTTTCTCATCCATGAGGTTAGCGTAGAGTTTAGATGTGAGGACTCTTCGAGTAAGCGACGTTTTAACTTGTTTGATTCTGCAGAATTGCGCTTGTGATCAATCGAAATACAATTGCGTGACAAGATGTGCGGGAAACACGAGACTACTTCGCGCGAAATTTCCTCTCGCTGCACCTCAGCCACGCAGGGATGGTGATTTTCACGCGCGTTCGCGTTACACGCTCCAGCGTAAGGGTCCGTGTCTGGGGAGATCACATAGTTTTCACGAGGAACGGAGGGGACCATACAATTGAGTGTCCATAACTGAGGGGTGGGGAGGGAGGTCCTCATAATACTTCAGAGACCTACAGGGGGGATCGGGTAAATTTTATTTTGATACAACCGAAATCCTTGGACACCAGGCTTCTTGTATTTGCATATTGAACAAGTCGCAGTCTACAAAGCTAGTTCCGCAAGGGACAGGATCGGAAAATAGGAGAGAGATGTTGGAGGTATAACGTTTTGAACGAGTTCAAATCTACAGAACAGGCCAACTGGGCTTGGCATACGCTTTTTATTTGTTGTTGTTGTGGACGAAGTTCACACCCTTGACATGGCTAAAAATCTCCACCTAGCTTGAATCAAGTGCTGTTCCTAACCGTAGGGTAAACAAGTAGAAAAATATTTGGCATGAAATTCGGTTCTCGTGCGAAGAGTAGGAGGGAGAAGTCACATAGTTTTCAGTCGTCGCTAATAGAGTAGAAAGGGTGGACTTTAAAATCCTACAGGGCTTGAAAGGGGGGAGGGGAGGGTGGAAGTAGGATCAGATAAATCTTATTGCGCCACAACCAAAATCCTCTGAACCATTCCTCCCCCCCCCCCAGGCGTTCAATTAATGAACGTACCCTAAGGAAAAATACATGAATCAACTTTATTTCAATGGCTGTTCAATTTAATTGATCGTAATATTCAATTCAACTGAGTTACTTCTTTCTTCAAAGTTTTCAAATAATCAGCGTATCCCTCTGGTAGAATATCCTCTCCCTCCAACATTTCATTCAGATAAGTCTCACTCGGACGAAGCCCTGTTTTTGTAAATTCTTCCTTTCCCTGATACGTAGTTGCCTGTATCCTTTCACCGCTTTCTTTCTTGACATGGACATTTATTCTCCTCAACCTTTCGCCTTCGGCTTCATCCATGTTAGCTATGCCTTGTTCATCACAGGAGTACAAAGCTCCATATACGACTGAGTCTTCGTCTTGGATAATGGTTGTGTTACCATATCCGTCGTCCTTCCAACTAAAGTTGAATTCAAGCCGAAATCCTGGAAGCACAGCGCCCTCGCGTGAGTAGAACTCCGCACCGCGTTCTACCATTAATCTAGGGCTCAAATTTGAGCCGTGAGCGAAATACATCACTTTTCCCTCCATGCTATTTGAAGTTGTTTAGAGGTGAAGAGGTTTAGAAGCAAGTTTACGCGACTTTTGAATTCTTCTTGTAATTTGCATATCAGATCTGTAAGTCACGGTCGAAGAAGCTGGTTCCGCGGGATGAGCGGTCCGCGAATAGGAGACGTTTGTGGTAAGTTTTGAATGGATACAATAGAGAACTACTGGGCGTTTTTTTTTTTTTTTTTTCTCAGCATTGTTTTTTTCGTTGTTGCAAACAAAGAGCACTCTAGCACCCTCCCTTTCACATCTCCAGAGGCTCCCCCCAGTACAATTAAATCAAGTACTTCGCATCTTCCCGACCGCGTTACGCGCTGGTCTTACTTGCAGGCTCAGCCACTAGTAAAATAATCAACCTGAACAGCGGTTCTTACGGAAGAACAAGAAAATTCAAGATGGATGACGGTAAGCACGAGTATATTTGCACTAGGAACAATTCCTTATCTCAAAATTTGTAGCCTGTACATAGAATCAAACTATAAAATAGAAATTTTCTCGTTCAAGTGCAGCATAAAATATTCAAAAGTCTTGCGAGGCTGAATTTTACGCGAACAGTTTCGCTCAATACAGATTCATGTGCTGTTATTCCTCGACGAGTTTTCCCTAAAAGATTTCATCTATCGCCAGGGATTCGATTTGTCAGCAGACTGTGCGTACTTGATACCTTTGTTATTAGTGAAATGGTAATCAGGTTTTTTAGTGTTAGAGACGTAGCTTTCTTCGTTCGTATTAATTTTCTTTCTGAAAACATGAAATTTAGTAAACTTAACTCACTCCCACAGCATTAACGCAGCTTGCAAGTATTCCAGGGTTGTCATTAGAAGCTGGTATGCGACACAAACCCGCCGGCTGTCAGATCATTTTATCACTTAGATATTTTTGAACTAATTGTAACATCAATGTCTGACAGAGGGAGCCAAGGACATATGTGTTGCTTTACAGCATGTCATACTTACTAGATAGATAGTTCTATTGACTAAAAGCATAGCAGCCATAGGCTGAATTATGTCTAGCTTACAATTACAATTATATATAAATATATATAAATACAATAAGAAAACCATAAAGACCAAAAATAGGACTTAATTTGTTTGCTTGAGTCTCACTCTCAATGACCAGACTCAAGAGCTTTGTACTGTAGAAAAAAAAGTTAAACTTCCTTTTATTTTATTTTTTTGTTAGATCTTGAACTTGAGCATGAGGGAGCAACTCAAGGATCCACCTCACAGCCTGTAAGAAGAAATATTTCCTTAAAACTAAAAGCCAAAAGCAAGTCAGCAAGTTCCCTTACATCTGGAAAAAGCAAGAAAAAGGAAGGGAAAAGTAGTGAAAGGTCTAGGAGTGGATCAGATGGTAAATAAAAATTTTTAGTTGAAAATGATACTGTACAATATTGTAGAATTGTTGCAGCATCTTGAGCAAGTTTGGTCAGGAAGTGATCACAGTTTGGATAGTACTCTATGAATTTTCCCATGTCTTGGAGCTTATTTCCTTTTGCTTGTGACCAATATATCATCTAATCGAATTCTGTTTTCTGTCCAACAAATAGAATCCAAGCTGTGATGCATCTGTTGTCAAGTAATAGATCACAGATAATGTCAAGATGTGGCAAGAACAAAGTTCTTGGCACACAAGTTACAGTAGAGTGTGCTGTAATCAATGTTCTCGTGACATTTTGATAAAATTCATCTGTGACTTTAAATGAACAGAAGCATGGCAGAATGGACTGTGTTTCTTTGATACAATAAAAAAACAAAATGCATCTGTCCAGAGAAGCTCTTAGTAAATCATAAACAAGAACCAGTGAAGATGCATGATTGTATCATTTAAAACCTTGTTAGATAGTCATGAACAGATCACTGGATTTATTAACCTTTTAATGTAATTTCTCCTAACAATATCAATACAATATCAAGTAGACAAGTGGTGAGAATGAAGAAAAAGTATCAGTTAGGAGATTAATTGTTTATCCAATACCAAATTCTCTGAACTAGCATTATAGAAATTGTATGGATGACAGTAAGGAGAATTATAAATGAGATCTTGGAAGTGAAAATGTGGTAACACTGTCCTTGACAGACACATCTGCAGGTTGACTGTAGTCCACTTATTTCTCTGTGTAATATTTTGATATTGTCTGTGATCTGTTACCAAACAAAAAACACAACATCTGTTTGCTGAACAGACCATTTCCATAACAGAACATATTCAACTTATGCATGACTAAATGTGCAATCCCTTTGAAGGAGTTAGCCAGAGTTAGCTACTATAAACTGAGAATTTGTGAACATGATGGTCAGTCAAGCAGTTCTTGTTGTTTTCTTGGACACATGCTAGCAAGGCTACAGCCAGAGACTGTCACTGCTGCCTGTCCTTTTCCCTCTTCCTCAGTTCTACCTAGCTAAGTCCACTATCTTGCATCTCTCTTCAACTAAGTGTCACCAAGTGTATGCATTACATGGTTACACTATAGTCTCTAGTCAACTTGACTTATCTGAGCTGACCCTTGGCATGTTTCAGGTGACAAAGAGAGTAAGAAGAAACAGAAGTCTCCTGGTCCAGCACAGCAGGTGGTGGTCATGAGAGAGCTCAAATGGGATCACCAGGTAAGAATGTGCTTGGCTGATATTGCAATTTTCAAATGTAGGTGTGGTCTTCTGTGCTGGGATTTTGCAACACATTCAACAGCAAACATACACATAGATACATTTTCTCTCTAGCTTCTCCTTGACTATGGAGCATCTAGCTGAAAATAACATGTCTAGGTTCAGGACCAATCCTTCACTATAGCAACTGTGGATATCAACATGGCTGGTCCTAACTCATGCTAACTACAGGAAAAAGTTTGCTCGAGCTTGTGGGAGGGTGAATCAGTTGAACAGATGAGAAAAGCACTCAACTGATATCTGATCACATGATTTAGGATTCATCTGTGATTGGGCCACAGTTATACTGAGTTCTTTGGGAACCCTGGGCTCTGTGTTTGCAGGTCAATTAGTGCCAACCCAAGGTTAAATTTTGATCTGGGTTTCTTTATTTCTTTGTTCAAAAGTCTTTTTTGGACCTTTCTCTATTCTTTAAAGAGCATCCAATAATCAAATTCTTGACAAGTTTTTCTTCTTCTTGTCATCCACATTACTGTCAAAGACTGCAGTTCAGGCAGTTTAAAGCTCATAATTTTTTAATCATTTTAGCTAGAGGTAATTCTTAAAAAAAGGAACTTTACCATAATTCCAGTTTGTTTTAATTTCATGGTGGTTCTTTCCATTTTAAAACACCACATGTGTATCCTTTCCAGATTATTCCTATTGGACAAAATATTACATATTTGAAATATGTAAAAGAAATTGAATGAAATTACTGGCCTCTTTGGTGTGTTACTTGTGTTTCTGTGGTGTCTGGGGCTGTTTCAAAGTAATTCCAGTTAGTTTTAGTTTCACTGGTGCTCTTCCATTTTAAAACACTAGATGTTTATCTTTTCTAGATTGTCCCTATTGGGCAAAAAGTACAAGATCCACTTCTTCATCTGTGTGAGAAATGCGCATTGCCTATTCTTGTTTATGGTCGACTGGTGAGTGCATGACTTACTTTAACCTTACATTTACTCTGAGATTTGAACTGAATTATGACATTTCTTGCATAATTCTGCTCACTCATTGAGTGACAAGAGTCCTTCTTTGGCTTAAATGCATGTTAAAATGGTCACACATTAAGGTGGTATTCAGAAGTGTAAAAATTACAGTTGCAGTTTTGTGTAGTTTGATAAATAGTGCTCTAAGACATTTCTGTTCAGAAGCATGTACACCAAGGGTTTTATCCACAGCCTTGAAAGTTTTACCCACCTTGTATAGCATAATGAACAGTGACACATGAAACTTCTGCTCTGGGCTCTCCCTTGAATGGTCACAGACTAGGGTTTCTACCAAGTCAAAAATATCATATATGATACCATGTAAAAGTACTGATGAGTAGCTCCCAAGATCTGATTTTTAATTCTGCTCTCTAACTGCTTCTCATTTCCTTGTAAATTAGTTATGACAATTTGGTATTAGATCAGGATAACCACTTCTACCTGATAAGTTTGAGTATTCTCATTACCTGTTTTCTTGATAATGTATGGATATTATAGGGAGAACTTACACTTAGATCACTTCTGGGATTTAAAGGGTTAATGTACTGACACCTTGAATATGTCTCTTGTCATTTTTTTTTTCTCTTTAGAGTCCTTGTAAGCACTCCTTCTGTTTGAATTGTGCTGAAAAGGGAAATGGAAAGTGTCCAAGGTTTGTGTGGAACATCTCTATTGTCATGGGATGGTGTACTGTAGGGACTATGAAAATTTAACTTTCTCGTTACTGAAACGCATGTGGCCCGTCTGAGAAGATCCTTGATTTAAATCATCATCACTAGGGAAGAATAGGTTTTCTCGCCAGCAGCCAAACTCGGCCAAACATATCTTGTTTGAATTTTCTCACCCTTGTCAAATTCTGCTTTAGGTGCGGTGATGGTGTTCAGCGGATTGAACGAGCACCGCTGGGCAGTGTGTACGTGTGTTCAGTTGGCGGAAGCCGCTATGGAATCTCAGGGTGCCGTCGAAGTTATTTCTCCCAGCGAGACTTGCAGTCGCACATCAAAAGACGTCATCAGAGAGAGCAGGGGGGAGGGGAGAGTGATGGAGGTGAAGATGCTGAGAATGAGATACAACGCGCCATGTTTCCTCAGGTAGCACCCTTTTTTCCGGCCCCATTGCGTGAGCCTCTGCCAGCAGTGCCCCCTCACCCTATTTTACCGGGTGAAAGACCTTTTGGAAACGTAGCCCCAGTGCCCGTGATGGACGCACGACATTTCCCTGGAGTGCCTACTATCCCACGTGAAACGTTCTTCATGGAGGGGCCACGCCAGCAGCATCCGGTAGTCAGTGGTTTCCCTGCTCAAGCTCCTGCACCAGCCCCTATACCTCATGTCCCTCAAGGAGCCTTTCCACGACCTGAGCAAGGACCCTCTCCAAGATTTGAGGAGATGCGAGTGCCGCGGCCAATGGCCCCTACACCTATTGACGAAGGCTTTGGGCCTAGACCAGTGGGGCCCGGCTTCCCAGGAAGATTCCCTGGGCCACCACGAGCCGAGGCGGAATGGATTCCGGGTGATAGAGGCCCTCCTGTTAGAGGAGAAAGGGAATGGATGCCACCTCCAGGGCGGGCAGAGAGAGACTGGATTCCACCTAGAGGCGTAACAAACATGGTTCCTCCTGGGGCACCTCCCCCAGGGAGACCCCCGCCCGGGGACCCTCATTTTAGACCGGGTCCGATGTTTTAAAGTCTTATGGCTGTAAAAAAGACCAACTAGTGGACATGTGAAATCGTTACAAATATTACTTTCAATTTTTTAAGATGAGTACGATCTTAAGCCTCTGTGTTTGGCTCTAGCTCGCGTAGCTCTTGTTAAAAATGAACAAACGAAATTCTCCTTTGAAGACATATTTAGGTTCCTGTTGATTTTACTTTACTACGCGGTACAGCGGTATCTCCGGAAAAAGTGTGCCATCCTCTACCAATCAGATACAAAATTCTAACCAGCTTAGTTTTCATTGGCACATTCTCCTTGGGTGCTTGGACTATTTTCGTAGCTCTGACTTACTTTGGGTTTTTTCCGACGCAACTGAGCACTTTGAAACGGTTACGGAAGGGATCCTCGTCTCCTTTGCGATTTTCGGGACTCTTAACGAGCAAGAAGTTTGTACGATACTTACCTGAGTGGCGGTTTTTTTTTTTTTTTTTTTTCAAAGCAATCTTAGTCGAGTTTTGATAGTAAATAGGAATCGTTTTGGTTTTACTTTACTCTGCACTGTGATTGGTCTAAGAAAAAATCGCGTCTCAACCTATCAAAGTTCTAACTAACTGCTACTCGTTCGCCAGCGTTTGGTCGCGTTGTAGGTAGTTGGAAAGTTTTTGCTCTGAACTCTCATTTGCCTTTTAAGCTGTTTATCTGTTCTCTTATTGGTCGTTGTGAAGACTGCGGGTTTAAATTAACGACGCTCGGTAGAAATGTGGTGTACACACGAACAAGTGTATAGAATGCGTTGCCCTTAAGAATTGTATCCTCTCAACTTTATTTATACCAAATAAAAAGACAAGAAAAATGAAATAAAACTTAATGTAGCCTTACTAGAAGTTAAATTAGAAAATCAACGGTGATATACAAACACAGAGAAGGTAAAAAAGGAAGGCATCGTGTGATCTACATTTCAGTCTTGTTCAGTATTACGCAATTCGAAGACAAATCGTTTTTAAAAGAAAAGACAAGAAAAAAACGCAGAAATTCAGGGACAGGAAAAAAATCATGTATATCACATTGCTAAATATCTTTTTCAACCCGGGGTTCTACGTAAACCACCTTTCATATTCAATCATAATTTAAATTCTTAATCTTGCTCGCTGAACACTTCGACATCTCTGGCTCTTTGCAATTCATCGTCCATGTTGGTTAAGCTGCTAAACACGGAATGCATGTATCTTTGACTTTTCTTCAGCCGGTCTGCAAGTTCTTTAAACTCTTTTTCTTTGATCTCAGCTCGTTTATCAGCTTCTTTGTAGTCCAACCATACACCGTTGTTTTCTTGCTCAAGCGCGTCGATCTTGCTTTTCATTGATCGCTCCTTATCGCTATACGTGGCCTGCAAATTTTTCAACTGCTGTGATCGCTCCACCAGTTCCAGCTCTCTCTCCTTGAGTACTCCGACAATTCTTCGTAGCTCCGAGTTGATCTCGTCCTTTTCCGACGCAACTTGTTGGAGCCGGTTTTGAAAAGAAACTTCCTGGTCGGAAGCGGTTCTCGTGACTCGTTTCAAATCCTCGCATTTGGCCTCGTACTGCGACTCTTTCTGATGAAGCTCTCCGTTCAATAGATCCACCTGGGACTCGACAGTCTTCTTTTCGTGTTCAATCTCTGCCAGTGACCCAGTGAGGTGCTTTATGATTTTCTGCACATCAGATAGTTTTCTTTTAACCAATTCCAGTTCTCCTATGGCATATTTTCCGTCCATGGTCTCCCTTACGCTCTCGCCGCCGATTTCCTGCCTTCTCTCGTCCGACAACACATTATCCTGTACACATTGCTGTTTAACGATGTTTTGTAATCTATTAAAATTTTCATCCATTTTCATCTCCAGTACCTCTCGGTTCTGTTCAAGCAGATCTTTAATGACCTTAAGTAAGTCCCAATCATTCCAGCGTTCCATCCGGGTATTTGTCCGTTGGGAGCCTCTTTCGATGTCCTCCGGCGGCCCTTCCACGCACAGGTCCTCAATTTCACTCCGCGCGACAGCTCTTTCAATGGCTTGTCGGGACCTTTTTCTGACCCTTTTGAGAGCCGTATGAGCGCGTTTAACCTCCTGGAACTCTTCGACTTTTCTCTCTCTTATTTTCTTTCCTTTATTAACCTGCTGAATGAGATCTTCCACGTTGTCTGTAAATACTTTGAAGGCGACCTCTCTGTCATAATTATCCCACGATAACTCAGCACGAATGTTCGGAGAATCTTCGTTCCCGTCTGTGTCACTTTCCTCTCCCTTCAGTGGACGCTCAAATTCGTTCACAACCGTCTGTAAGAGTGATTTTAGCAGCGATATCCGCTTCGCCAATGGCTCAAGCTCATCCGCATGACCGATAACCTCTCTGACTCCGCTTGCACAACTTCTTAGATACTCTTGCAACTGTTCGAGGTCGGACAGGCATTTCAGCGCATGCTTCTTCAAGCCCTCATTCTCGGTGAAAAATCTCTTCACCATGATGAAGAAGTCCTCTGTTTCTCGCCTCTGTTCCTTTCTGTTGGCATCCCTCTCCGTTTTATTCTCATTTTCCATCTTCTGTACCATCTGCTGCACTCGCATTGTAAACTCCTCACTATTCCTCCGTTCTTTTTCCACTTTCCGCTCCAGCGCCTCCTTCTCGGTTGTAAGTTTCCGTATGCAGGCTTCAAGTTCCCTGATCTTAAGACTGGAGTAATCTTCTTGTTCTTTCAGTTTCGCCGTTATTTGGTCGCAGTAAGAGCAAATACTGCTTTTCTGAGAAAAAAAAAACTAGTCAAATATAATCTCATGATTTAGCCACGCCACGCCACATACCAGCCACGAATTTTTCACAATTATTGGATAATTTTTTTATCGTATATATTGACTTAGCTTCTGTTTCATCAATTATACGGAGAAATAATTGCTCCATTTCAGTTATCTTTTTTTTTAATTTCAATAATCCTTTGATTTAAGGAGGTCTTCGCCCTTCCCCGGATGGAAGAAGGGGTTTTGATTTAAGTTATTTCGTAACTACGCCATTTATGCAAACCTCGTACAAAATAAGAACGATCAGTAAGTTTCTTCGGCCAGAAAGACATATTTGATTGCGTTTGCTCTCTTATACAATGGAATTACTAAATTAAAGCACAGGCATTTATGAAACTTGAAGAGCAACTACTCCCGACGCGCTTTGGCATCAACCGATTACTTGGAAAGCTTTTGCTGTAGTCTTTTTTACTAAATTGGAGATATTTTTCACAGCGTCAACTGAGTGTAAGTTTGAAGCCAATATGATGATCACAACCGTGTTTTTCTCCCTCACTTTGACTTTTAGCCCATTGGTTTTCCCATGAGTTAGTGATTCATCTTTTTTTTCTGATAGCCACTAAGCTAGTTGTTTGGTCTTACAACATTTTGCCACCCACCTCATCTTCTTCTTTCTGCTCTTCACTAATCTCCTCCCGGTCAACTCTGTTGCTCTTCCCCAGTCCCTCGCATTTTTCTCCATCCCAGAGATCTGCTCCATTTCCAGGTTCTTCTATCATTTTCCTCCAATCGTCCAACGCCTTTGAAACCTGTCGGTATGACCTATCAGCATTCGCAAACTTCTCTTCTGCCTGTCGAAGGTCCTCCATCAAGCGGTTGTTCTGCGAGGTAAGAACTTCAACCTTTTCGCCAAACACTCTGAGTTGCTTCTTTTTGTCTTTTTTGTCCTCTTCGAGTTCTTCAATTCTGTGATCTTTCTCTCTCAATACCTTAGTTGTGGCGAGGTAAGATTCTGTCGTGGCGTTGTTCTGACGCTTCAAGGAATCAAGCTCTTGTGTCATTTGCACATTCTCCTCTTCCAAAGTCTCTATTCTCTCCCGCTTAGCTTTCATTTTGTCTGATCGTTGAGACAAATCCGTCTCCAAAGTTTTGATCTTACATTCGGATTCCAGAAGCGCGGTTCTTATTGTGGAAATCTCTTCTTTGCTGTTTTCACTTTGGCGTTTTTCGCTCTGAATTCCCTCATGGAGCAGTTTGGCTTTCTCCTCTAGAGTTTCCACTCTGCTTTGAGTGTTCCGTAAGTCTGCTTCAGTTCTTGCAAGCTTGTCTTGCAATTTAGAAACCTCTTTCTCTCGAGCTTTCAACAATTGCGCTTTCTTCTCGCACTCGGCTTGTGCAGCAATTAGCTTTTGCGTCACCCTCTCCAGCTCTTTCTCCTTTTCACGCTGTAGAATCTTCAAATGCTCAACTTGGACTTTGAGCTCTTCATTCTCACTTATCAAAGAGTTATTCTCTCTTTTCAAGATCTCTAAGAACGCGTTGCTCACGTTGTCCGGCGTCCGTGGGTCAGCAGTTTCCGTCATTGGCGCAGACTCATCATCAACAATCGAGCTATTGGCGTGTTCCGTAAGCAGTTCATCTCGTTGCTTGAGCTGATTTTTAAGAGCTTCGTTTTCTTTGAGCAGAATCTCGACTTTTTCTTTTGCAACTACAAAAATTAAAAAAAGAAGGAACTATTGACGTGTTGGTCTTAAGTGTGTGTATTTTAGGAACCTCAAACGATTAAATTCGTTTGCAACAAAAATTTTAACAAATGAAGATCATTTTTACAACTGTGTTTATTGAGTTGGCTCACTGAAACACTCTTAAACTATTTAGGTATCTATAGCTCAAAAACGAGTTTACACTACGCTCAGTCCCTCCTTTTCTGCGCAGTCCGTTGAGCAGAAAAAAAAACTTCAGGAAAAAAAAAATCGATGTTAGTGCGCGCAATCTACAAGTGCGCCTCACTCTTAGAGTTCCGCATAGCGCGTTGACATCAATTTTTTTCGCTGATTCTTTTTACTCGTGCGACGAACTTCGCCGAAAGAAGAGACTGCTCGTTGTCTAAAACGACTTCAATAGAGCCCCCGGCCCCAAATATCTATATTATTGAATTACCATCAGCATATCATTATACATCTTTCTGCCTCTTGATTATCAAAAAGTTAAGGTAGCTCTGAACTGTATGCACAGATTTTTATGTAGCCTCACAAAAGGAGATAACTCAATATGCTAATTACAATCCATTAGAAAAAAATCGGTGATCGTGCTAGCACAAAATAGGGGAGTTTTCAGAAGGCTTTGATGTTGTTTTGGAAACGTTATTGTACCTTTCCGAGAAATAATTGAGCATTGTATTTTTCTTAAAGAAATTTCACGGAAAAAAACGCAAAGTTGTAGAAGTTACGATCCATCAAAGAACAGGAAAAGTCTTTAAAAGATTACGCAGGGAGTTGTCACTTCAAATTACGTAGATTCATACTCAGCGAACAAGCAAGATGAAGTTTGCTGGTTGGATGTCAAGAATGGATGAATTATTTTCACTGGAGCATTACTTTTTAACGCCCCAGATTCCTTTGGGATTTAAGCTTGAGTAGCGGGCGGGCGGTACAGGTTTTGTGCGCACTTTGAAACGTTGTGCGGCGTAGAGAAGCCACGAGAAAGAAACCGCGAAGCCGCGACGTCCCACAATAGTGGTTTGCGTTTTTTCATGGTTTCCACTCCTTTTTGCCTCCAGGCTTCCCCCTACCGCACAACTTGTCACTACCTTAGGCGTGTGAGGGAGAAATTTCCTGTGAAAAATTGTGGAACCCCACTAACTCGAATCCATTTGACACCAACCCCCGCTGACTCGAACCGAATAGGATCTGATTTGCTTTACATTTGACCCCATTTTTCCAGTCATTTACGATCAACTAACTCGAATTAACTCTGTCAACTCGAACTCCCTATTCACTCTAACTAATTTTACTCTCCGTTTGCACAAATGATTACCGAAGGTTAATTAAAAACGTCGGTCAATAAAGGTCAAAGTATCAGAACATAGCTGATTGACACGTTATAGTCGCGATTGATACGAACGTGATAATATTCACGAAAACGTAAACGTGAAAAAGCTAACTTTTGTATTTTATCGCACACTATAGAATTTTGATTATGATTTCGTTGGGTTTATCCTGTTTATGGACTTAACTGGACTGAAAATTAAATTATCAAATTATCAACTAATGATTAGTCAATCCAATGTCAACATTTTTCAAATTCACACTGTATACAGAGAGTGAATGAAAGGAATTATTTCTCTCTTTCTATTTTCGAGCACTTTTATCCGATTTATAGGATTTGTACAGCAAAGCTAAGATATTCGGCCCAAAATAAGCTTCGAGAATTTTCTCTTATGCCAGACAATCTCATTAACATCAGCCTTATCTGTTTTAAATTCGATGTTTTTCGATTTAAAATGGGCTTATGACAGAAACTATTAACAATTTAACATCTCCGAACTCTCAAACAGGCTCAATACATGTTTAATCGCATTTTTCTTGTAGTAGGATGCTAAATGCTGATTAACTTGTGAAAATTCAACTTTTTTCTGGTGCGTTCCATCGATAGCGTACCTAAAATAGACGCTACGATGGCGTGCTGTACTCTTCATGTCAGGCTTTTGTCAAGAATGCTGCAAACTCGCTCGAGAGAGTAGACGTGCGAGACCTTTCACCTTTACGCGTGTCGGTTAAAATTACTTGCGCATGGACAGATCGAGCGTCTTTTACCGCAGACGAGGCAACTGATGCTTTCTTGTGGGAGATGCCCAGTCCCCGGAAGTGAGGGGTATTAAATCCTTCGGGTTAAGCTCCCCTGCCCTGCGTGGGCGATCAATAAAGGAGTGTCAATCGTCAAGTATATTTTCAGACTCTTACAAGGGATCTAACACAGGATTCCGACGGATTTGTCCACTCACCTAATCCAAATTCACAATTTTAACAGAAAATGATCGGAATCAAAAGAAAAATGTGAAATTTAGCCTTCGAAAGAGGGAGGTGTCGATAGACTACGCTCATTACCCAGATACAAACGCTATGTTTCCAACTAGCAACTGATCAAGCAAAAAAATCATCTTCGTGGATGGAATGCAATTTAAGCAATTTCAGAAAGGAAGCCTGAAAAACTTTTTTTCGGGCTTCGACGGGATTCGAACCCATGCCCCCTTAGATACTAGTTGGGCTCTTAAACCACCTGAGCTACAAAGCCACACGTTTGGAGGCATGCAAATTTTATTTCATTTAAAAATTGAGATCAGAATCACCTGAAGGAAAGAAGAAACCACTAAAATTTGCCTTGCTCCTAACGTTTAGCTCCGTAAGTCAGTTGATAGAAGCGCCCGATTTAATAGTATCTGAGACGTGCGGGCGCGAATCCCGTCGAAGCCCGAATGTTTTTCTAAAATTTGTCTATTTACAACTTTAGGAATTTTCCCAAAGAATATCTTTTAAATGACACCACTTAAGACTTCAGACGCAAAAGTTATTTTTCTACAGAAGGAGATAGATTCAAAATGTCGCCTCGCCGGCTTATATCATTATCAGCAAATAGATGCAGAGATTTCTTTTTTAGAGATAAAGCTTTCTTCATCCTTAACTAATGGGTATTAATCTCAAGGGGCTTTTTGAAAAGTACTGTACTCAGTATGATAACAAAAATTTGTTTATCAGAAGTTCGATTGCGATAGGATAAGAACAAAGCTCTTGTTGTCGAAATTTTACTGATACCAGAGGAGACCGCTAAGCTCGTCCTGGTAAGGAAAGGTGTTCTTTTTTTGCGTTTATTTTATCTGTTACCAAGAACACTGATAAACGGAAATAACCACGTCGGTGGAAAAGTTTTGAGAATGTCGTTTACTTTCGGAGAGAAGGAATTTCTTGGCGGCAATGGTAGTTGAAGTTATCTGTTTTCCTATAATTTTTCAATCTTATCTTTCACAGAAACATCTTTCAATCGATATTTGTTGCTTTACAAGAACTGCCACAAGTGGTCTCTAGTTTCACTATACCTTGGCGAAATGCGGCAATTACAAAAACTTTAAAAATGGCAACTCCAAAGTCGTCGAACTCTCTAGATTCTCTCGTGACTACCTGTTGAAAACTCTGAGTCAGTCTTTCAACAAGTATATGGTTTAATTTCAGCCGAACCGAAAATTCCTAAATTCCTCATGAGCGGGCTGTTTTATGTGATAATGTCAGAATCATCTGATAGTAATCCCAAAGATAGTATCATCTCGTTATCTGAAAGGAATATACTTCTAAAGACCACCTGGATTAGTCCTATAAAAAGCATACATTGTTCCATTATATCAGAAGTTATTAATTCAAACCTTCAAAATGTCTTAAATAGTACAGATCACTGGTTCTAAAGAAAACTAAAACCAGTTCTCAAATTTTCTAAGCAAGCGTTACTAATGTAATCAAAAACAGGAAAATGGAATGTTAAAATTTTAAGCGGATCATTCAATTTAATTAAAAGTGGAAAAGTTGTTTAAAACAGGTTTTTTAATACCCCTTCAATCATTCGACGACTCATATTTTGAAAACTCAATTTTAGAAGATTTGCTAGGGAACAATGGGCAATTTAAATCCGGATTCCTCTTTGGCCATTATCAACAAGTTCTTCAAAACATTTAGAACACAGTTTATAGACTAGGCAAATTAACAGTTGAGTCCATTTTGTGTGTGTGTGCTACTTTTGTTGTTTTGTGGAACCGAAAAACTATACTCCGAAGCAAATAACACTTAGATGAAATATTTCCGACGTTTTCCTACATAGGTGCCAAGGTTATAGGGTGTGGAGCCACACTTCCCATATGGCAATTTCTGCGGCCTTCGCGATTCCTCAGTGCGCCCAAAGTGTTAAAAAAGCCCACGGAATTCCTTGGGAACAATTAACTGAGCCTCTAGTTTCTGACAAACCAAACACAGCTTGATACTCTACGACTGAGAGGTTTGGCTGCATTCTGAGCGGTGTTTTCACACAGGAAAATATCAGGTAATAACTATTTTTACAAATGTACATGTTTTTAAAAATCACAATAAAAAAATGTTAATGGTATGTCCGTAGCGCATGAAATTTTCGTCTGGTTTGGCTCTGTTCTTCCTACGCAGGACTTTTTTTTTTCAACCAGATAATTTGATTTTAATCAAATGAGTTGATAATGTGAATTGGCCACCGCAAATTGTTTATAAAGATGACGTTTCGAGCGTTAGCCTTTCGTTAGAGCAAAAGTGCTTTCAACTTAAGTTTACCACGCTTGATCTGGTTTGATTTTCTTCAGCAGATATTGATACAGATTGAAATAGGTATATTCCGATAATATAACGCCTTAAAACCCAATTTCTATCCGCTATGCTAATACAGTGAGGATTCAAAACAGTCCATTTAATAACATAAAGACTTAAAACAGAGATTTCAGAATCTTCAAAAAACATACCTTCAAGGTCTTTCACCATCTGCGCTTTAGTTTCGTTAATCCGTTCCACCTCTACAGTCAACTGTCCAATTTCATTTTCCGTCACTTCTACGATTAACTTTTGCTGATCAACTTGGTTCAGCATCTCGGAATTTTTATCTTCCTCTTCCTTAAGCTTCTCTCTAGCTTTGTGCAACTGTTCCTCAAGCAGTCCGATCTTGTTGTCTTTCGCTTTAAGATCTATTTGCGATTTTTCTTCCTGGTTTTCGAGGTCGGAGCATTTTCGTGTAAGTTCTTGTATCTCACGTCGCAGACTGGAATTTCCGGCTTTTTCCTCCGCGTTTAGTTGCTTTTGTTTCTGCAGAGAGTTTGACACGGTTTCCAGTTGCAACTGCTGTTGTTGTTTGCTCTTTCGCAAATTTTCCACATCGTTTTCAAGCTCGGAAATCTTTCTTAGCGCTGTGTTGGGTAAATCAAGTTTCCATTCGTCTCTAGCCCAGCTCATTCTGAACTTATGGATTGGGGCCCTCCAGAAGCAAAGGCTCTTAGTTAAGTTATTAAGACTTCAAGGTAATTGACTTTCTCATAGATGATTCGCTTTTGATTTTTGTTTTTCCGTTGAGAACTTCGCATTGTGACGCGCTGTATGGCTTGCGTTGATCCAGTTTGAAATGCACGCGCGCTACAATGGTACATTGCGCACGCTATCACGTACCTACGCACACTTGTACAGTTGCACGCGCTTTTAAAGAGGTGGTCATTCCCCTAAATAGACAATCTCTATGAAAAGGGATACAGTTTTGCAAAATAAATTTTCTAAGTTGCAACTGTTTTTGTATGGGTATTTTTCATATGGAACAGATTTGCGCTTTGTGCTGATATCTACTCTGAAAACAACATCTTTTCGGAAAATTGCAACTGCCATTTTGTTCTGGATGGCTTCCTTTATGCTTTTCAATGATCGCAATCGTTAATTGCTGATAAGCCTTGGCAAATGGCGCCAGAAAAAGCCTTTAAAACGGGCCTCGTAAAGCTTTTCTGTTTTCATTCCAGGTGGGGTTTTCAAAAGTTTCGAAAATCACAAAATGAAAATACCCGCTAAAGAAAAAGAATGGAGTGGTTAGAGAAACAGAACCTCTTACTCTACTTTCTTCAAAATTTTGATTTTAAGATATGGTTTCGAGCCCATCAAGTTACTGGGACTGCCGAGAAACGGGCCCCTGAACCCAAAACAAAGGAGTATGCTAAGGTGTGCGCAACCTAAAAGTTTAATCTAATTTTTTTAAGGTTTGTCATGTCTAATCCTTTATTATCTTCTCCATCCTCAGCCATCTTTGTTCCTCACCTGTTTCTAAGTGCCAAATGAGTGTTTTCTATTTTTTCAACAAATATTTTCATCTTCAGTCTGGGGTAATCTTCTTCCTTCCCGGGTTTATTATTGTCTCAGAAGTGTTTTTCTATTACGCTTCACTCTCATTTTGTAGTCATTTATAATCCGTTTTAACCTTCATCCTAAACCCTCCTTATTCCTTCTTGCTTTTATCATTTCCTTTTACCTATGTTTCTATCTCACATTACTAATATTCTGAATTTATCTTCACGGAAAGTGTATCAACCCTCTTCATTCCAAGCTATCCATCTTGGTGTGACCTTCTTTAAGTTTTACTCCATCTTACTGTACTCATCCAAATAATATTTAGCATTTTGTAGTCGTTTGTAATCCCGTCAATCTCTTTTATCCTATTTCTCACAAGGTAAAAGTAGCTTTGCTTGTCGTTAAAAACGACTAAAAACATCGTGACGCACCAGCTTCAACCAAAGGTCTCAGTGATAATATTTTTATAGCATATAATACAACTATGTCAATGTTCTTTCTGAGAATTAGATGTTAAATCAGACGTTTTCCCGTAGTTGATATTTTTTACACTTCTCGTCACCTGTTTTTTAGACAATATATCGACCGATGCGGTGAGGAAAAATTGCTTCTTTGTCTTTCGTAGTAGCGAAAGGGTTTTAGTAATTGATCCAAGTGACAGTGATCGTCCTTCAAATATCTTCAGTCTTACTTCACTCACAGCAGGTAATATGGTGTAATATTCCAAGATTGTTTTCAAAACAAACTATCAGTGATCATTCGCCAACACAAGTTAAACCGCACAGTTGTTTCAGCTTCTCACTAAACTGATGCTTTATCTAAGGTCTGAAATCCTTATTTGTAACAAAACAGTGATAAAAGTTGAAATCTAAGGCCTTAATTATTCATTTAGGACAGAAGCCTATGCCTTAGGTTGTAATCTTCTGTTTAGTACCACAAACTTAAATTCAAACGCGTGCATGATAGATCGTTTCGTTCAATCAAAGTCTTTTCAGTCAGGGATGGTGATGTTTAGAGACATTGCTTTTGTCTAGTCTTAATGTCGAGACCTAAAGCTAACTTCCTGTTTAAGAGATCTCAAGTGTCATTTTATGATGGGATAATGCCATGTGTATTTTTGGATATACTATGATCTTTTACTGATTAGAGAGACATCACGAAATCTTGCTAATAGTTTGCTGTCTTTCTGATTTTCCAGAATTCTTGCTTGTAACATTTGCCTTTTTTACAGTGAAGGCACGGCTTGAGTTTTCATTGGAGCTATTTGTATCTTTGTGACCACGGTTCTTTCGACCATAGTTTACTCAGGTATTTTTTAAACAGGAATCCTGAAGATATCTGTCCTCAAAATGAAGTGAAAAGCACCTGCCAATTGAATCACGATCAAGTCTCGATACTGTTTTCACAAACAACATTGTTCAATTGCTCCATACATATTATATCACAGTAACGTGTCCTTGACTGCTAATGATATGAGTCCGCTAAAAACCAAAGCTCTTGCACTTGATCAAGGTCACGCTAGATCAAAAGACATACAATAACATTCCGATAGCATTTTTACTTGGTTTTACCGTAATTTTTGCATAAAAACGTGAGCAGAATTTTTATAGGACTTGTGACGTTTTGCTTTTGATCTTTAAGTCTACAATGTTTTTACACGAATTACACACTTGTTTTTTAAAGTGGTTCTTCAGTTCTTGTTGTTTTGATTCCATAGAGTTCTTGTTTTGGGCGGGGAAGACGGACTTTTCACATTCCCTATATATGTAATTGCTACTCTCGGGAGTACATCAGGGCTTGTGCATCTAAAACAAAATTAGCCTAGTTTTTTTCCGAGTAAGTAAGCCGTAACAATCTTCACTGTCTTAAACTTTTTCTTGCTCCTCATTTCCATTTTTTCTTTTCCTTAAGTTAATAGTTTTGCCCCTTTTCAAAAGGGGCAAAAATATTAACTTAAAGTTTCTATTTACCAAACTGATATTCAGAAGCTTGCCTTACATATAAGTATTGGCTAATATCTGCACGTCGTTAAGAACGACTAACTGTCTTTTAATTACATAAATATACACGCAAAACCTTTAAATACTATAACGTTTGAACAACAAAACATGTGTTATTAGTGGGTCGAATGGTTTTATTTGAGACGCGAGGCTGAACTGACATATTAATTGCGGGTTATATTTTCAGTAAAGCTAACTATTCCATATCGCGAAACATCAGTCGAAAGTTTTCTTTGTCCTCCAAGCAGTTATTGGATCCTCAGAGAATCCTAGATTTAGTTACGTGAGGGAGTATTTAAGGCAAGTATCTAAAAAGTTCATATTTAAGTTTGTCGACAAAAGTGACGAAGACCCTTGAAAAAATAGAGCTAGCCACTCTGTAATACCCGACTTCCATATCACGAAACATCTATCGAAAGTTCTCCTCCAAACAATTATTTGATCACTAGAGTGCCCCAGAATTAATAAAAGTAGAGAATCTTTAAGGCGAGTACCTAAAACTGTAAGACGAAGATAGTCGACAAAAATTGACGAAAACTCTTTTAAAACGGAGTAAATCATTCTGAAACTCCAATTTGCAACAGTTCATCAAGAAGACTTGGAAACTGTAGATGATATCTGTACCCTCAGTTGAAAACATCATCATCACAATTCTAAGCTTACTAATGTGATGAAAGGGCTCTGTTCACATTTCTTTCACTTCTGTTCAGAGTCAGTCAAGTCCTTGGATGATCTTCCGTTAAAAGGGGAAAAAATTCAAAAGTTTAAACACGAAAACTATCGTGATTCTCTACGCTGGAATCACCCTCTGCGGTAAAGTTAAAGTTTTAAAACTTTTCATGCATCAAATATAATGCCAAGCCACATTCTAATAAACGGAAGGTTCGAAGCAATCATCTTTTACAAATTTAGCGAGAGCTGCTGTCGATAAATAAACACTTTTGCGTGTAAATTGTCTATCGATGAAAAGCGTGGAGAATGAGTGAGGTCCGTTTGGCACGTGCAGAGCTAAAGTGAAAAGCTACTTGTAGTTTTCAGGATTTTTTTCCATCAGTACATCGTCTTAAATTCTGATATCACAATATTTTTCAAACTAGATAGTTTTTATTTTCTTCATAGAATTTCGATCAAACTTTTTACAAAGGATGCTCAAATTTTAGACTCAGCTAGCGTTTCACATCGCGGTGATAATTTACTTCGATGGTATGTGAGTACTTGTTATTAATTATATTTGTTAGTTGTTGTTTGTAACATTTCCGATACAAGCAATCTACCTCGCCTAGCGAGATATTCTTTGTTTTGCTTCTTTTGTTGTGGGCGTTCTTATGAGTTCTATCCGATGTCAATTTTACCTCTCAAAGAAGGGGCACCAGTTTGCGGGTAAAAAATTTCAAACCACAAAAAGTCAATTTATTTTCCGCAGAATTGGTATCTAAACAATTGGTTCTTCATTTTCCAACCACAGCTCTTGAGGAACTGAGATTTGGACGTGGTAATGAAATTTTCGATCATGGTGCAGAGTATATCTTTTACGGAGGAGCAAAGATCCGGATCGAATTAATTGCTTAGTTCTACATAAACAATTAAAGGAAAAAAATTCTGCTTTACATCAATATCTTGATGGTATTTTGCTTCGACTAAACGATGATCCAATGAAAAAAGTGTTTCTTCCTTAAAGAAAATGTTGGCCAACTTTCCTACACTTTCTATTATATACTTTGGTGCGTTTAAGGAACATCTTCCTTTATCTTCAATCCCTTATTGTTTAATATCATTTAAGCAATGATAATTGATAACCCCAACAAAAATAATTAAATATAGTTTTAACAATAGCAAAGCAAATCTGATGACAACTACATTGTTTTCAAGCGGCCTATTGTAAATTGTGGGTTGGGTTTTTCTGATTCTTTTCATCAAGCAGACAAAAAACCTTCGATTTGCACATTTTTGCGGTAATGCTTTTAAGGACGAATGCCTTTGAGTTAAAAAAAATCGAAATGAAAAGGTTATCTGTAACGCCTAAGTTTTGATGTGTTTCAAGGTTAAAAAATGCCTCACGCAACAAAGCGGAGAGAAGAACGTTATCAGAGGTTTTTTCTTAAATCTTGGTCAGTGTTGAAGACTATGTAA